ACTCGACTCTTCATCCCGACTATTTCCGCAAGTTCGAGTCTCGTGTGGCTGGCAACATGGGAGAGTACGAAAACACACTCCTCTCGCTAGATAGCAAACAATTCGCCGGACTGGGAACAAGAGACTCGAATGGAAAGATTCTGGAAAAGTTATGGAATGTTTGCCCGGGACTCTTGGGTGGGAGTGCTGACCTGGTCAATGCCAACAAGATCAAGTACGCGGAGGACGATGTCTTTCATCCCCTGCAAGGGTACCGGGGGCGCTACTTGCGCGTTGGTATCCGTGAGCATGCGATGGCGGCCATCGCCAATGGTCTTGCAGCGTACCATCCTCGGACTTTCATACCTGTCACAGCAACATTCTTCATGTTCTATCTTTACGCGGCACCCGCAGTCCGAATGGGAGCCTTGAGCGATTTGCAGGTGATCCATATCGCAACTCACGACTCCTTCGCCGAGGGCCAAAACGGGCCGACTCATCAACCGGTCGAACTGGATTCTCTTTTCCGAGCGATGCCTAACCTCATTTATATTCGCCCTTGTGACGGTGAGGAGTTGCTCGGAGCGTGGATGACACTCCTGAAGGCTCACGACACGCCTTCCATCTTGTCGGTTGCGCGAGAGCACTACAGCCATGTTCCCAACACTGACCGCAACAAAGTCAAGTTGGGTGCATATATGATCCAGAAGCGAGAAAATCACAGTTTGACTCTCGCAAGCTGTGGAAGCAACCTGGGTCACGTTGTTGCGGCGGCTAAGGTGCTTGAGCAAGACGGTCTCAGAGTTAACGTTGTCAGTGCGCCGAGCCTTGATTTGTTCGAGGGCCAGGACGAAGACTACCGCAAGTCGATCTTCCCATTAGACGGAACTCCGATCATCAGTGTGGAAGAGTACGTGCCGACGACCTGGGCGAGGTATGCCACTGCTAGCGTGGGAATGTATGGCTTCGGCCACTCCGGCAGTCAAGATGCCAATTACAAACGGTTCCGCCTGGATTGCGACGGCATCGTCGCTCGTGCTTCAGGGTACCTCAAGAAATTGAACGGTCAGAACGCTCGAACGGCGGGCTGGCACAAGATCTGAGCCGAAGAAAATATCACAAGGCTAAGCACAATATTGAAGGAAATGCTGCATGCATCTAGATTCCTGTAAAGATAGCCAGTTCTTGCAATCTCCTTCTCTGGTCATAAGAAAGTACTCCGTAAAATCCCTGTCCACTGGTGTTTATTGAGCCTTCCAGGGCAGCCACAGAGATACGTCGTTTTGAAGCCAACAGGGGCTTCGATCTGCAGCGAGGACTGAATATGACGGAAGGTGGTGGGGTCCCAACCACGAAGAGTGGCGTCAACGGTCACTGTTCTGTTCTGGTGGGCGAAATTCCATGCTCATATGCCGTGGGATCGTGGTCCCAAGACCAGCAGAGCGCGGGATGTTGGGCCTAGAGTACCTTGGCACTGCTCATTCGACATTCGAAAAAACAGATCTCGGCACGAGGTCTTAAGGGTCGACCCCAGCGGAAACACCGTCCGCTACGCAGATGCGCGAATACGAGCTTCTCCGCGAGCTTGGCAACTATAGTTTCCCCGTGTTTCCCCTCCAATGACGCCCAAGACGAAGTACGGGATCCCGTACAATATCGAAGCCAAGGTGATCGTCATCGTGTAGCTTCGTCTGCTCCCCTGTCTGTGTTGCATTGTACAACTTCACAATGTGTTCGCCACCTCTCACAGTTCATGCCGCTTGCCTTTAGCAGCTTGGCAATTCTGCTTTTACCATGCTTCAACAGGAAGGAGCGAAATCTGAAGGATGGCTTTACGTCGCGATTGTTGCGGAGGTCGACGATGCTTCCCCTCGCTCGTGAAGCGATATTATAACGGCTTTCCCAGATAACACGGTAGATGGTTCTCTACCCCTCAGTCCCGACTTTGGTCCCTCACGATGCTGCTAATCAGACTCCTTCCCCTGCTCGCCCTTCGCTCGATTTCTGTGGTTGCTTGCGGCCGAGAACACCTTTATTCTCAGGTCTTTGATCCTCATGTTGCTCTTTCAAAGAGGCAAGAGGCGTCATTTCCCCCTGTACTTGATCAGAACGAGGCTATCTTGCTGAATTCTATCGATAACAATACCATTGAGAGTTGGAGCTACTATTACACCCACGGTCTCCACGTGGCAGGTACCAATCAATCAATGGCTCAGTGGACAGCTGATCGTTGGAATGAGTACGGGTTCACGGCGGATTTGGTATCATACTGTACGTCCTAGGACTCCTCTATGAACTGTAGAACTGAGTAAGGTAGATGTCTACCTGAACTACCCGGTATCACACTCATTGACCATATCATTCGCCAACGGTTCGTCTTTCACACCCTTGCTTGAGGAGGAAGTATTAGCCCAGGACGAGACGACCTCTTATCCGAACAGAGTACCTACTTTCCATGGCTACTCGTTCACCGGCGATGCAGAGGCAGAGTACGTCTATGTCGGACGCGGCCAGAGAGTTGACTTCGAACGTCTGAAGGCGTTGGGCGTGCAATTGGAAGGCAAAATTGCACTGGCACGCTATGGCGGTCCATTCCGCGGACTCAAAGTCAAGAATGCCCAGGATTATGGTATGATTGGGTGTATCATCGTAAGTTACCCTCGCGGTTGAATTTTGGGAACAGACCCAACGCTTCTACTCTACTGAATCATTGCTAATCTATCCTTTCTGTACTTACTTGTCACGTCACTCAGCACACCGAAAGAGGCACTAACGCATCTACAGTTTACAGACACTGCAGACGATGGAAATATCACGGAAGCGAATGGTTACGCAGCCTATCCGGATGGACCTGCACGAAACCCTACCTCAGTGCAACGCGGGAGTGTGGAATTCCTCTCCACGTATCCTGGTGATCCTGAAACTCCTGGTTATCCATCCAAACTTGACTCTCCAAGGTCAGACAGATCCGCAGTGACACCTCAAATACCGTCTCTGCCGATCTCTTGGAAAGACGCACAACCTCTTATCCAAGCCCTTGATGGATACGGCCCAGATGGCAAGACGATAAACCGCACCAATTGGATCGGCAAGCTCAATGCGACTTATTCGAGTGGACCGGCCCCAGGAACTACTATCTCCATGTCCAATGTCATGCGAGACGAGATCACCTGGATCTGGGACAGCATCGGTATCATCAATGGTACCAATGAGGACGAAGTCATCATACTCGGAAATCACCGTGACGCTTGGATAGTTGGTGGCGCTTCTGATCCCAACTCCGGCTCTGCTGTCTTGATAGAGATGGCCAAAGCATTCGGGGCACTTTTGAAGACTGGCTGGAGACCCAAGCGCACCATTGTGTTTGCATCCTGGGATGCAGAAGAGTACGGACTTCTCGGGTCCACAGAATGGGTAGAAGAGTATATTCCCTGGCTGAAGGGCTCGGCGGTGGCTTATCTCAACCTTGACGGAGCCGCGTCTGGTCCGAATCCAGAGCTGTCCGCCTCTCCCGAGCTGCACAAGATTGCAACAGAGACCATGAAGAAAGTCGTCTACCCATACCATGGCTACAAGAATCTAACCTACTACGACGTGTGGTACGGTTTGAGCAAGGGCACGGTTGGTGTGCTTGGATCAGGCAGCGACTATACCGCTTTCGTGCACAATGGCATCGCTTCTTTGGATACGGGCTGCGGCGGCGGAAGCAATGATCCCGTATATCACTACCACTCTAATTACGACAGCTTCCACTGGATGACCACCTATGGTGACCCAGACTTCCTTGCACACAAGGCTGTCGGTCAACACTTGTCCTTGCTAGTGTACCATCTCGCCAATGACGATATCATCCCGTTCGACGTTGAGAATTACGGCCTGCAGATGACTCGATACCTGGATCAACTCACCGAACTCATCGAGTCGGAAAACGCCACTGCCATGGTTGACCTTTCCCCACTCGAGACCGCAATCTCAGCATTCAACAGTTCAGCTGAAGCGATGGCTTCTTTCATCCAAGCAGCGTCGACGGAGTCCGATATCAAACTGGCCAACACCAAATTGAGAGACTTCAGTCGCGGGTTTGTTTCTCAAGGTGGCTTGCCGACTAGAGAGTTCTACAAGCATGTAGTCTTCGCGCCCGGTTTAGACACAGGCTATGCTCCTGTCGAATGGCCCGGGGTTACGGAGGCAATTGATGCCGGTAATCTGACACTTGCGCAACTTTGGGTGGAGAAGTCGGCGAAAGCCGTGGAGGTTGCTGCGAGGATTCTGGCGCCGTAGGGCATCTGCCCCCCAGCTCGCAGTCTTCCAAGTCTAGTCGGAGTAACACTATGCAGGATGGCAAGAGACATGCGACGAGGACAACTGGATGACGATATTGGTGCACGGATGGTAGGCAAGGTAGTCTGTCTCAAAGACCAATGCAACTGGTGTAGAATCTAGGCCAAGCCGCCGCCCGGGTCGCACATGTGGCGCGAACCAGACTTAAGTACGGTATAAGTAGACTGATCTTTCATACTGTCCTTGCAGCCACAAGGCGATGTATGCTCCAACGCCACTCGCTCACCAGATTATGCCTAACGTGGCTGCTACGATTTGATCCCCACAAATTACCTAGATAGGTCACTGCACTAGCCCAAGAACAGCAAACTTGGCAATGCTTGGCCCGAATATGTCGTTTCCTGATTGGCGCGTTATTCGACAAGTAGGGATTTCCTACGGCTGGAATATAGTTCACATAGCACCATGGCTCAGACAATAGGCAAAAGACAGACCAGCTGCGAACGAAGCAGTCTAGAGCACGGCAGAGCTCGTGGTCTCTATTCTGGCCGAGCCTGGCTGAAGCGACCTCTTGGAGCTTGAGACAATATTCATCATCGATTCGATTTGCTGATCGGCCGATGGGGCCTGAGCTTTACTCACCACCGAAGATATTTAACATTTGTCCCGGCTCCTGAATCGCTCCCCTTTTTATTCTGGATTTTTCAAATCTATTGCCACTTGATGACTGGTCCTACGCCATGGTCAATCTACGTGAACTCGAGTCGCACACGTACGTTTTTCTGGTGGATTTCAGCTCCATTCGCCCATCGGCTCACTTCGAACGGAGGTCGGCAATCAATAGCCATGCAGCCAGAAGAATGCACTTGAAGCGAAGGCAGTCCCGAGGGGAGCAGCTAAAGACAGGGGGAATGTCAATCTTGACGTGGCAAGCCCTGGTGCCGAAAGGGCGGATTAATGGAAACAGATCTTGGTGCACGCATGCCGAGTCTCCACTGTTTGATGATGCATACCAAAGTGATGTAAGTCAAGATTTGAATAAATCCAGCTTCATAGCGTCTGCTGCATTCTCAAAACTCATCATACTGTGCTTCGAGGTATCGACAGAGCGATTCTGACACAAGAACTGCTGTTTGTTAGGATTCTAGTACATATCGACCACCTGTCAACCCAAAAGGTTGCCAAACGACGTCAAGACCGGCCCAGCAGAGTTGTTCAAGCAGTCTTACCGGTCAATGGCACCGAAAGTGGTCGTGTCGTCACGCAGTTCTCCAATCCCAACTGGATCACGATCAGGCTTGTGAAGTCTTGCCCGACTCCTTTGAGCGAGACAATAACTACTTGAAATCAGAGGAATTATGTCCGACCGATCGTTCAGCGGAGGCTGTACGGGGTACAACATTAAAAGCGACGTCAAAATCGTTCTTCCACCCAGCGGAATATGCCCCGTTGGCTATGCAGTCTTTCACATGCACCAAAAATGAACACGAGCTCTTTCATTTTCGTAAGTATTCACCGAAACAATCCTCGCCTAGAGCAACATCATAATTAATACTTGATTGATTAGTTCACAATACAGTCTCGAAGATCATTTGTGATCATGGTCCAGCAGCACCTCTATGCTACTTGCTACAAGCGGCGCATCAGTTCATCCACGACGAGGCCGTCATGCAGCTGATTATCTCGTTCTCCAGTTATATTTACTCTAGCTTCCTTGGAGGAGATGAGCACCACGAGAGAAATGGTTTGAGGCATTTCGTAGAGGGCATGGCGGTTGTCATTCAGAAATTGGGGCAGCCGCAATCCTCGACGTCTGAGAGCACCATTCAAGCGGTAATGTTGATGTCGGCAATTGAGGTGAGACCCCTGACGAAGTTAGCCCCAGACCCTGTTGGATTACATTAAAACGTGTCTTCCAGGCCCTTGCCGGAAATATGGAGGGAGTCAAGACTCACATTTCGGCGGCGAGACTGATGGTCAAAATGCGTGGAGGCCTGGAAACACTCTGCCCGCTTCTGCTATGGCAAATATGCTCGTAAGTAACTTCTCCGTTTTACCTCTAGAGCCTGACACTTTTACTAAGAAGCTGTTCTTTTTGCAGGGCCGAGCCACGTATCTTCGAAACCACCGGTCTAGAGACGTTTCCTTGTACGGATCGCCACTTCGGCTTGTTCCTTCTGAATTACCGACCGGATGTTGGCATGGAGCACACCACTCTCAGCGGAACATCGCCTTTCGACAAACAACCTGTCGACGATGTACTGGAGTTCTGTGATCCTCTCGATCTGCCCCCTAACCTTTACCTCTCAGCTTGCGTCACCGAGCTTTTGTTAGTAACGAGGCAATTCCGAGAGCTCAGCGAGGCAAGAAATCAGCTTCGTGAAGATCAAGAAAGCCAGCGTCCTTCACCGTACCCTTCTGCGTGGTGCTTCTCGGTATCTAACGCTGTTCGTTCGCCACATTTTTCAATCCTCAACCCAGAAAGCATGCAACTGGGACCCTGCAGCGTCAACAACAACGAAAAGGCAAAATCCTCACAAAAGCACGACACAACGCGCCTGGTGTGCTTGTTTTATATCCATGCAACACTGTGGAGGTATAGACACGAGCCAACTGAGACGGATAGGTACGTACGACGCATGGTTCAAGATGTGCAACAAAATCTACAACTGAGCCAAACACTTGACGCATTAAGCTGGGTACTTGTCTGGCTTTGTCTAAGTGACGAAAATCTAAAGACAGATGACAAAGAGATTGGTTGGAGAGGGCTGACGAGGTTGGTTTCGCGGTTAACCCGTGTTGCGGGAAGGCTGGGCAAGCAGAGCCGGAGGAATCTGGAGCTCGCCATGTTTGAAGGCCTGGTGGGCCAACAGCAGTTATCAGCAGTTGGGCAGGGTGAACGTGGTAAGAGTGCCGAGCATCCTAACAGAACCACCGGTGGCTGGAGGTGGCCGGAACCGGAGGAGGTCTGGAAGGAATTCATCGCATGATCGGCGTTGCCATTCCATATCTCAAAATGCGAAAGGGAAAAACCAGGGCTACGATAGCATGGACAAGAGCAGAGGAAGTGGCTTGATATATATTCGCGTTAGGGACTTGTATCCCTATGGTAAAGGAGTGTTATGTCACCCCATGCTACATAATACAATCACTTAATAGTCTCAAAGGCAGTCAGGTTGTGCTGGAAGTATTGAGACGGGGTTCTCTCCAAGATCTCGGAGCCTCAGCATTAACTGTAAACGGTCATTCACGTTTATGCACCCAATGGCTGTCGATGTTTGTCGCCTGCGCGAAGCCACGTCTGCTATTCAGCGTGACCGTGATAAGCGCAATTAGATACCACTGCTGGCCAGACCTTTTGACCAATCGGCCGCTATCGAGACAGTACCTATCACCACGAACGTAGTATTTAGGAAACCTGCCGCTCAGTCTCCTCATGCCTTGGAACGTGGCGCCTCACACCACGTAGGACCATACGCGATTTGGCCTTTGAGACTTCAAGTCCCTTCTACACAACTTGGCGCCATTTGACCGACTCGTGAGGATAGGACCAGGCCGACATATCCGTGGTCTGAGACTGAACCGATGCGCCAAGGCGTGGACCATCCTATATTTGCCACCACTAAATACAATGCGCTCGCTCCGTGATTGATACAGCTATTTCAGTGGCTTCTTAGTCAGGATTGGGCTTGCTTGAACGCCAAATGGTATGGCCTCGCTACTTAACCGACAAGCCTTTGCTGACATGGTTCGAAAAATGCTTATTAAGGTCTTGGAATTCAGCCACCACACATGTTCTGGGCACGATTAAGCTTCCGAGCATCGAGTGAGCGTTGGTTGTGGCACATGAGTGATTCAGCCAGAATCTGGAGCTGGAGGTCGAATTCAGAACTGCGGGAGTTTCCGTCCAATCCAATCTGGCAAGTGACAATAAGTGTACAGTCGGGCGCTCTTCGAGCAACCTGCAACAGCATTGAACAGAAGGATCAGACCAACCTTGGCCAAGGCGCGGGAGGGCTTGCAATCTGCAGCCCTACATCGCCATCACATCATGCCAAGGGGATTGGCGCTGGTCGGCTAGCTGAAGCAGGAATCAGCATGCCGGCGCACCTAAACCTTGTCGTGGTCTGGAAACCTATTCGGTCAACGGTGCCTTCAACCGGTCATTCACTCTGCGACGTATAAATCAGGAGGCAGCGTGCTCGCAGCCTGAACCTTTCACTTTTCATTGTGGCTATGCGAGACGTTATGGTAGTCCTCCTTTTACTTTACATGAGACATGAACCACCTCCATAGGCGGCGCGCCGAGGATTCTACAACGAATGCGTGGCAGTAGGATACCTCTGGTAAACGAGCCCCGGCCTCGCCATGGAGCCTATACAGCTATGTTTCGTCGAGGGCCGTCCACGCAAGCAATCGCAACGGGCAAAAGAACTGGTGTACTCGACCATCCGAGCGCACAACGCTAAAGTTGCTCACGCGAAACGGAGCAAGAATGCCGCGGCGCAAACCGTCGGACCGCCGTCAACCTCGACGGAGCCGTTGATCACTCGTTTTCGCATAGCTCCCTCCTCTGGGCGTGATCGAGAGCGCCAACCGGCGGAAGATGAGGAAGCCTTGAAGCGGGCTCGAGATATCGCTCGTGCAGCACAGATGGGCCACTTTCGGGGCAAGCAGTGGCTCTACGCCATGTTACACCGGCAATGGATGGACGCGATATGGACTCCGTTCTCGCCTCATGTTCCGAAGCACATTGCAATATGTATGCGAAGTCTGCTCCTTCAGAACAGCTGGTTCATGGCTATGTCTCTCGCTTGGATCTGACACTATTTTACCATAGACCAGCAAATGATTGTACCCACGATCCAGCTCGCGTTTGAAGTATTTCACGTCCGCAATACTCACAACTACGAATTTCTCCTGTGGATGACGCGACCCACGACGTCGGGCTACCATGCCGGGGCGGCCGGTCTGCAGCTTCTGTATGACCAGCAGGTCTCACCTGGCTGTGGACAAACCCGACAATGCCTCTCCCATAAGGTGCAAGCGTCTGCAATCTTGAGAGAGACCTTGTCTCAGTCACCGACCAGGGTGCCTGACGACGAATTACTCGTTATCTTGTCTTTAGCAACGGTGGAGGTAAGGATAAACCTGGATCCAGTTGCCACACTACCCTCCCTAAGAGCTTATCAGCGAACAGTGGATTTAGAGGTTCACCAGTATCATCTCGAGACATTGTCAAAGATTATTACCGCCCAGGGTGGCATGCATCTGGTAGCCGATCACCCTCAATGCACAATTCTGCAGTAAGCACTGTATTTTCGTAGCTTGCACTTGCACACGATGCGAGAGGAACTCGGAAGTCAAGACTCAATACCTTTCTGAAGCTGATATCTCTTTTCCAGGTTCGACGCATGGTGGAGCTTGTCAACCGGACTCCGATACTTCTCTTCGCCGCTGTCTCTCCCACAACCTGAAGCCGAGCCAGAAACACTCTCCGCTCGATTTCGGGACCAAATTCGCGAAGTGCCCATGGGCTTCCACCACTTCATTCTGGCTGGGAAATGGTCCCTCAGCACCGTCGAGATTCTCATCCGCCTCGCATATGTCTATCACAGGGGCAAGCTTGAAAGGGACGCGGCAGGCCGCATCGTCGGCCTCCCCAACACGGCTCGACCGGTCTGGCGAACTTTCCAAGAGGCGTGTCCAGCGCTAGACGCGCCGGGCGCGAGCAGGGAGAAGCTGCTGGCATTGGCGCTGGTCTTGTACTGCGGGATCGGCTTCGACTCGGCGCCCGTATCGAGCAATGGAGGTCTGGCGTCGAGGGGGGCGCTTACCAAAATCCTCACTGCGGACGAATTGCCGTCCGAGTCGCCGGAAGAAGAGTCCTTTCTCTTTTGGGTGTGGATGGTGACGATATGCGCGTGGCACAACGCCTCGGGCAGCGGATTCTTGCCGCCCGGCATCGACCTGCTTCTGAGGCTGCGCCGGAGATTCGCAGATGTCGAGGACTGGAAGGCTGCGAAAGAGATACTGGAGGGGTTTTTCTGGAACGAGAAGCTCAGCGAGCTGTGCAGGCTCAAGTTTGAAGAAGCTCGATCTTGATGGTCCTTGGGAGCACCTAATGGGCTGTCCTTATTCTTATATTCCAATCCTTGACGGTCTTCTACAAAGTGCGTTCGGCCTTGGGAACGAGCCCCTCGTTTCAAGTGTAGCTTGAAGGTGCCGTAGCCGTTCTAACTTTAGCAACACTGCTTCAGGAATAGCTCCAGCAAAGCGAGGCGCATATATTAAAACTTGTGATACCCTCAGCCTGATCAAGAAGATAAATCTCCAACACTCTCCTCGTTTTTGTTGAACAATTCCAGACTACTATAGCAATGGAGTATTAGTGCACACCATAACCCTAAAAGCGCGGGAGTGGGGTGAGATTGCAGCCTCCCTTGTACGTGGTGACCCCAAGACCTCCGCAATCAGGTCGGAAAGACTTCAGATGACTTCCATCTGTTCTTGTGGGATGAATGAGCTGCTGTGCTTTGCTGTGCTTTGCTGTGCTTTGGGAAGAGGCTGAACGATCTGATAGGCGACTGAGTGACGCCGCCGGAACTCATTGCATTTCTCACTCGCCCTCTGTCTCTACTATCCGAATCAATACCTTTGCTCTTTTCGCGGTCCCTGAAAGGATAACCCGGACAATCATACCCTACACAGATGGGCCTTTCAATCGCCAGTCTTCGGTGCGATGATCTCAGAATGGGTGACCTCGGCCTTTAGCTCTTGGGCCTTCACCGGCAGAGCGACTCCTTCATTCTCGATTGTCGTCAGCAGCCGGCCCGTCCCACAAGTCTCGTATTTCTTAAACTGCCATGCGTGGAGCTTGGCGGCGAATAATTCGTCAACTTCTTCCAAAGACCGACCCTATTCACCAGGCTCGTTAACATCGGGCGACTTAATGGGGAGTTGTAACGCAGTCTGGAAGCTTGCGAAGTACTCACTTTGAGTTCTGGAAAGAACAGGGCTCCCCAAAGAGTGGAAAAGAGCGCAACAGACCCGAAGATCCAGCCAATGTTAACACCCATGCCGGGTAGCAGGTAGGGTGTTACAAAGGTGACCAGAAAAGCAGCCACGACATCACAGACTGTACCGAATGACTTCAATGCGGTCAGCTCAGTCCACGCCAACTCGGAGGGCAAGTACATCCACGACTTACCATTATCTTCTTCCTCATTCTGACCCCTCCTATCTCGGCGCCTGTCAGGAAAGCGCAGTTTGAAGCCGATATCCGACAGAAAGCCGGGAGGATCATGAAGCAGGCAACGAGAGTATATGTCTCGCTGTGGTTCGGGTTATGGATCAGGCCCAGGCCCGAAGCGAGGTAAAGAAGGAAGGTTGCCACAGCGCTGCCTCCAATGAATAAAGGACGACGCCCTGTGAAATCGAAAAGAAGAAGGCCGGCTAGACATCCAACAACCCCGATCGCCCCTCCTATAATGTTGTAGGTGAAGGACATAGAGCCCAGACCCTGTTGTACATAGAATGTAGGGGCGTACGATAGAACAAATTGATTCCCATTCATTTGTTCAAGGACGAACAGCGTCGCACAGATCTGTGTTATTAAATATCAGCACCAGCAGCGTATTCGAGGACGAGAAGGCAACACACCCAGGTACGTCTCAGGTAGTTTCCGCGGAATATATCCAACCAAGACCCACGCTCGTTGGCCCTGGACTCTTCGATAAGCAGGTCGATCGCTTCCACCTCGGCGGCCGTGGCTCCGTTGTCGACATCATGCTTAGGTCTGATCTTGTCGAGGGAAGCTTTGGCTGCTTGCTTGCGACCTTTGAGGACCAGCCACCGTGGGGATTCTGGGGTGAACGGTATGAGGACGAGAAATGCGACAGCAGGAACAAGCTGGATTGATGTCGGAATCATCCAGCCTTTCTGCGTTTCGGTGGTCGCGTATGCTCGTGACAGCCCGGCGCCCAAGAGGTTACCGAGTCCGGTGACGAACATTATTGAACCTGACAGAAGACCTCGTGCCGCTGCTGGGGCTGTCTCGGCGTTGTACGCCGGCACAACGTTTTCGACCAGACCCACGGCGAAGTATGCGATTATACGGCCAACAGTGAACTGAGCCCAGTTGTGTGCTGTCAACTCGACTGCATGTAGTGTCAGCACAATGAGAAAACCGATGCTCCTGCTACCCGTGGAGGCGAAGACTTACTGATGATGCCCACAATTTGCACCATCCCGACAACATACATGGTTTTCTTGTACCCAACAGCTTCAATAACCCTTTCAACAATGGCGCAACCAACAACTTTCCCAGTCCATGGTAATGAGTTCATCAAAGCCTTCCGCGTCGGTGGCAACGCAAACTTCCCCTTGGCATCCATGACCCCGAAACGGTTCAAAAACGACGGAAGGGCTTGTAACGAACCAAAAGAGCCGGTGTCACTGCAAGCAATCAGCTCAAGCTCCGTTGCGGACTTCAAAAGGGAACATACATGCCGAACATGACGGCGCCGAGAAGAAAGACACTTGAGTTGAAGACCAGGTAGGGCGTTAACTGATGCCATACCTTGAGCGCCATCGTGATGGCAGCCCAGCGGGGAGAATCTGTCGTGCAGGTTTCAGTGAAGCTACCCCGGGTCTGGAGCAGGCGGAGACGAAGTGGCTATTATATAGCCCTACAACCGATGGCACCATCGCGCCGTTGATCCATTCTGGGTTGAAGATTGACGGTGGGAGGGATTAGAATGGATTAGCGGCTCTTGCTGCATCGGCACCGAGAGCCGTTTCACGTGGTTCGATGCCGCCGACATACTTTTGCATGCGGAGGACAACGTTCCCCATCAGCCGGCCCATCGCATTTTGGAAGCATTGCCATCACATGGCCTCCTCGGTGCCTTCGTCAAAAGCCCCGAACGGGTCTTGAAACAGGGACATCTGATCCCAGGCACTGGATACCGACTCCAGATAAGGGAACGCATCGCCCAGCTCCACATTTTCCGTTGATTCCAGACTCGGAAACGCCTCGTTCACCGGGAATGGTACCGGGTGGGCATCACTTGGCATTTCCGGTGGTGTCAAGGTCGCCTCGCCCACGTTGGGTTGCTCCGGAGGCTGTATGGGTGTCTGGATCTTCGCTGAGGGGATCATTTCAAGCTTAGGACTGTCGTCTGTGAAACCGACGTTGCCCAACACAGTATGTCTTGAAATGAACTGCTTGGGGACGATCTCCCTTGTGAATTTCAGGGGTTTGGGATTCCCTAAAGAGCCTTGCGCCGGGGGAAGCAGTGCCTGCTCGATGCTCGTGATCTGAAAGAGATATTAGAGGAACCGTCGACGCCGCAAACATCGGCTGCTTACCATAGGAGTTACTGCTGGGTACATATGGGACATCTGTCTGATTAGTCGCAGACAAATGGTCACATCCCGTACAATGTCCTCAGCCGAGATGCCTAGCCGATCCCGATGTGTGGTGTCACTGACCAACAAGACCTCTGTGGCGCTATGTGCACACTCTGCCATTTCATACTCCAGTGTCCATGTACCGCCCTCGATTTCTAGAAGAGAGGAGAAAATTTCGGCAATCGTGTGAGCATGGAGGAGACATTTGACTTGCTGTTCATGACTGGCATCTGCACCGAGATGGTCCAGATAATCCTGTGGCAATGGCTCGCCGAGAGCGGGTATTGTACCACGAAATAGTTGACAATGGCATTGATGCCACCAGATATGCGTCATTACATAACGCGGTAGACGAGGTGAATATGCTCGCAATGCCAGGTTCCTCTCGGAGAATTGTTCGCCTGGAGGCAGTCTCGAAACGAATGTCTCCAGATCCTTTTCTAGGTTCTGGAAGCGCGATGATGTCGCACGGAAATCGGACCTTGAGGACATAGCTTGCCTCTTGCACCTTGGGAGATGTTAAGAAAGAAACAAGGAGACACCAGGAGACCACCTACCTCAGAATCTCGTCATGGAGGTTGATTATGCGCACATAATAGGCTAATATTCCGAGACGAACAGATTGAGGCCCATGCTCTCGGAGACGGTCGAAAATGTTCTCATTATTGAGCTCAAAGTCGTCTTCCACCGCTGGAAGGCGAAGATGTATCGCGGTTATTGGGCACAACGTATACTCCTGAAGTCCGCAAGCCATCGTTGAATCGAGGATGTAGATAGCCCACATCAATCTGCGTCGTGCTTCTTGGACATAAAAGGAAGGCCGTAACGTTTCATGATTGATCCGCAGAGCAAACGCGGAACGTGTAAGTTGAGCCATGAGCAAAACTGCGTCATCATGGGAACCGGTCCATATTCTGTACCTGATGACGAACAACAATGCCTGCAACTTGAAGAAGGAAGGCCGTTTGAATTCAGCCATGATCAGGCCCTCCGCCAGGTCTGCGCACCGTGAACCGATCTCTCTATCGCTCGCTGAAGAATCTGAAGTATGCGATGTGACTGCGATGATCGAAGCCAGTAGTGCTTGATCTGCCTGGTCTTGGTGAACCAGTCGTAAGAGAGAGGCCTTGTGCAGAATTGCAAGGCTCGGAAGTGGCTGTAGATACTGGAAAAAGGCTCGGATAGCTTTCAAGATCCGTTCGCGTGTGAGCAGAGGGGAGCTATCTCGAGTCAAAAGTGGCTCGAGTTTTGCATTGAGCTGACTTACTTTATGGTGGATGATCCATGAGATCGATCTCGACCGAGATGCTCTGCAAAGAAAGGGCTGGATTGGGACCCTATCTCTGAAGCTCCCTCGAAAACGGCATCACCAAAGCTCCGTTCAACTGCAGGAGAGCCAATGCCAACCAGTTGCTTGTCGCGCGCTGGATAAACGCATTCGATACCCTTATTGTGGCATCGGTCGCAACTCGGCAAATCTCCACTGCACCGTGTCTTCATTGAGTGACAAGTTCTGCAAGCCCGAGACACACGAGCCTTCTTTGGCGGCAATTCAGCTGATATTGAGCCTTCGCCCGGCTGAAAATGGCGAAAGGAGCAACTGAAACCCAGTCGAGAGCAGTTGCTGCAGGACTCATCTTGCGCGACACCGTCACAGCGCACCTAAGGGTGTTCAGCGCTGACCCTTGCTTGAGTCTCGAGAGAGTTGGCTAGCCGTACCTTTCGACTTCTACATTGTGTGCATGTCTGCTTTCTGCCCAGGATAGCCCCACGCCCCGACGACTCGGTCTCGACACGCGAAATACCTTGGGCACTCATCATCTATTGGGTCCTCGAAAGGCCATCAGTACGGAGAACGAGCAGCAAATGTATAGAGTGCTGCGGAAGCTGAGAGGCGAACTGAGGTCAAAGACGTTGGAAAATGTTCGTGGGATTTTGATAGGCGACAAACTAGGGGGTAAATGAGGCCTGTAAGACGAAAGGTTAGTGGCATAGCGGTAGACAAACTTAGTCTCCAGATGAAGGAGCTTGCGGTGCCTATGGCTATGGCGCAATGCTCGCTAGATTCACCACAAGAACCTTCCAACCTCCAGGCTTTGAGGGCCTAAGGCTTGGTGGCGAAAACTATCTGCGAAACCATGCTTCCCCGCGCAAAACCTGTGCATCGAGGATGGGAAATTAGTGGCCTAAGCCCCGCGATTGGCATTGACTGCGAGTGAATGCTGATCTTACGAATCTTGCGGTGCTTCTACAATGCTTTGCCTCCCTCCTCAACAGCTGCGCCTCGGAAACCTGAGATTTGAGTGGTCGAACACCAGGTTCGTATGGCCCCTGGATCTCCTGCCATGACATTCCATCTCGACGGTCCCTTCCAACTGATGGGGCGGTCAAGACCGTATCCCCAAGAGCTCCCCGACAGTATCAGAGCAGCTCAATCTCTGACTTGATGGTGCTGACATGGAAGTTTACGATCCAGGAGTAGGGCAAGATCTTGAGGAGGAGGTTGCGGAAATAGTAGGCGATGGTGCTTTTGGGGATAAACCACGCCGCCATGCGCCTGGAACGGGCTTGGAGTCGTTCAATCGACGGACGGAGCTTCGCCTCGTGGTTTCGGAGCGCCTCAAGGACGTCCGGCGTTTTCTGGAGTTCTTTGCCTAGTATCTCCGCCGACACCAGTGCCATACCGGCGCCCTGCCCTGAAAGAAGCGTCAAGCAGTGTGCTGCATCGCCCAGGAGGACCACTCGGCCCTTGGACCATCGCGGTAGGGTCACCAGCGTGAGACTGTCCATGTTCACCAGAGCGCCAGCTTTGTCGGCCTGATCAACAGCGTCGCGCACTTGCTGAACGCTTTGGGAGGTGATCTTGCGGAGAATGTCAAACTTGTCCCGGGAGCTTTCTGTCGATAAGGTCTGGTCCTCGCGCCAAATGTGCATGCCGGTCATGCCTTTGTCTCGCAAAGCGAACAGCATGTCCAACTGTCCCGGGCGGTTGAACGAGTGACAATCGTTCTGCGTTTCCGCCTGCTGGCTGAAATTGTAGGCGGCATAATAGTATCCCAGTGGCTCCAAGAACTCGCCCTCGCTGTCTTTCCAGAGCGACCGACGAATTTGAGAACGAAATCCGTCGGCGCCAATCAACAGGTCTGCCTCGATCACGTCGCCCCCGGCGAGGACGACACGAACCTTGTCTCCCTCCTCAGTGAACTCGCTAACGGTCTCCTGGAATCGGATCGAACAGCTGTCTGGAAGGCTTTTGGCGAGCAGTCGTGCCAATTCATCACGACGGACGGCCAGCGCATCCAGCCCACCACCGTGCACGTCGACGTACTTGACACGACACAGTTCCCTGCCGTTGCAGTCGTTGATGATGTTGCAGTCAAAATGCTGGGCAACCGATTGAAGCTCGTCCAGAAGGCTCATATGCTTGACGGTTTCGTGTCCGAGCCCGGAGATGGTCATGGTATAGCCGCCGACGCGAAAGGCTTCGGCCCTGTCAACGACGATCGACTGCCAGCCAGCCTTGTCTAGCCACCAAGCAGCTGCCAGACCGGCGATGCCAGCTCCCACGATAAGCGCCACTGGTTTGGCCATGCCAAGGCTGAGGTCTCATCTGAAGTAATTTCACTTGGAGGACTCTTCGTCGTGGAATCGGTCACAGCAGAAAGGTCGATATATATCACTAAATGCAGACTGTTCCAGTGAAAAGCCAGTGCTTCTCTGGTGGACACTGTGATAGCATTTGGATGCGAATACGGAATCTGACGATGGCAGGCCGATATCGGACTGCGAGACACATGCAGTGTACTTCATCATCTACCACGCGTTTGTTCGGCGTCGCAATTCTCGGTTGGTAGATATTTACTTAAGCTTTTCTTGGGGTTAGGACGCCCAGCTGCCGACGAGATCAAGTGCCAGGGGCGTCCGGACCAAAGATAACAACCCTCTCAGATGAGGACCTTAGAGACTCGGCCTTCGGTGAACCCCAGCCTCGCTTCCCAAAGCCCACGAAAGCGCGAAGCGGACTAGGAGCATGCAGTCTATCACGACTAGAAATCCTTCTCAATTCCAGACCTACCGGACAAAGTCTCTATCCCGGGAAATCAGAAGTGTATCTGAACTCGCCATCTTAGCTAGCCGAAAGGCTGCTTTGATGGGTACGGGTACCAGAGCTGTAATTTGTTCCCCTAATAGAATCTATAATCGCCAGCAATCCGCAGTGAATGCAGTCTCCGCAAAGAAATTTCTATGTCCTCGAGACCAATCGTGGGTCGTCTACTCTATACCTTTCCATTCCCCCCAGTGCCACAGAATCGAGCACAAAGTCAAACGACGTGGGCATTTTCAACTTCTCGCCCGCGTACCGGCGCAGCGCCATCACGCTCTGTCCATCCCGCAGGAGCCACGGATCCTTGGTCTCCTCTTGCCACGTCTCGCACTCATGTCTCATCTGTGCCAACACTGAAGCATACTCGGGCTGATCTGCCAGGTTCCTCACCTCCACCGGGTCTGATTCGAGATCGTACAGTTCTTCCGCTGGGCGGCGGACGTACTGCTTGAGAGAACGGGCACCGATCAGGACGTCCGCGCCCTCTTGGCCCGGCTTGCCTTGGTGGTTCTTGCGGACTCCTTCTAACGTCAGACTCGCGTACAAGTCCGAGGCGAACGGAAAATCAAGCTGCCACGCGATGTTCCGGTGGTACTTGAACCGTCGATTGCGCACGACCCGCGTGGGCCAGTAGTTGGCGATTTCATGGAACGTATGAGACCCGTACACCTTGTGCTGCCACTGGTCTTCGGGCAACACATCAGAACAGCCAATGATGTGCAGAAAGGACCGACCAAGACGTCGAGGTGGAGGCGGCGGACGCGTTTCCAGTGTGTATACCTGACCCTTTGGCAGCTCGATAGGGGCGCGAAATTCGAGAGGTGCGCCGGCCCAGGCGAGAAACGTGGGCAGAATGTCGATGTAGGATATCATATTGGGATTCCGCGTTCCCGGCTGCGAGCATCCTGGGGCGCGCACGATGAAAGGGAGCTGTGTCCCAGCGTCGTAGAGAGTAGTCTTCGAGTTGATGAACGGCGGGCCGTTGTCACTGCAAAGGACAACTAGGGTAGAGCTTGCGAGGCCTTTGCGTTCGAGAGCATCGAGCACCAGTCCGACACCATAGTCCATACGCGCGATGGCTTTGTAGTATTCCACGTATTCGATTCGTGTTTCGGGCAGGTCGGTCAGCCATGCCGGAATCTCGACTTGGTCGGGTTGGAAGTCTGGTGCGACGAACTTGCCCTCGCACGTCTCGCCGTTGCCAAATTCACTGCGGGTCGTGATGTCTCTGTGAGGGTCGACGTATCCCACCGTGAGGAAGAACGGCCGTTTTGTCTCCTTGGCTCGCTCAAAGAACGCCTCCGCCCGCTCTGCGACCCACGCGACATTCCTCGTCTCGCTTTCCTCTCTCGACTCCCATGGGAAGACGGGCGCCGGACCTACATGCACCTTGCCTACAATGCCCGTTTGATAGCCCAGGGCGTTGAACAGCGTGGGCGCGGATTGTACGTGGTCGAAGGACTGGAAATGACTTGTTCCTCCGGCAAGGCCATACTGTCCGTTCTCGTGTGGGTGCAGGCCAGTATACATGACAGTGCGGCTGGCGCTGCACGAGGCTGTACTCGTAAAAGCGAGGTCAAACGAGGTTCCATTGGCCGCGAGCTTGTCGATATTGGGCGTTCGGAGCCCTTTTGCACCGTAGCAACCTAGGCATTTACCTAGATCGTCGGCTATCAGGAAGAGAATGTTTTTCCGGGAATTGTCTATTGAACCCATTACGTTCTGAGTCTGGCGTTATGATACGGGCAAAGGAAGGAAAATCAGGAGCTGGGAAGACCTTGGCATGTCTGGAAATCCTAATGATACTTAATGCCTTTAGTCCAGAAACCGGAAGGAGTACGTGGTGGCTCATCCGTCTAGGAAGCCGACCGAGCCGACCGACGTCCAGGACTGTGCCGGCCGGAACCCTCGCCGCTTTGCCCACCTCAGCTTCCTAAGCGCTCTCGGGGTTCTGCCGAAGGGTTTTTGGGTTGCCGCAATATCCCGTTCGGCTCTCTTAAAGAGGTACTTATGGTCGAAGTTGAAGATGTAGTTGGAACGGCCAGGAGATTGTCAGTACAGACAACACGAGATGGATCGAAATAGACCAACCTGTGCGCTTTGCGCCGCAGTATGCTTTGATGCGGCGGAGTAAGCGGATACGACAGCGCAGTTAAGCTGAACTATATTAACACTGAACCCAGCCTGGCACGTTATTGCCACTACCAAACACTTTCCCAGTAAGGCCTTGGTATGTTTACCGTTGTGGGCGGCTGTATCACCGAAACGCTCATGCGATGTCCTCTTCATCTTTGTCTAGATCCCTGCCACGGTCAGGCGCAGAACTAGGCTATGATGTGCCATCTGAGAAAAGGGCGTGTGGCGCCGCTTCAGCCGTTCTCTGAAATCCTCCTCCAAGAGATGAGTAGCGGCAACAACAATTGCATTGACTTGGTGAATTACAGCTAGCGTCTACCGTCCTAAGTCGGCGTTAGCTTTGGAAACCACGAAGGCAGTCCTACTAAGTAGGGAGAGGCGGAGGGAGAAAGGATGAAGGAGCCGTTTGGAGGGACAGAGTAGAATGTGGGGAACCCGCTGGGCCTGTGAAGAAATGTTTCGATATTAGGTATCGGGAGGGTTCTTGAAAAGGAATCTCGAGAAAACGAGGCGGGGCGGCGTGTGATCAGATGGATACATGTACTGATGTCTCGCTCTGATGTTGTTATTACTACGCCTTTTATCCAATTGAATGTGGTCCAGATCCATTCATGGTCCATTTCTATCCTCAAATATTCAGCGTCATCACATCGTAAGAATAAAAAACGCCATCAAAGTGGCTCCTAGTGTCCAGAACACCGGATGAGTAGTGGGGCCTGCGTTTGTCGGTGTATTTGCCGGGGCCTCTGTAGTCGTGCTGGCGCTGCTGGGGGTCGACACCACCGCACTTATGATGTCGACGGTGTTGACGAGCGTCTCTACTCCAGAAGGGCCGTTCGTCACAACAGTATTCAGGGATGTCGATGTTACCACCTTGGTAATCGTCCCCATGGCTGAAGACGAAGCTGTTCCTTCGCCAGCGGCAGAGTTAGAGCCTCCCGACGTGGCTTCGGACGATGCTTCGGACGGTCCGGAGGTTCGCGTGGCCGAGTTCGATGACGGTGCTGTTTGCTGCCCTCCCCCAGACGAAGAGCCGCCCTCATAAGATACAGACGTATCGGTGATGAACCTGGCGGTAAATTCTGGAACAGCTGGGGCGGGGGGGTAGTACGGTGAGCACGATTGCAGGGCTGCGTCCGTAGTGAAAATCTTCTTGTAAGTATTCGCCATCCCGACGTATTCGCCCCACCAAGTTGTGAACAAGAGACCACCAGGATCCGGCCCATACGTATTAGTGGGCGTTGTGAACGTAGTCTGCTGCGACCAGAAGTCCACAAACTCTATGGCACTGGCGTCGGTAGAGCAAATGGAATTGCTATTCGCGTCCGTTGTGGGCAACGTTCCATTCCACGTGTACCGATCCGGGAAATACTGGAATGGGGTAGGGAATGCGCTAGAAGAACATGAGCGAAGAGCTACCAAAGGGGCTTCAATTCCAGCCTCACACGTCGGTGGTCAGAGTTTTACCAGTTCGAACATACGCCACTGGAACTGTCTGTGTGCCCTGGGCATTGGTGTTGGTGGGCACTGTGTAGCCGGCGGGTAACTCATTGTAAACTGTCGAAAGCCTGGTAACGTGTAAATCGGTGTTGACTATTTGGACAACGGTAGCGGCAACGATCGTGGTAGTAAAGTCCTGCGGGGCCCAATGAAGGACGAAACCGTTACCGACGGTTACGGTACAATTGGCCGCGCATGTTTGGCCGGCAGCTACTAGGATGTCAGAGCGGATGTTTCCGTGTTCGGGCAGCTCATGTACAACTTGCCTTGTAGTGGTAACAGAGACAAAGCCAACGCTGTTGCGAGAACGGTCACAGAGCCGGGAATCCGCATTTTCGGGAACGATTGGAACTACTCCAAGGGAGGCAATTTGATAAGTCAAAAAGGAGCTTCGTAGTACGCAGCCGAGGATGCCAATACTTATATTCCATAGGATGCGGCTGAGCTGACCGAGTCCAGATACTCGATAACGATTTACGCAGGAGCACCCGTTACTAAAAGCTCGCCGCAGCATCAGGCTGTGACAAAAGAAACATCAAGATGCGGTATTCCCGCTCGATGGTCCGGCACCAATCTCGCCATACGAGGTGGCGGAGTAGACAACGAGACGCGCCTGCTACCACTGGCATGGCAGAAAAAAGGCAACACCACGCGAACTTGGGCCGAGGAAAATCTAAGCCATTTCTCCTGAGCTTGTAAAGCGAAGCCTTGTTTCCACATACTAAATCTATTGGCTTGGCACGGATCCGGAATACGTTGATTGGATAGAAAATTTATTATTGTGGCGTACATCAGCCCACGGCGCACATCTTGATCAAGAAGGAATAGCATCGTATCTTACTAGTATTGTAGCTAGGTCTACTTGATGCGCTCCTGACGGAACTAAATGGAGGAAGGTCTCCAGGTAGGCCAGTACCGCTAACCCGGCGCCTTCTCGTCCCATTTCTGTTGCTTGTCACCGCTGTGAGACCGAGAAACCAGGGGCAGGGCCACATTCTCTCGACAAAACCCGGAGCACTCTCAAATTTCATCAATTCAACGGCCTTGAGATGTCACAGCACGGTCACCCTGGCGAAGCTCTTGAGACCACTTTGGGCGACCCCGCAGTCAAGCAGTCGCAAGGCAGTGACTCTGTAGAGCGTGGAACACAATTGGAGGAGTCTACTGTGGAAGTTGCAGCCAACTATCCGCAGGCCGATGACTCTGTCGAAACTCGGACACTATTAGAGCAGTCTGCTGTGGAGGTCGCAGCCTCACTTGAACCCCAACCCGATGGCACACCTTCCGAGAATCCTGATCATGCAGGAGAGCACCGTCGAGAGCCAAGCACGACGAGTCTTGTGTCGACCGAACTCCCTAAGAGAACGCGGCTGAGTTTTGCGCTCTCCAAGACCGGGTGGGATATTGCGCTTGTGACTCTCACCACGGGCGTGTTTGTGGTTACGGCGTGGTTTGCCCAGGCTACCTTCTCCGTCTCCTCGGTGAGCAACTTGAAGTGAGGCTTTTGCGTGGTATTCAGCCCTCTATTTACTGACGGAGGGCAATAGTTCAAGCTTAGCAAGAATGCTGGACGTCAATATTTCTTCCACCTTGACTATCCTGAGATCGCTCCAAGCGGTGCTGTCCGTCTTAGCGACCTCGATCCTGCTGAAATCTTTTGAGATGGTGCAGTGGGCTCTAGCTGCCCGAGAGGATGGCGTCGGATCGCTCTGCTTGCTAGGTCTGTCGCCGACGTCCAGCATTCTCGGGACGCTGCAATTAGTCTGCAGCAGAAGGGCAAGATGGATGGATCGAGCGGCCGCTTCCGCACGCGTTATCCTGCTCGCAGCGATATGGATCTCGGGAGTGGTGCTCTTCGCAAGAACTCGGTTGGTGGTGGAGTACGAGTCTGTGAAAACGTACAATGTCACTGCCGGCGTGGGCGAGTTCAACGGCTCGTATATACCCGAGTACCTGCAGCAGTTCCAGGACACCAACGCCGGGTATAACTATTCAGTCCTGCCCTACTCCACCGTCGTCACGGCGTCCAACCTAGTTGTCAATCCCATGCATTCCACAGCCATCGACCCGGTGATCTGTGCCAGTGGCAGAGTCTGCCACGGATACCTCATGTCCGGCGGTTTGATCATGACGACTCCGTGGCCGCCAACCGACTACCCTTCATATCCGGTAGTGACCATCCGGGATGCGCCTTCCACGCAGATCGACTTCGTGCGAGGCATCCATAACGACACCTTTGTCGACTCGGAGGACTGTCTTGTCTTTGGTGCCGACGGGTTCCTGATCGGGATCAAGTTCTGTCTGGCGCGGAGTCAATCGGCCCCAGGCTCCCTGTTCGCAGGTACGTTGAAAAGGTCCTCTGACCCACTTTCTGACACTTAGAGGAAGCAGGCGTCTTTGTGTGCACCGAAGGGAAGCATGGGGACGAATGCTGGACAAACACCAAGCCTGCCGAGGTCACCACTACGTTCTCGGTATACCGCAGGCACGCGTTGATAGTCGCCGCCAGGTCAAACTTTTCAATCCTCTCAGTCGATAACGTAGACGTGCCCGTACAAGTTACAAACCTCGACATCGAAGGCCTGAAAGAGGCCTACACCTGGATGTTCAACTTCAGCGCGGCGGGAATTCCAGCCCCGTCTTCGATCGCCCAGTACTTCTGGACCGTACAGGATCAGCTGGAGAACGCGTATTGGTCCATCGAGCCGTACCAGATTTTTCAGAGCATCCTGGCTTTCCCGCTGTGGCAGTTCAACCCGAATAACTTTGGCAACGTGCAATTGGACGCGCAGAACATCGTAGCCGGCCTCCCAGAAGATTTCTACACTACTGCGTCAATTGGTGATCCGTATGATAAAATCGTGGTGGACCGGTGCGTTAGTGATGATCTCCCCCTGCAACTGTTTGCTAACCGCCCTGGCAGCCCGATGTTCATCTTGTTTTGTACGCTGCAGTCAATCGTGCTGGGGTTGGCTTGGACTGTTCTGATCTGGGCGTGGATGACAAATCCTGATCTTCCAGAGATATCCTCCTACCCGCTGGTCGACTTTGCGATGAAGACTCGTCTCGTGGACGCATCCCTGCCGGCGACCAACTCCCACGCCGGCCGCGATATGGATGACGGGCTAGCCGCAGCGGCGGGTGACAAGCTGATTAGAAAATACCTGCAGAACATTAGGGTCGTGATCAGGTCGAAGCTCGAACTTCGCCCAGCCAAGGTACCGAAGATGGCGTCAGAGGAGACCGTCGCGACCTAAGAAGAAAGAGAAGACGTGGTGTCAAAAGGGCATTAGATCTTTCCGCCCAGACGAAAGGCAGTATGATGGAGAATCGCAGAACGAATTCCAAAATGCACAGCGACGAATCTTGACCTCTCCAGCGTCCATTTCCGTTTCCACGCCTGAACATCCCGCCGTTTGACTGAGTCATGACCAAGCGATTCAAAGCTATGGCTGTGCAGTCATGAGCCCCGGTTTGACAAGCCCTGAGCCATGCCCTGAATCGCATAAGTCCAGTTTCGAGTCTGCTAAGGGCCGCACCACTTGGGCCTTTAAGTAAGTTATTAGTCTAAAAGGGTAGGGGAGACCTCAAGTAGCCCTGTAACAGACCTATGAAATGCACCACTCTTGCTGTTTAGGTGTGTACCGGGCCCAGCAAGTTCTCATCGTTGAACGTTCGCCCTCTGGGTCTTCCAGAAGCCAGGCAGAAACGTCATCGCCGATTCCCGCCATGTACAGACACCGCTCATAGCAAGCGAACATGATATCCTCCGACTCTTCTTCCACGCTCACAAGGGCCACATGTCGTCCGTGGGTTTTGGTGGGCTTCTCGTAAAAGATCAAGGCTCCGAGCCGGCCGTGGAGCTCTGGCCATTCTTCTCCTTCGGGCAAAACCCCGTAGCAATGGCCTTCGATGACGAGCAACGGAGGCTCTTTGCCCGCAGGAAAGTCGCTCGGATCGATGAAGCATCCTTCGGCGCTAAAGTAGAGTCCCTGGCTGGTACGGAAGGCCTCGGTGTCATGTCTTGAGTTCAATGGACCCGAGGCAGCTAATCCGGCTCCTAAGAAAGACTTGGGCATCCATCGCAGTCCTTCTGTGCTCATCCGAGGGAGAGGCATGAACAGCAGGGCTCTTGGTACGCTCTGGAGCATACCGATCAGCACTTCCATCCGCGCAAGAGGCGACGCCCTCTGGACACGCCCAACATCCAGGTCTAAGACAATGGCGAGGCATATCGCCTCGTCTCCAGGCCAACTCGTACTCCGCCAACCGACTGCAGAGATGACCTCACCAAGTCGTTGATAGTCCAGTACGCTGCCGAATTCAGGATTCATCAACGTTCGCTTGTAGCCGTTGCGCAGCTCGAAATAGAACGGCCAACATTCTTGGTATACCGGGTTAAATCCTCGTAGCCAGTAGCGGAATGACGGGCCGTTGTGACAGCGCCGGAGCCTCTCGAGGAGTCTCTTGTTGCATCTTTTGGGAGGGCCACCTTCAGCCCACTGGGAACGGGCATCGGGCGAGCTGACGAATGGATTTTCCTGCTCGTGGTCCCATTCACCCAGATGATTTCGTTTTGCCCGGAGGATTTCCGACGTGAGAGTGCGTGATTCTTCATGCATCATCTCGGTCAGCTCTTTGCGAAGGGCGATTTCCTCTTCCAGAGCTCTGATATCTTCCTCCGTAACTGGACCTTGTCGACTACTTGCCAGTTCTTCTCGCACCTCCGCCAACTCATTCATCAATTCATAACAGCGATCCAGCTCCAGGTTATATTCTTCAACTCCGTCATCGTCAGGGATTCTCTTGTGGACGATGGGTGCCAGTTCATCGGCATGATCGTCATTTTCGCATAATTGATCTTCGGTAGGGAGGCAGCCTAAGCTTTCCTCGTCTTCCTCAAGTTCAGCCACTGACATCGCTTGTATCAATGCTTCGCAAATCGTCCCGTTGGGCCCGTCCCTGTCAGCAATAAGATCACGCGCGTGTATAGCTGTACAATCGTGGGGGAACTCCGAGTTGAAACGCCGCTCAATGTCGTCTCCCCAGATCAAGCCATCTTCTAGCTGGAAGAAGACTTGTCTTGCGAGCATGCTCTCGTGCCAGGTCCAGAGTCGCGTCGACCATGGGGCGAATTTGATGGCCAAAAGAAGATCCTCAGGGCGTGCTTTTGCATCTAGCAATCGAATCGTCGAGTCCAAGACCAGGATTTTGTCGGCTTGTCCGTAGACTTTCCGCATGCTCTGAATAGCCATTCCCCTAGCCGGCTGTTCTCGGGGAACGCAAATGGTGTCTATCCAGAAAGGGACATCGGTAACATTTTCAGGGTATAGGGAGTTCACACACTTCTGAAGATATTCCAGCTGGCAGGCAGGCAGAGCATTCTCGCGCATGTTGCCGAGTCTGTCGGCCCGTACGTGCGAGATCGCCACATACATAGTCCGATCATCGACAGTTGTGGGTGTATCGACCAATAACTTGGACCCAAAGCTGTCGGTGCCGGAATATGTCACGACGGGATACGCACCCTTGCACAACGCCCGATCGATCTTTCTTTGCTCTGTGTACGGCGGTGTGATATCCGGACATGAACAGTCGTCATGAACATGCATTGGCCGATATGTAGAGTAGTCGATTTTGGCGTGGGAGCATTCTGCAATAGAACATGCATTATGATTTCTCAGGAGAGACGAGCGGTCAAGCCGACTGAGGGACAACGGCACCGAAGTATCTGACAACGTGGAAAGATCAAAAGCCGCCGCCAACTCACTGATGCACCACCCTGCTTGAATGAGCAATCTCCTGATAAGAAGCGTTTTCGTCCAAAGCCGCAGTGGGCCGGGGTCAAGGTCGGAGTAAATGGAGCGCCTCGCCAGATCAAGAACCTCGCCGAGGAGAGCCACGGCCAAGAGGACGTTGTTTTCGTCGTCAATCAGGTATGTGCCAAGTTGAGAGACGTTCTCGATGTCCGGCGCCGCCGGATTATCCTTAAAGACAATATAATGTTCCAGAATCTGAGCCACAGATTCTAGGCGAGCGTCGATGTCGTTGCAGCGCTGCACACGTACCTCGCGACTCGCCCGCGAGTCTGCTGCCACCCAGTACCAAAAGTATCGGTGAAGTATGGACGTGTCAAGCCGCAAGCCAAGTTCCTCGTCCACTTGGACGAAGTCTGTGGCCTGCACGATGATATCGGCCGTGCTGAAGACATCCCTGATCGTATCGAACCAAAGCCATGACTGAAGGAAGGGGCCCGCCTCGGAGAGGGGTATTCTCTCTTTGGGGGATGGAGGGAAGTCTTCCCCCGTGAAACTGAACCGTACAGGAGTCAATATCTCGACAGCTCCTGTAGCTTGATCTTGTGAGGCGCAGATACAGGGAAATCGAAGTGACTGGTATGGAGGCTTGAGCCGGATTGACAGATGTTCCATTGTCGCGTCCGAGCAGACATGTTCTCGGTTGCAAATGCTGCGTTCAATGCGGGGTAGATAGCATTCTGAGTAGGTTACTCTAAGGCTGAGCCGAAGTTGAGCTAGGCTAGATGATGCCTGAGGAAAGCGACGGGATACAGTCCCAAGCTAGTGACCAAGGCCGGGCGCGTTGTCGCTGCGAAATCCCTGTGCTTCCAGTGAAGAGTTTTCCTTGCTCCAGAAATCCCATCAGGTCGTCAATTCGTTATGATGTCTAGACCCGGCTGGGGGCCATTTAATAGTCAAAACCATTATCCAGAATGGAAGTGTTTTCACGCATATCCAAACAGGGATTTTGCCCAATTGACAAGTCCGCTGTTGTTTCGACGCCTCTCCGCCAAAAATTCCCGCAGAGATATCAATTCTGTGTGACTCAGGATTCCTCTCAATGCCTCCTCCATCTCCACCGTACCTTCATCGTCCAGTCGGACGTCTGGGTCGGCACCATTATCAACCAGCATCTTGACCACCAGATACATGTCCTTCGAATCTTCTTTCGAAAGCGATGAGCTTCGTTGGTTACCACGTTGATGGCAGTGTCGCAGGAATAAAAGCCAGGGGGTTTTGTTTTCGTAGGAGTATATCCTCCAATTCGGGCCAGCGCCGATTCGCAAGAGCAGGTCAACCATTCGAACATCGGGCCTTGCTATGGCATCAGGCAGGTCCAGTGGAGTCACCATATTAGGCCTCAATGCGTAGTCCAGAAATGGCCGTCCAGATTTGGACTGGACAACTTTGCTGTTAATTTTCCGCGCGGCATACAGCGAGAGTCCTGCCTGGACGATTAACGCAAGGAAGGTCATCTGCTTGTATTCCATGAATCCATCGCCTCGAACATCCGGAACATCTCTTAGATTTGTCCAATGTACCTTGGCGGTATTTGTGAGTCTCGTCACAGCCTGGTCTAAATCGTCAAGTAATTTGAACTCTTGCTCGTGCCGAAATTTGTCGTCAAGCGGATCAGGACCGTGGATGCACTCCGTTTCAATAGTTCGGGCGTGGTACAAGAGCTCGTCCACAAAAGAAAATAACGTCGTGCGCCAGTTGCCGAACTTCTGCTCGCCCGGCATTCCCTTTATCAACGCGAGCATCGCACGACACAATGACAGTTGAACGTCGAAGTCAGCAGGCTTCCATTCACCGAAGGTTTCGAAGGTACTGTCCGTTTTAGAGAAGAACTCTTTCACGGTTCTATGTAAGAAGTCCACCCGAGATTCTGAAAGGGGTAGATCTGAAGACCCCGCGGTTATCTCAAGGAGATCTCTGCATCGTGCATTAAGTCGCTTCTTCATACTGTCGCGAATGGGCACCAATTCAACTTCAGTATAGGTATTCACTTGCGCCTTGAGCGCATAATCTGAGTCCATGCTCTCTTCGTCGAGGAACTTAAACGCCAGGACCGGCAGTGGTTGCACGGCAACAATTGCAGTCTTGAAATATCGAACTGAATCTTGTCGATACTTAGGTTCGATATGTTGGATAATATGTCTGAAATAATTCTCCAGGCCGTCTGGAAGGCTGTCAAGCGTTTTTCTCAACTCACTGAAATTGTCGGCGTTTATCAATCCCCGTACTAGTGAAGTGACGACAAGATGAACCCATAACCACACGCCTTGTGCCCTCCGGGTGACTTCCTCGGCGATACTCTTATAGAGATTCTCGGAGCCTCGAGTTTCTTTCGCGAATCTTTGGTGAACATAATTGCGAATGTCAGTTTGAGTTAGTTCTTCCAATTTGAGTTTCTGCTCACTCCTGCCGAAAGCCTCAGTGAACACGTTCCACGGACGGCTTGACGCACAGACTTTGATGAACGATGAAGACACCATTCTCTCTGCGGTGTGAATCAGATCCATATGGTCGCCGCTATACTCATCCAGCCCATCGATAAAGAAGCAGAATCTGTACCCCAGAGGAGGAATTTTAGACAGCTTCTCAAAAGCTTTATGTAGCTTGTGAGGATCCCATTCGAAATCAGCATCCGTATAGGGCCCGCAGATTTCCTCAATCAGGTCGGGACATTCTTTCAGGACTTGATATAAAAGCGTTCTCAAGAGGCCTTCCTCTGATTTCTGCACTTTTGTTCCAATGTTCCAGAAGAAGTGGCTTCCAATGAAGAGCTTGTGAGTTCCAGCCCAGGTCCGTAGGCCATTTGTGGTCTTGTCGTGGTGGACCAAAAACTTCATCAGTACTGACTTACCACTGCCTGCTTTGCCTTCAATCCAGTATATACCCTTACCTTTACGAAGCCAGTTGTTGAAGTTGCTATCATCTTGGAAGATCCACTCGAAAGTGCTGGGATATGACTCTTTAACCGTGTTGTGCCGTGCTTTAATCTCGCCAAATTTCAAGCTTTGGAGAAACACTTGCTGTTTCTCAGCTTTCTTCGCTTCCTCTCGAAGAGCCAAGAGACTCAGGCCGAGACCGGCGAAGTCAACTGCGCCGCGTTGATCATCATCTGCTTGTCGCAACAGCTCCGCCTCTATATCCTCCAGCTTCCCGGTCGTTTTTGCTTCTAACAGCATGTTCTGTTCGCGCAAGGTTCGGAGAGTTTTAAGGATGATAGGTTGATGATGCCTGAGCCATAATTAGCAAAGTGTCAAGGGATTTGGACCCATATTCGACCAACTTCAAATCGGAAATCAAACTACTGTTCAATGCGTCCCGTAACCTATTCAAGCGCCGCTCCATGTTTTCAATCTTGCTCCGCTTTGCAACCCTGCTGAGAGCGTGTTTGAAGCTGGACCATTTTCGATTTTCCGTATCCTTAATTCTCAAACTCTCCAGGAGCTGGAGCAGTTCATCTGCTAATCCATTGCATTCTTTGGCGATGGCACTATTGCGGAGGGTGATGGAGTCACTAGCATGGTTCGCGTTGATCCCGCGCTGGCTAGTCTCAAGGTCTTGGGCATATTGTCGGAGAACACGCGTGGTTGTTTCGAGCTCGAGCTCCGCGGGGGTGACACCTTCTGAAGATCTGTACAAAACGCGTGCTTCTTGGAAGAGTTTGATTCCAAAGTCCACAAATTGCAGGATATTGCCGGCTAGGCCAAGGGCAGCAAGCTCTGCCATCTCTTGATGAGAGTCAATCTGATAGAAAGAGATTTGGAGGTGTCAATAAATGCGCAGGCGGACATGGCCAGGCTGAAATCAGTATAGTCACATGGAAGAGGCTTGGCTCGCGAGCACCGTTTTATTCGCAACACCAACATCACATTATCACATCTGCCATCGTAGTAACAAATGGCCGATGCAGCTCTAGGGGCATTTCTCGCACTATCACAAGCGCGGGCGCCGGGTAAGTATGTCCGGCTGCCTACATTTTAAACTATACTGACAAAGAGAGCCAGACCCAGATCCATTTCGACACCAGATGCGACAACTCGATTACGCTAACGACAGCTCATCGGTTCCCTTGCTCAAGGACGAAAGGCCGTGGATTAGATGGCCCATAACGCTCCTCTACCATCTTCCTCTGGCTCTCATACGGGCTGCACTTGTTCTTCTAGTGGTCCCATTGAGGCAATTGAGACTACTGTCTCGTCCTTTTCGGGCATATGTATACCGATCCTGGACACAACGAGGCCCACTCCCGCCAGGGGACGAATACGGAGAACGGATGAGTCCTCGCTTCGCAGATCTGCCCGCTTTCTTGGTTGCTGTATTGCTGATTTGTGTTCTCTTGGCGGGGTATGTCGTGCTTATATTAAAGGCGAGATCGCAAGCACATGCTTGGGGACATACAGGTGAAGATCAATCTGGCCGCTAGTTGTCCCTCGGCTAACATCCTTTTTCAGACTCCTTGTTGAATAGCCGCACTGACAGGGTAGTTTTAATGTCACGTCCGTTGTGGCCCGCCTAGCAGGCAGGAAAGAGTTCCAGTAATATCAGATTGTCTCGTATCTTGGGCTGATGAGGCCGCCTTAGGTAAGCTTAATCGAGCTGTGACTTTGCAAGATCTTTCTTGCGATTGCCAAATAGTATTTGCGAAAAGGCTACAGTGACTAGGGTTTCATGAAGAAGATATCTTATAGGGTAGCGCCGTTCGTGTACTGCTTTGAACACAGGGAAGGAAGGGCATCAACAGTGGACACGTCATTCTGGCAAGGCTTTGTCCTTAAATGGTGTAGTTGCTTGAACGCAAATTAGTGACCTTTCACACTAGTGGTGTAGCAGTAACTACAGCAACCATTCTTTCAATACCTCTTGGGTCGACAAGTCTTGTCCCATGTGATCACTTCCATACTGATAAGAATCTCATCTATGCTTGGGAGACAAGCCAGATGGCTATCCAATGCCATTGCAGGATCATGCTCTCTACGCTTTCACTCGCATTGTTTCAATCCCTCGTCCATCATTTGTTGTGCGTTTGATCGGTTGTCCACCCAGATATACCAACTGGCTAGAATAACAATCGACTTTGATGTGTCCAAGTCATCTTTCAGAGCTTGGTCTTCAGCGGTTTCAAATGACTCCTCTTCAGAGATGCAGTTGTGGCTGAAGGTCATAATACGAGCATAAGAGATCCTTTTTCGTTCGGGGGGGATATTTCAAAAATCCTTTTAGTTCAGGTGTTTTTAGAAGGTGATAACATCGCTGCCGAGGGTCGCGCAAAATAGCGATATTAACGAAGGTTGCAGTCAGCCACATTAGCAGATATTTAGAGCTTACTTACTCGATAAGGGTCATATGGTTGCATTATCTGGGGAATAAATACCTAGCCTCCGCTTTGACTCAACTGGCTTTGTGCCATTTCTGGTTGGGGAAGAATAGCCATCGAATCTAGGGGGAGATTGTGAGGCGTAGAAGAGCCGCAAGTCCTTCTCTCCTCGAAGTGAGAAGGACGTGCTCAACGAGTCTGGAGACCCTTGGACATCGGCCAGCACCGCTGACTCAACCTTGCCAAACATCATAATCATATGTTCCTGTAGCCGTGCTCAGCCCATTCCCGCCAGTCCAGGTGCAGTCTACTCTAGCTGTTAAGGCATGAAAGAGCGATCTCGGGAAAATGGGGCTGGCTAGGTAGCGGCTTTACCATACCATCAAAAGTCGGGGTTTCTCGTTTTACTCGTAACCCTCGTCTGTCAGGTCGGCCTGAGAATGGTGGTAAACTTTGCTGTGCTGGTGCGTGGCGTCTTCTCCCAGGACTCCACGTGCTTAAGGGGATTGAAATATGGAGGCGGCAGAAGTGCACTTGCTAAACGAGCTTTCAAAGTCCGCGATCACCTAGACGAAGTAGGAAAGCAAAGCAGCTGGTTTACAGAACACCCGTGGACACCTTGCAATGGGTACAGCAGGAGTGCTCCGTGCAAATAGGCGAAGGCAAAGCTAGTTGTCCCGTAGGCGACCCGGGAAGATAGACAGTTGCCCGTTTCGGTCCCAACATGCTTTCGAGGTCTGGATCGAGCTCAGATGATCGGCGCAAAGACCGCACCTTAGCAGGGGCAGTCTCCAGTAAGATGGCTCTGGGCCTCGTACAGAAACTCTAGACCAGGAAGGGAACCCCCCAGGATGCCTTCGCCCGCCAGACCTGCACAGGGCTGAATAGTGATGTACTCGTAGACAACAAAAGGCCCACTAAGAAACGCATCACTTCGGAGCTGATGCCCACTATCGTCGTTGCCGTCATTGCCGAAGGGCGTCTGTCCTTGTGTTCTCTCTTCATGCGCCCTGAACAGGGCCTTGGTATTGGTCCAACACTGCTTTCGAATGGGTGAGATGGGAGCCATGTAGGTGCAGCCCGGGGCCACCACTCCCTTTTACTCGTACATCTAGCGAGAAGCGCAAGCCACCGATCGATTTCTGCGCTGAAAATACCCCCCGACAACCATAAGCGAAGGGCAGCCGGCTAGGCTTCGACGATCAGCCAAACTAATCAAATCAGCCGCAGCCGCACGCTGCCCAATGCGGCAACTGTTCAACTCCCGTGACTCCCACCTGTGGTGGACGCATGGACCAATGAACGATTGCCTGACTTGGCGAACGTGTCTGGCTAGGCCACTAAGCCTTGAGGCTGGCTCGTCGGGTGGCTGCTACCTGTACAGATATGTTATCAACGGACGGTGCGTATCGAGCGGCGACCCAGGCGGCATGGGTCTCAGCCAGCCCAGCCTCTGCCTCTCCCGCAGCAGCCGTTGGGATCCCTTTCCTTTTGAGGTCAGTGCGGTCAAGCGCCTGAGCCACGGACTCGTCTATAAAGAAAGATGGGCCCACGAGCGGGCGGCAGGATGGTTGAACCAGTCTCCCATCAACGGCGCTCGTCCAACATACCACAGCGATGGCCGGCTTCGTCAAAGAGACGCCCGCGGGGCAATTTCTTCGTACGCTGGGCTTCCGGTCCGACTTCCTCTTGTACGCGGAGGAGAAGGTAGGCTTCGAGCCTAGGGATCCGCCCATCATCCGCGAATCGGCCCCGTCTCCTGTTGAAAGCGACCTGGAGAAAGAACTGTCCAAGCTGTCCACCACCGTCCGCGCGTCCGAGAAGGACGTCACACTGCCCGCCTCGGACGAGGAGGCCATCGTCGTGTCCTGGACCGAGAACGACCCCGAAAATCCTCGCAACTGGTCCCAGAGCAAGAAGACGTGGACCCTCGTGGTCGTCAATCTGTACACGTTCTGCGTCTACTGCACGGCGTCCATCATCACACCCACGGCGGGAGCCATCCAGCAGAGATACGACGTCTCCATCGTGGTAGCCAGCCTGGGACTGTCCATGTATGTTGTTGGCTGTAAGTTGGGGGCGCCATTCCGTCGAAACACACATGTTCGTCTTGTCCTAACTCTCCACAGATGGTCTGGGCCCTATGTTCTTTTCTCCCATCAGCGAGATCCCCAGGATCGGGCGAAACCCACCTTACCTCTACTCCTTCGCGGCATTCTTTGTCGTCTCCATTGCTCTCGCCTTGGTTGACAGCTTCCCGGCTATCATCGTCCTTCGATGGCTGCAAGGCCTCTTCGGCAGCCCTGCCTTAGCCAGCGGCGCGGCGTCGATCGAAGACATATACGACATCTACAGTGCTCCATACGGGTATGTCTGGTGGATTGCGGCGATGTACTGTGGTCCTGCTGTTGGGCCGTTGATGGCCGGATACGCAGTGCCTCATGATTGGAGATGGCCGGTGAGTTAGCTTGACTCGTCTCGAGAAATCCCAATTGTTTCGTTGTTCCCATCGTCACCGATAGTCCATGCTAATGGGGCTCTCACAGCTCTACGAAGTCATCATCATGTCGGGGATTATCCTGTTCCTGTTACCGTTCCTGCCGGAGACCTATCCCGGCACCATCCTCCTCAACCGGGCAAAGCGACTTCGGAAAGCCACGGGGGACAATCGATACCGGGCAGAGAGCGAACTCCATCCCATCCCGTTTAGGACTCTCCTCTGGGAAGCCCTTGTCCGACCCCTGGAGATCACCATCAAGGACCCCGCGGTGCTCTACGCGGCGCTCTACGGAGGCCTCGTCTACGCGACGTACTACTCCTTCTTCGAGGCCTTCCCGCTGGTCTATCTGGGCACGTACCAGATGTCTCTCGGGCAGCTGGGCCTGATCTTCCTGGGTATAATGACCGGCTGCATCGTCGGCCTGACCTGCTACTACGTCTACCTGCGGCGCTGGTTCATCCCGCGGGCGAGGAAGTACCACGCTGAGAAAGGTAGGCCGGTCGAACAGGAAGAGTGGCTGCGCCCGGGGATGACTGGCGTCTGGGGCCCCCCGGTCGGGCTGCTGGTGTTCGCCTGGACGGCCCGCGCGGACATCCACTGGATCGCCCCCACGATAGGCATCAACATCTGGGCCGGGGGCAGCTTCTGCATGTTCCAGAGCATCATCTGCTACATCGCCCTCGCCTACCCCAAGTACGTCGCCTCGCTGTTTGCCGCGAATGACTTTGCGCGCTCGATGCTGGCCGCGGGCTTCGTCCAGTTCTCCAGATCCATGTACGTCGATCTCGGGATCGGTAAGGGCGTCACCGTCATCGCCGGCCTGTCTGGGGTGGGTATCGCCGGCATGTACGGGCTCTACTACTTTGGCGCATTCCTGCGGGCAAAGAGTAAGTTTACGGGCTGAGGGCCAACTTCGAACAGACATGTGTTGTGACACAGCGGTTTAGAATTCTAGCAAGCACTTGACAAGTTTCATAAACATCTTCATAATTTAGAAATGCGAAGCATGAGTACCCAATATTTCGTCCGAACTTGTCTCATTGGCCACTGTGAATTTGAGGGAGGCTGTCCCCATCTCTTTCTCCAGAGACAATAGAAGCAGGCGAACGCCGCGGAAGTCTGGCAGATTTGGGCCGGGTTTTCGGCATCGACTTCCTCCAAGCGGACACCGGAGCGTGTCCAACCAGCATTGGGCGCCAGGTTGCAACTTGTAAGTGCCCAATACCGATTCCACGTAGTCAGGTTGTCCTTATAGTTCCGCCATCCACCCCTGGCGTTGAAGTCTTGCGCATCAGGCTGACCAGGCTAGCGGAACGTTTAAATTTGCGGCCTCTGAGCGGAGTTCAATTCGCAGATCAGTGATATGAAGCAGCGACTGAACCAACATTTTGGCCATGGACATTCCTGATTGTGTCACCGTCGACAACCAGATCACTGAAAACTTGTCGACAGAAGACCCGCTCGACAGCATGTAGATTTGGTCATTTGCAACGGCGTCTGCAGCATCCCAATCTCACATTCGGCTCGGGATTAACTCTCGATATGCCTGATGACACCGAGGGCGACAGAATACCGAAACCCGCGATTGCATCTCAAGCTGCGTGAGTCGGTTGAAAAGTCCTCACGACGGACCCACGGTCGGGGAGACAGTGTTGATTCTTTGAGCACCTAGGTACAGTGCTCTGCTTGGAGTATCTGAATGACGAAACAGGCCCTGTCCTCTCCAGACCTGCCTGCGATAGCCCACAGTTCCATTCTCAGTGCAAAGTCCCAGACAATTCGCAGGGTAATCTGGAACGTTCCCTTGTTCAATCGACGAGCAGACGGTGAGTGGAGAAACATCATGATCCTTCTTTCGGACCACAGAGAGAGCTAGATCCCGCTTTCCAGGCCTTGATGCTATTGCTCTGTGGAGACCTCTTTGATGATCGTCTGGTGCTTGGTCTTGTTCTGGCCCTGAGCCAACGCATCTGAGCCTTCTGATCAGCTTGCGAGACGGGCGCTTCGCTGTCTCTGAAGCGGGCCAGCCTCGCAACAAGGCTGTAGACGAAGAAGACAGTGGCGTACTCATTGCATTCACTTCCTGACTATGTCCAGGTCCATCTTGGCAACTCTCACTGGTCTATGAGAGGCGGATATGCCGAAGACCGAACACGCAGAGGAACCCGAGGTTGCTGAAGTCTCATCCAAATGTATGTGGACTCTTGCGTTCGAAGTGCATCTTCCGAAGAAGTTGATAGGAGAACCTCTCGTTCCAGAAGAACTTGTCGCAAATTCTGATTTTCTGCATCCAACTGTGCTTCAATTCTTGTTCGTCCAGAATCCTCATGCCGAGAGACCACGTGAGATCATTAGTGTGAGAGCTTGCAAGGAGCATCATACCCACCCAAGTTAGCCATTCTGCCTGATGGCTCCGTGGCTTGGTACTACCGGGGAAGCAGAGGCTCGAGGGAAGGACACTGGCGTGGATCTGGAGATACGCCAGGTTTAGAAAGCTCCCCCTTTCGCTGTAGTCGACTAAAGAACAGTAAGCTTGCAAAGCCATCAGGACAAATTGGTCTTGTAGTGGTAGATGGATATTCTGAAGCAATTCAAAGCATCTTCTTGCATTGTTTAGGTTTGTTTCGAGCAGCACACTGTTCAAGACTAAGTGTCTTGCTTCGTATCCCGAGGAGCCTGCTTTCAGAGCCTGTACCCATTCGGCAATATTGGAAAGGATGTCGATCACAGCAACCGTCGGGCATTCATTTATGCAGAACTCTTCAAACGCTCGCGGTAGCCTCGCAATCTCGGCACAGAGCGGCGGAGGAAATGGGTGGACAGGGCGGCGAAGGTCTTTGAGATTATAGGCTGTGGTGCCTCGGTGACGGACAATTGCTCGTTGGCACTCTGCATGGGTGATGAAACTGAAGAGAGATGACTGGGTAAGCCTGACCAACTTCCGAAGGGCAATAGAAGCCACTCACCTGTCAGTCACAGTCGCAAGCCAGCCGTCAAATGCCAGTTGTTGGGAGCCACCTCTGCGAGAAATCGCCTCCTTTACGGCCTTCAAATGAATCCAAGCACTATCATAGTTGAAAGACAGGTTCTACGCGATGGTCAGCCAGTCAAGTCCCGTCCCAAAATAGGAGGGGACTTTACGTCGAAGGTCGTCAGAAACAACATTGTACATATGACCAAGTCGGACACCCGATCAGCCGTCGACTGAAGGTATTGACGCAGAAGTCGAATGGCTACATCATACATCCCCTTTGCTTGGGCGGATGGGCCATGACGTCGCCGGTCCATCAAGTCGAACTGCAGCATGGAATTCGCCACCATGGCGACAAACGACACTTGGTTGCTGAGAATAAGGGGAATGTAATGGCGGAGAAGGGGAGTATCCTCTGCAACTCCCTGGAACTGAAGTCTTCGGAATGTGGTAGGCGCATAGATATCAGTATCTGCCACGCCAGGTTAGCAACGCCGTTGTGCCTGACCGATGGCAAAGTCCTCACGCACAGTATCTGCATGCAGTCTTTGCCCTTCCCTCGATTCTGATAGGGAAGATTTCGAGCGGCAAGTGCGTGAACGATGGTGGCTGATATTGAACTCTTGACAGACTCATATCAGCACCATGTGCGGATTTGTTTGACACTTCATATTCCTCTTGCTTTGCTGACACCGTCCCATCCTCGTGTCCGCTCTCCATGCTCTGTGATGGTTCGTAAAATATGTTACGGCTGCATGTGCGCGTACGCCATCTCAATTTCCTCCGCCCTTGAGGTTGGTCGTAGCTTCCTCTGGCCCAACGATTCCCGTGGCTCTTCTTGAAAGAAAGGTGGAGGCGCTATTCACACAGAGATTGAAGACTTTTCACGACTCTTCTGGAGTAGCGCAATAGCGAAGCACAGTGCCCGGGTAGTGCACCTGACAGCGAGGTGGGTCAAATACACCGCGGATGTGATGTAATCTCTTCCCGTCTCAATTTAAGGAAGACAGATAATAGTAGAACCAAATCTCCATTTCAAACAGAGGGCTGATTTGTGTATTATCGTGCAAGTCAGATTACCTCAGCGAGCTCCAATTAGTTCTAGCTTCTGTCTCATGCCAATACCGTGAAGGGGCGGAAAGTGGCCGAGCAAGCACGGGCAGTAATACGAGCAGAGTAACCTGACCATTTTCTTAAAGCGAATTCTGTCTCTTGGGATATCCCTCGTTGCCCAAAGAGGCTGGAGGATACATCACTTGTGATTGGCTCGGCTGGGCTCTGGGGGCATCGAGGCTGGAGTATTCGTGCGGATCGAAATTCAAGCGGTAGGCTGGGGATGGGTAGCTTTCCCACTCGGCGAATGCGCTTTCCAACCAGTCGATGGCATGTCGCCGGTTGCAGCAGTGGAAGGCGAGGCGCGTGGCTCGTGGAACTTCAAAGAGCCCGAATTCGGGACCACAGTCAAAGCCTTTTGCCTTTCCATCTCCGTTTAGCAAGCGTCGAGACCTGGAGTTCGCTGCGGGAAGATGATCTGCTTCGCTGGAATACACAAGTGGGGAGAGCCACCCACCCGGTTCTGTAAGAAACTGCAGGTGCCGCGGGATCGTCTCGCGTTAGTCATCGCATGCATATGCAGAACCAGCCCTGAAAACAGAGTGGGTTACGATCAGCCCTGTAGCCTGGTGCCACGGCTGCTGCCCTCGTCCCTCGTCTCGTCTCACTCGAGGTCGCCATCGAAGGGCTTTTCGACCAAATACTCGAGCGTGGCACTGGAAGGGACCGATCGGCGCAGAATCAATGTGTCGCTCCACCTCCAAAACATAAAATCCATACCCAGAACTTGCATCGGAGCTGCCGTGGCGTCTGCCTTTCTCGCCTCTTTCTGCACCTCCTGAATGTGAAGCCCGTGCTTCTTCGGAATGATTGTGCTTGCTCAACTCCCCGCGAGAATAGTGAGGACCTTTCCGCCCGGAGGAATTTGTGGGGGCACAAACAGGGACAGACGGGACTGTGGTTGACCCATGAGAATTCCAAGGCGAAGCCATTGCCACAGAATATAGAGAACAAGGTAGACAATGATCAAGATGGGGGACGCCAGGTGTGTTGAGTGTCGAAGGAGCAGCGAAGAGAATGATAAAGAGCTTACTTGGGAAGTCAGGCAGTGCCGGATCGTAGAGCAGTGGACAAGCACTAGAATTGAACATTTCGACCTCCCTCTCAAGATTATTCCTCAGATTGGTGTCTGGGTCCATGATAGTAACTACTTGTTGGTGAACGAGGATCCCACCAATTCCACTCGCAACTTCCTGTATCGCATATGCTGTCCTGCTTTTTCGGAAGCCATTCTGCTAAGTTTGGTGGTGACCTCTTTGCCCTCCGGACAGGAGTCGTGTTTGTTGCTGTCTCTGAGGATTCCGAACCTAACATCTGCGATGCAGATCTTTTGATCTTTGAGGCTGTCCGCTCCTGACCTGGTACTAGAGCCTAGATTAGGACGCCAAACTCTCCGAATCGGGATGTTTACTCACTCAGCGTCGCCCGATAAAGCACTTTTCTGGCAGTCTTGGGGGTGGATTCATCGGCTCTTCTTGCCTGTGCGTCCATCTCTGGAACGTTCAAACCATGCTTTTCAGCGAAACACTCTTGATTCGATGGATGAAGGAAATTGATTCCCTTGGCCTGAACTCGAATCATAGCTAGTGCCATTTCCATTCCAAACCGTTCATGAACGTTAAAGAGCCGAGCCCACTCTTCCTTCCCTTGCGACCTGCGAAGCCAGTATGCCACATGTTCGACCACATACATCCGCATGGCAAGAGGGCTGTCTTCAGAGAATAGCGAGTGAAGGAAATCTCGAGACGGGATCGTTGGTGTAAGGGAGAAGACATCGGTGAGCTCGCTGTATGCGAGGACTTGCAGGCCAGGGGTGAGAAGACGATCAGCCATACGGTACACCTTTAGCCAGAAGATATCTTCATGGCAGAGCTGATTGGCAATCTTGAACGCCCTATCCTTGCTCGCAGCCTTTCCTTTGTAAAGCCAGTCGGTGAAAAAAGCGAAGACTTGTGGCTCCTCCTCTGGCAACTTCATTTCTTGACTCTTGCCTTCGCTGAATTCTCCCGAGAAAGCTCGTTCGAAGAATTTAGAGGATGCACATAACGGATCTCGGTGAAGGATAAAGTCGCGCTCTTCATTTTCGGGGCCGACGACGAGCTTGACAACATGTGTGCCACGGTCGACATTCGGTGGATCCGCCATGGCGCTATCCCGGAGAAAGAACTCACTTCGGGGGAGTGAGATGGAGGTGAGAGACTCAAGGCAAGGACACGGATGATGAGGCCAGAGAGGAGGATTTGAACGGCGCGGTCTGACGACGGGGTGATAGGTTTTGTTCGTGTGCTATAGGGCAAAGTGAGACTGGAATGAGAGAAACACAACGTGAAACAAAGTTGCAGAGAACAATTGATGGTGAAGTGAAACCAAGTTCCAGCCGGCCACACGCAGTTGCAACCAGTGAGAAAGTCAACGTGAATGCCAATGTCCGCCACTTGATAACTCCTGAAAGACAGAAATCTCCTCCTGGTCTGCCTTCGTACCGGCACCTACAACAAACACCAAGAATCCCAATCATGGATACGTCATTTGACCTGGACTTGCATAGGGCTGCTTGGTCTTTGGATCCATGCCGGTCGTCCTTACAATAGCTTCCTTGTCTTCTTGAATCAAGGTACAACATCCACACCAGCACGACGTGCAGAAATCGCCAAAGCTGCCGCCTTCGATGCCATATCTGTCACGTGTGGAGCCTCGATTGATGCACTGGAGGATACATTGTCCTCCAATGCACATCAGGCAGTAGAAGGCACAGCACTTTGATGGAAGTCAGCTGGTGAAATCAAGCCCACACGTAGAGAGCAGTGGCTAATGTTCAATGGGTAGGTAGCCGCGGGTCCAGCAATTGCGACAGGGCATAAGAAACAAAAAGGCATACCTGTCCGTTGATGCCACTGGAATCATGGTCGCCCTTATACCGGTCCTGCGTCTTGCCGTAGAGGATGCAAGGACACCAGCATGCCAGACAGCCTATCCGCAAGATTAACGTCAGCAAACCATTGGCCTACAACTTCTGAGTGATGAAAGAGAAGGCATACAGGTGCCAAATGGAGAGAAGCAGTCGAAGAGGCCAAACGACCATTTGCCCGAAGCACCGGCTGGGTACGCTCCAGCGACCCCGTTCATTGGTTTCTCAGGGGCCATTCCCATGGGTTGCTGTGCCATTGTTGCCTTTGGTAAGGAATGTTTGGAGTGAGAGTATGTGAATGAGGCTGGAGAGCTCAGTAAGAATCATTAACGACGGCACGAAAGAAACAAGACTCAGGAAACTTCGGGTTCAAAAAGACAATTATTCAACCATAGGGAGCGAGATATCGGGCATATTTCAGTAATCCACGAGGCATAATCTCGGGTAGCAGTTTGATCGAACGCTCCAGGAGACGCGCGGATTGTCTGGACACCTGATCGTCGTGGAAGTCTCCGTCAGAATCTACCCCAGTGAAAGCCTGGGCTTCAGCTGAAGAAAGAGTTCAGCCCCCCTCGTGGACACGGTTACGGTTCTCGCAGGAGTGAACATCGCATGGTTGTCAGCCTCCTGCCCCTTGGCCTTACCATGGCACATCGCTTTCCCTGGAAGGTATTATTGGACCAAAAAGGGGTCAGGGCAGCCGATGAGGCTTGATGGGGGAAGGCCAGGGCTGATGAAAGGGTCCTGATGTCGGAACTCTGGTGGCCTTAAAGTTTCAGCAAAGATGACATTCGATTACCTAAAGACAGAACGAGAAAGTACTATACGAGAAGGGACAGACTACGGCTTTTGCCAGAGGAATTTGAAGGCATTGACAACGGTCCAGAGCGTTCCACAAATTGGTGGATCAGCGAGAGGGATGTTCACCATTGCGACTTGTGGAGATTTGACTCTGAAGGCGGCATGGTCTATCATGGAACTTGCCAGCTTTCATATGCTGCCATTGCTTTCTCGTGCCTGATGTCGATACGATGGGAGAGCGGCCTTGGGACATGCGTGCACATACATTTCACTCCTGCAAAGAATGACATTGAAGTCTCTCACACGAGTACGAAGTCAGCCGCAAACCCGAAAATCGTCAAAGTCCAAATCCGCCCTGGTGAGAGCCCAGCTCCAGCTCGCGTTCTCATGTGACACGGCCACATCCAAAAGCACATGAAGCTCCAGGATTGTGGTTCGTCGATTGAGGCCCGAGCTTGAGTTCAGACAACGAACTTTCAATAATTTCGAGTTTGAAAAAAGGATCTTTCTCTGCTTTAGCGAAACCCCACAGTTGGGGGCTGAAAAACTCAGAGGCTGAAAATAGGAGGTGGAGATCAGCCGAACATCCATCCACCCTTTGGAATCGTTGAGAAGTGCGTCTTGGGATCAAGGACGCAACAACAGTATGTGGTGCGACGTATAGAGAACAGATATCAGGCGAGCCCCGGGTCCTGAGGTGTGCGCCAGTCGGTAGACTGATTGCAGTCGGTGTTGGGATGATATATGGCTTTCTGTGGTTGTTGATGACCAGGCCAAGAGGCAAGGTGCGCCGGCGTGGTTTCTTGTGCTTCGTGAAACTGGGGCTCTTTGCCCGCATCGGTCTATTTGAGCGTGGAGCGTTTCCGATATGGCCTCTCAAAGGTACTTTTCCCCAAGCCGCCATGTTAGGAACACCATTTCCATGCATGGCGTGATTGTCTGCAGGCTACCCTGATTGATTGTTTCGTCCTCAAACACCTTTTGGAAAATGCGAGCAAGTTTGGTTTCTCGGTTGATTCATTCGAGACAGGGCTCGCAGACGCAACTTGCAGGTATTGGCAAAGGTTTCAGAGTTGAGGTCTGTTGCAATCGGCCCCAAAGTAATGCCTCCGTCCATGAGGGCCAAATGAAGCGGCCAGATGACTCGATCCTGGGATTCGTCGGCGTGATATCCAGTCATAAGGCATCCAATTAGCCTTCATTCATTTTCGTGTCTCCGTTCGCTGAAGCGTGCGTTGCATGTGCCCGATTGTATTCCTCCCGCATAGTCTCCAGTATCTGCTGAACCTGCGCCTCGCCTTCTTCACCGGAAAATCGTTCCTCCATCTCTTCAATGACGAGAGAAAGGAATTGTCGGTCATCCGATTCTGGCGGCTCTTCCTCTCCCTCGGCGGCAATTTGGCCATCAACACCGTCGGCGCCGACACCATCATCATTGATATCATCACCCTCGCCGTTCACTCTCTCTTCTGGAGCATTTTCATCAGTAGCTAGCTGTTGCCCCCTCGGCAGTCCCAGTCCCAGGTTGATCAATACCAGCGCTTCAGTCTTCGTTAACCCGAATGCGCACAATCTAGGCACGACATTTTTGATGAATGTCTCCGGAGGTGGGTAGTTGAGGATGAAAGGGACTGTGTTCGTGACATAATGCTCAAACTAGACACAGGCCATACGATGTTAGCAGCAGTTCTCCCTTTAGGGGATATTCTCGCCTCAATCGACATACATCGTCTCGCACCCGCTCATAGTCCTTCAAATTGACCTGCCTGTAGGAGCCAATTTTCCGAGGCGGGGGCCGGGGTGGGTGTTGAGACAGGAATTGATGCACTTCGGAAGTTGTAAGAAGGGCGGACTGGGGATCGAGAACCTTTGCACATTCATGCTGTCAGGAAAGGCCTCCTTCTGTCTGTAGGGAAGAAGGTAGCGGTACAAACAAGGTCATCAGCACATACTCTCATTTTGGTGGGCCTTGCTGCTGTCTAGCACGCTGTACTCGGATCAAGATTGTAGACACACCCCTTCAACTCATTTTGGCGGTAGGAACATGTGTAGAAGCCGAAGGAGACTCGTCTCGAGCAACTGAGGATTCTCTGCAGAGGCGCAGACAAGGATGCGGAGAAAAAAAAAATCCAGCACCAAAATCTGCTGCGGGGAAACTTCAGCCTCGCATCGCTGGTCGACAAGGCTGCGCAGTCTCCGCGTCGACAAGTAAGGAATTGCTTTACATCCATAGGCTCTCGGAGCAAAGCCACATAGCATGAAGAAGGTTAACGGTGACTTGATGTTGGAATACCCAGCAGTAAGCCGGCCATCTAAGGTAGGCTCATCCTCTGGCACAGCCTTGTGCGTGTAGATTGTACATTTTCTCGTCGACACCATTCATCCGGCCACTTGGAACTCCAACCCCCGACGCCATGCAGTAACCTGAGATGCAGAAAGACAGAAGACAGCGTACATTATCAGCAGCGCATTATGCCTTCTCTTTCCTCTTCTTTTTCTTCTCTGATTTTGAGGTATCGGCGGCTTCTTCCACTCGTTTTCGCTTCTTGGACCCCTCGATCTCTCCATTTGCCTCCTTCGCCGCGGCCTTCTCAGCCACCTTCTTAGCCTTCTTGATATCCTTCTTCGAAACTGCCATCGGCGTACCGTCCTCTTGGATCTGGATCTCACCCCTTGCTAGCTTCCTTTTGTATCTTTCCACGCTCAGACCACACTGTGCAGCTAACGTTTCGATCTTATCCTCCTGGCCGGCTGTTGCCGCATTTTCTGCTTCGGTGTTCTTGTCTTTCTTCGCCGCCTTGCGAGCAGCTTTCTCCGCATGCTTTCTCTCCTTTTCAGCCTTCTTGGCTTCCTTTTTTGACAAGCCATTCACACCGTTGACAGAAGATGGTACTGTGGCTTCAACTTCGGCAGCAGTTATGGGTTCGTCAGGTTGTGACTCGGCTTCTTCGCTATCCAACTCGCCATCTTCTTTCATATCCACGTCCTCAGATACCTCCTCAATCAGCTTCTTTTCCTCTTTGCTCTTCTTATCCTTCTTCGACTTCTTCTCTTTCGCTGGAGCCTCATCACCAGCCAGCCCATCTGCATCAGGGTTGTATTTCCGTGCTTCTTTGATCTCCCATTTCTTTGGCTGCGGCGTGGTAGACACCCCATTGGGAGCAATGGCGACACCTCGAGGTTTGAGAGGTTTGCCCTCCATAGCGGCTAGTTTGCGCTCAAGGTTCGCTCGTGCAGATAACCCAAGAGCAGCCTTCTCGTCCTCAGGGATGTTGGCTTCGTCGGGCCCCCATTCTTGCAGCGCATCTACCCTCAATCCGAGGGCAGCTTTAGCTGCAAGCACTCTGGCCATCTTGCCCTTATTTCTGCCCGTCGCTTGACCGATTAAGGATGCATGGTAGATGAGACCGTATTTTGGAGTGTCGTGTTTCGTCTTCAGTGCGCGAAACAATGCCTTCTCAGCTCCGAGGATTTGTATCGTACTCGCCGGGCTCTTGGACAGGTTCATCAGGCTTCCGGCGTGTGCTATGAGTCGGGCACCCACAAGATCTCCGACAAGCGTTGTTAGATTCGGGGCAATGGCAGTCATTCTTGCCGAGAGATAGCTGGCGAGCTGTGTGCGATATTCCGTAAATTGCACCACCTGCTCGGCCAAGCTCTGTATATTCTCCAGATCTTCATCTGTGATTTCCGTCCCCATCGATCTGTCAGCAGCGGCCTTCACTGCAGCTTCAATCTCTTCTGGCAGAATTTCGGCGAGATCGCAATCCTCCCAGTTTGTCCGCATACCCATCTTCAAAACCACCTTGGCATACGCAAGGTTGTCGTTCAGGATCTTTGCCATCTCCGGAAAGTGCCACCCATACCATTCCTTTACTCTCATGGCATATGTGTTCAGCTCTTTATCCAAATCATCCAGTAGACCAATTGCTTGTACAATCATAACATCGATTTTGTCAGGAGAGAATTTAAGCTTGTGTCTCGCAAGAGAGTGTGATAGACCCAAGGACATTGTCTTGACATCGTCGGGCAACAGACCAGGAATGAGAGACGGGAGATATTCTCGGATGGCTCGATACAGGTCGGCGGTGGTAGAGTCGGCAACGGCTTTGATCTCCAAGCCTGGAATCTTTCCGATCGCGTTTCCAAGTTTTGGGTCTGCAACGGCCAGAGAAATCTTTTTCTCGTCTTTCAAGGTATTCAGTAGTGATGAAAGTTTCGGGGTGACTTTGCCTTCCACAATTGCGGCTGCTTCTTCCAGTGCAGCGGCAGCGCTATCGAATTTTTGGAACTCCTTCAATTTGAGCATAGAGGTGACATTCTCGACGCTGCTCAGTTCGGACGAGAGATCGTCCCGTTTGAGAAGTTTCTTGTCTTTGGCTTTGAGCAAGGCATAGCCTGCGGAGGTCTCGGTGAGGACGAGGAGGGTCATGGTGAGGAGATGCGCAATACGCGCCGCTAATGAATGTGGGAGATATTGCAATACTGGATGTGCTTTGAGGAAACATGGAAAAGCTCTCCAAAATTTCGCGAACCTCGACTGCACAATTTTTGCGGAGCGGACCCACCTGTGCCAAGCTTTCTGTATATGGCAAGTGCGGCGAGAAGATCAATCGATGCCCGCGAGCCTTGCGCTGGTCGTCATAACCACTTCCCCTTGGTGCCCGCAGCAGCTCCAGTTGCTCTTGCAATAACGATCAGGAGGGGGAAGAATTGGAAGACGTGAACTATAAGGTCGATACCATAACACTTGCTTCCAAAGAAACCCCTTGCGCAGGCTCATCCAGTACCCCAACCCCATGCAACCCCTTGGCTACGATTGCCCATCTACAACCGACCACAGCCGATCGATTTCTGCCTCCGGATCATGTCCATACGCCCACTCGGTCAGGACTGGGTCACTCCATTGGTTGGGGCTCTCTTTGACCTCCGCATCTTGCAATTCCGCCTTCATGGCTTCATCACGAGCTTCCTGCACAGGCCCATCTGGAAGATGTAATATCAAGCCATGGGCGTAACTGGCTTCATGAACTCTCTTCACCCGGGGTTTGCGCGTCTCTTCCCATTTGCTAATTGCTGATGGGAGATCTTCGGTTGCCTTGACGTGCTTCAATGTGGCCGCCAATGCAGCGGCATCTTCCACAGCCATGGCTGCTCCTAGTGCCATGTACGGGACCATTGCGTGAGCTGCGTCACCGGTGATCAAGACTTTGCCGGAACGAGATGACCAGGTGTCAGGAATATCTATGCAGTAGATGGGCCAGTCTAATGTTGAAATCACCATCTCTAAGAGCCGCCTCAGGCTTCAATCGGCCGGCGCCAGTCTCAGTCAGCACAGTTCGGTGCCGGAGCTGAGCCTTGTGTGCTGTGAGGGGTTGACTTACCATGGATCCCACCCAACATATTGGGACCTCATTTCCTCCAGCATTTGAGACATGGATCGCTCAGACCCCCCATTCCGACTTTCCGGATGAGTAACAACCAAGTTGAAGCGCTCTCCCCCGGCAATGGCATAGCTCATTACATGTAGGTCGCCCCCGACCCTGCACCAAAGTCAGCTAATTCATATGCTCGCAGTTGGAAATGGCATTCAAACGTCTCCTACCACATGTGTAAATTCGGCTGCTCGACAATCCAACTTGTCAAAGGGTCAGCCTTCATGTCGGCAACGGAAATGGTTCCTCGATATGCAGAAAGCCCATGGCCCCATGGTCCTTTGTCTTTGTCGCCGTTGAGCTCACGCCGAGCCAACGACTTCAATCCTGCGGCAGTAGGTGTCAGTTCACGGGCCGCCCAAATCAGATTTCAGTCTCAATTCTCACCGTCTGCAGCGACTATTAGATCCGCCTTGATCATCTGGCCATCGACAAATGTCACGTCGCCGTTTTGCATGTCGTACTTCTGCACCCTTTTAGACAGATACACAGGAACACCCAGTTCGACTGTACGATCATGGAGAACCTCGTGCAGGTGTGCCCTGTGGGTCACATAATATGGGGAGCCAAACCGTTGCTCAATCTCCGGGTTCAGCTTGGCTTTTCCGATGACGGATCCATCCTCCCAACGTCGCCAAAGCAGTGCAGCTGGCTTAACAGACCGCCGTTCGAGAGCAGGACGCAGCCCCCACGAATGAAGAATACGGGTCGAATTTGGGGGGATTTGGATACCAGCTCCAACCTGCGTATTACCATGAGCTGGCGAGTCGCAACAACGTCCTCGCAGAGTGGAACAAAACAGATGAAATGAGGCAGCGCCATGAAGAACTTACCTCACTCAAAGCAGAGGCCTGCTCGTAGACGGACACATCATGGCCAGTTTGAGCCAAGGCAATCGCATTCGAGAGACCCCCAACACCAGCCCCGATAATTGCCACTTTCAGCTTCAGCCATGGTTGCCCCGGAATCCCATTCGTTCCGTTCATTCCCTTCGTTATGCTCGATTCGGCCCTTTTTGTTGTGAGTGCAACTTCTCCGTTCGATACTTTGCTCTTGATGGGCGTCGGCAATGACAGCTCTTTCTCATTGCGCAGACGGCGGATGAAGTTGTACGATCCCGAAGGATAATCAGGTATCTAAATAGATTTTCCCTGGGTTAACGTCCCTGGACTGAGAAACAGCCTGTTCAACCAGCAACAGCGTGTATACGTACCTCGATCTTGTCCAACTCCACGTTCATTTTGGCCCTGATTGCTGTGAAGCCCAGCTAGTTCCTGCTGTGGCTGTGGTGATCGCGTTCTTCTTTACCACTATTTGTACTCTTCTCCTGTTATCACTATGTTGTTACTTATGTAGCACCCGGTCTTGTTACTATGTTTGCCATTTTTCCGACGACGCCGCCCATATAAAGACTCTCGGATTGCCCGAGCAGAAGAAAACGCGAGGAGCATTTTCCGGTCTCCAAATAGAGACGCCATGCAAAGTGACACGACGATTCGTGTCAGCCAACCTTCTCCAACATCCAGTCAGAGGGCTCCATACGAGTTGCCGCTTGGCGAGGTCATGGATGTCGTGAGATTCTCGGGCGCCACCCGAATTCTTGATTACATACACAAAATTCTGTGCACAAGTATTTTTCTCCCGAAGACGCCATCTGGGCTGTCAAGCACTCGCAAAATGTACATCATGCAACCTCGGCGCTGCTGTCCTCTTCGTAGAAGATGAAGCTTGTGGGCTCCCGCTTACCCAGGGCTCCTTTCGGTATCAAACGAGGCAAAAGGACGAGAAATATTATTGCCTGGACGAACACATATCACTCTGCTTCGCCGAGAAGGGCCCGTGCTTTAAGAGGGGGATCAGACAGAGTTAGAAACTTCTTTGCCACTTCAATGAGGCTCTGTGGCCTCCTCGGACTCATGATAGTTTACAACAATGTCAGTGTATTTGTAGCTAACTTTCATACAGCGCTTTTCTTTCCCAAAGGTAGATAAAAGCATGTGTGATTTGATACATTCCTACTTTCCAGTGGAATACATCTTTAGGCGCTCAAGTAAGGGCCTATCTGAGAGTACGAACAGATAGCAATCTTGCCCGCCATCTGCTTCATGCACTACCCGGCTCCAAGCAGGCACCGCGAATGTGTCATGCGGTCCCCAACTCACCGTCTTGATGTCCCCGCTCGCCGTGGTGATTTCAGACTTGCCGGAGCCCGTATGGGCATGGTAGACGTAAGAACAGGTGTCTCTCCTAGGCATCGACTGATGCCCCGCTTGCACCTTCTCTGCATGTGCTCCCAGCGTCCCTGAAATGTAGTCGCCGGAGGGGCTTCTGTAATGCTGCAGTGCCCAAGGAGCGTCTTCGGCATCGAGCCTTGCCTTCATTTCTTCCCAAGGAAACCGGAGAGCGCTGTTTGATACGGGCCTGGATTTGAAGAAGGTCCTGTGAGTGATTTGTCTTTCTTTTGTCCTTCTCTATTACAGCAGAGCAAGGCAGGTGTAGTTCTTTAGCAGGGAATACTCACTTGCTTGGGTATCGCTCCTTCTCGTAAGGCTCAGCAAAGTGAGTTGGAAGTTGGTGATATAGAGGCAAATCTAGCCCGTCCAGCCAGATCATGGGGCCGTTGCCTTCATGCCCGTGGTCGTGCCATTGCCATTGGGGGGTCAGGATAACATCCCCGGCCTCCATGTAAAGCTTCTCTCCTTCTACGGCAGTAAAGCCGCGGCTGCCTTCAATGATGAAACGTAGCGCAAACGCACGATGCCTGTGAGCGGGTGCAGTCTCGCCTTGATTGATGAGTTGAAGACCTGCGTAGACGGTGTCGGTTGTGAAGGGCGCTCCTGAGGATGCCTCCAATTAGCCCAGGCTGCTTTGTTTTACCCCTGTCCCAATGCAAAACTATTAAGATCTTACTCAGCGCAGGGTTTATGAGCATGAGAACTCGTCTCTCGGCCTCTTCGCTGCTCACCACATCGCCAGCCTCAAGCAAAAGCGGGCGTAGCTCATTGTATCTCCATACTGCGACTTCAGCCTTTGGAGATGGCTGCGGGGTGACCATGGCTCGCATGGCCGTCCAGAGAGGCTGAACATGTTGTGCAGGGAGTTTATCTAGCAGCTTTTCGGCCGAGTTCAGAGCTGTGTTGTCGGTCGCCGCTGTGCTGGTCTGCGTGATGCTCATATTGAATACCGTGTAAATGCTTCACCTTGAAAACCTTCCGCAAAGGAACCATTTAGATATAGCCCACCGCCTGATGAGCATTCGACGACGTCTGCAGTGGTCACAAGATGGAAGGATTATGGCATCCAGTCCTGTAGACAGCACAAGCACTGATCCGCGGTAAACCCGAGACGACTCATTCGAACTTCGGTTCAGCCCCGAGCTTGGGCACAAAGGTGATGTTGCCGAGTATTCGTGAGATCGTGGCTACATCATGTGGACGGAGCAATACTTTGAGGATTCGGTTGGCCATGGGTAGGGGGAGTAGGAGTGTGGCGAGGAAGTCTGTGCCGTCTCTTAGTGTCATTCTATTACTGAAGCTACGGAGGCTTAGGCCGTGTTCCAGCTTCGATCTTGAGATCACCTCTTCTCTTCAATGCTAAAATCTCATCTTGTTCTCGACGCTGCCTAGGTCAAACAACCTTCCTACCTCACCTCCCAGTGGGCAAATGATCGCGGCGTTTCCACTTCAAGGGCTGCATCGGCAGGGTGTGTGCGTCATACCCATGCCCCTTTCCTCGGTGCGGTTGTTTAGCTAGGAAATGCTGCAACCTTTCCGCCACCAAAAACCCCCATCCAAAACCCCGCCTCCCATCTGATCCCTTCGTGATCTATCGGCATTGCTTAGACTCGATGTTGCAGTGTATTAAAATGAATATTCATGGCTACAAGACGCTGCGATGTCGGAGCAGATTTCGTTTCAATATCTTTCGTTCCCAGCCTCGAATCCTCTGGTCCTTCGTAATTGCGACCAACATGCGAAGACTTCCCGGATCTCCCCCGAACTTTCCTCGCCGCATCACTATATCCCAAGGCTGCTTCCCCTCGTTCTAGGCTTATCCTCGGTATACCCCCGAAGATTAATACTCCAGCCTGCCCGAGAAATCAGTGTGGGTGCTGGTGCTGTATTGGACAATTTACCGGAATCCTGACAATCTCATTCTTCTAAGGCATCATCCAAACCAAGATGAGCCCGGCGGACGAACAACGGCCAGTAAGATGTCTTCTTCACATGCCTACCAGTTCTTGATTTGGCTAACCATCCCCAGACCCGCACGGAGACGGACGCGATGGGATCCATCGAGGTAATCTCATATTCCAGAAGTCATGTATAGGAATTGAAAGTCCCTGACTCTTCGTAATACGCTTAGGTTCCGTCTGAAAAATACTGGGGTGCTCAAACCCAACGGTCAGAAACCCTGCCTTTGATTCTATTCGCTGACCGTCATACCAATTTGGGTGCTTAGCTCGTTGCAGAACTTTCGCATCAATCAGGATCGGGATCGCATGCCAGCCTCCGTTATTCGTGCCTTTGGAATTCTCAAGGGTGCTGCAGCGAAAGTAAACGTCCATCATAATGTCCTAGGTGAGTTAGATACGCTTCTTCCTCCACCCGCGTACGAGGAAGTTTGGAAGGACAAGTTTGCAGGAATAGCTGAGCAAAAGCATTGCCACAGACGCGAAACTTGGACAAGCAATCCAGCAGGCAGCCGAGGAAGTGGCTTCGCTAGCACTAATAGACCACTTCCCTTTGGTAGTATGGCAGACTGGGTCGGGCACACAAACCAATATGAACACCAACGAAGTAATATCAAACAGAGCGAATGAGATACTTGGCCAGCCGCTTGGGCAGAAGAAGCCGGTCCATCCCAACGACCATGTCAACATGTCTGGATCTTCAAACGATGGCTTTGCTACTGCTATGCATATCGCCGCTGTACTGGACCTGGAGGACCATTTACTTCCAGCACTGACTAGCCTGCGGGATGTCATGAGGAAGAAGAGCGAGCAGTTCGCCCATATCGTCAAGATTGGCCGGACCCACCTGCAAGATGCTGTGCCACTGTCGCTAGGGCAGGAATTCTCTGGATTCGAGAAACAATTAGAGCTCGGAATACAGCGCGTGGAACAAGGCCTTGAAGGTCTTCGTTTCCTGGCTATGGGAGGTACTGCCGTGGGAACAGGTCTGAATACATACAAGGGATTTCATGAGGCGTTTGCGACTGAAGTCAGTCGATCCACGGGCAAAACCTTCTACACAGCGCCTAACAAGTTCGAGGCCATTTCGGCAAATGATGCCATCGTCCACGCCTCTGGCGCACTCAACACATTGGCTTGCTCTCTGTTCAAGATTGCCCAGGATATCCGCTTTGAAGGCAGTGGACCCCGCTGTGGCTTAGGGGAGCTGCTCTTACCTGAGAACGAACCCGGCTCGTCTTTCATGCCAGGCAAAGTGAACCCGACACAATGTGAAGCAATGACTATGGTCTGCGCGAAGGTAGTGGCAAACCATGCCGCCATCACCCTCGGAGGCTTGAGCGGACAGTTTCAACTGAACGCTTTCAAACCACTCTTGATCTCTGATTTCCTGCACTCGGTCCGCATTTTGAGTGATGCCATGCGGAGTTTCGAAAAGAACCTCTTGGACGGACTCCGCGCAAACGAAAAGCGCATCAGCTACCTACTCGGTCAGAGGTGAGTTTCATATCCGTCTCGTACCTTCCCAGACTTCATTGGTTTACATTTTTACCTGACGCTCGCCAGCCTTATGCTTGTGACATGTCTTAGCGGCAGATTGGGCTATGATCTAGCCTCAAAGGTAGCAAAGCATGCTTATAAGAATGACCTTACACTAAAGGCAAGCGCATTGGAACTCAATGCTCTTAGCGAGGAAGAATTTGATCTTCTCGTACGGCCGGAAAACATGATCGCACCATCAGGATAGTCGAGCTCGAGACAAGCGCCCGGCGCACAGACTGAGAAAAATGGTATTGGTAACTTCGCGTAGAATTGGGACACACTCCTCGAGATCTTATTCTCAGACCTCATTTTCTGGTTTCACTTGTACCTAGAAGACTTAGCCATAGGACGTGGGTGGGAGGGACGGACTCCACAATGACCCCGGCTACCCCGGATTTGCGGGGCTGATTGATTACCTAGGTCAGAATCTCGGGACATGTCCGAGTTTCTGACTGTATCTTAATTTGACTTGAGTCGTTGCACTGGACCATTTCCCACGGAGCAAGTTCATCTTCTTCCTGTGTCTGAAACTGTTACCAAGCGGTGGACAGAACAGTACTAGCGAATAGCAGGAGCTCCAAATTTTGCTTTTGTCGAAGCAAGTGGTCTCGGAAGCTAGGGCGGTGTGCGCGATGGAGTCTGCAGGACCTTCGGACCCAGTTGCGAGCGGAAGGTCCAGAGCTGACGCTGTCGGCTCCAGCCGACGTAAAAAGCGTGCCTCTTCCAAGACACGGAATCCAAGCCTCAAGAGGCCGAAGATTGCTCTTGCTTGCGAGGAGTGTCGAGCGCGCAAGGTCCGATGTGACGGAGCACAACCTGGTGCGGAATCCTTCTCCCCGTCCCCGACAGATATGCTAATGGCTCTGCAGTTTGTGGAGCTTGTCGTCGCTGTCGCAGAGCTCATCCGAACTGCGTCTACCCTGATCGAGGCTCGTCCGGCATTTCTGCCGAGTTAGTCAATGCACCCAAGTTGTCTTCAATCGCAAGCTGATGAAAGGCAACCAGATATGTGGTCCACTTAGAGACCAGGATCCGGCAATTGGAGGCCATACAGACGGATGGACCACAACAAGAATTATTACACGGGGATGCTGGCCGAGTCCAGAGCCAACGCTTACCTGTCATCGATGCGTACCCGCCGGTGGGTTCTCGCGCTGGTAGTTACGATTCCTCGAAAGCTAATAACGATGTAGCAATCGCCGGTAGACGTGGAAGCCGGGAGCAATACAGAAAACAGCCACACACAGGAAATCGTACTGTCTCCGCCTCTAACTGCTCCCCGTGAGCAAGATCATGTCGATTACGAATCAAGCCCTTTCACGGGGCGTGTTGAAGGCATTGATGGCATGGGGAATATCGGAACGACAGACAACAGCTACTCTGAAGAGACATCCAGCGCTGCGAGCTTCATGAAACAGGTAAAGAGCGCCATGGCTGCCAGACTAACTTCGTCCGTACCACGAACCCTTGCAACGTCATTCTACAATGCAGCTCCTGTGTTCCACATTGACAACAGGCCAAACCAGCATGAGCAGTCCATCGCTGAGCTGTTTGTGCTTCCACCACGCCATGTGGCAGACGACATGGTGGAAATGTACTGGAACGAAGTATACCTCCTCTATCCTTTTCTCATGCGGGAGCGGTTCATGCCGGCGTATCAAAAGATCTGGACCGGCGAAGGTCGGGAAGCTGATCAGAGACTCCTGTACTGTATTTTGAACCTGATCTTTGCAATTTGTTGCCAGATTAGCAAGAGGGAGTCCCCAGGCGAAAAGGCTGCCGCTGCCGAGGTGTTCTACAAGAGGGCCTTGCATCTGTTGCAGGTCAATCTGATAGGTAGCGGCTCCCTTGAGCTTGTCCAGGCCCTTCTCCTCATGGGCCAGTATTTACAGAGCACCGAGTGGCCGCATAGATGTTGGGTGGCCATTGGCCTGGCCATCCGCATCAGCCAAGGTTCTGGTCTACACCTTCGACGGACGACGACAAACGTTCCGCAGATCGACCGAGAGCTGGCGCGCCGGGCGTGGCACGGGTGCGTCTTTATGGACCGAATGGTTTCGATGACCTTGGGGCGTCCGATGATGATATCCAAAACCGACGCCTCTGTTGTGCCATTCCCAGAAGCCATCGACGACCAATACCTGTCTCTGGAGCTCGGACAAGATCAATCACAGCCGCACGGCAAAGTCTCGATTGTTGAATTCTACGTTCAATCATTGAAACTCTACATCATCACCGAGGAGACATTGTCTGCCATGTATCCCCACGAAGATGCCCCCTGTTCCTCAACGCCTGCTCCTGCTTTGGAAAAGCTCACCAATCTCGATTTCAACACCATTTTGAGGATCGACACGGCCATCACCAAATGGTACGACGCGGTGCCGGACGCGCTCAAGATCCATAGCCACCGTTCACGGAGCTCCCGCGAAGCCGCCCATTCAAGGCAGGCAAACATACTTCGGCTGCGCTGTCTACAGATCCAAATACTCCTGTTTCGTCCAATCCTTTCACTACTGCTGGCACAGGAGATCAGAAGCAAGGCAATTTGTCTTTCAACACCGCATTTGTGGTTACCGCTCTCCATGGGGTTGATTTGCGTAAGGAAATGCATCCTCAGTGCCCTCGAGATGATCAACATCATCTACGAGAAGCAGATTGACCCGACGTCCAAGGACATTGAGCTTCTTCCAGCATGGTGGTTCCAGGTCTTCTGTAAGTTCAGTGTTCAGTGGGAAGAAAAGCATTTGCTAATCTGTCAAAGTCATCTACAGTAAGCGTCATTTCACTCCCCCTCTCCTTCATGCTGGCACAAACCCCTTCCTCGGTTGTCTGGCCTCGCAGCCAACCCCACATGTACATTCGGGCATCGTAAGATATTCTGCTACAATTGCCCCGATGACCTTTCTGCAGAGAGAACGTGACTATGGTGGTTAAGACTCTGACCAAATGATCCCAGCTGCTGCCACGGCTCTAATACCGGCACGTGTATACAGCTACATACGAGGCGACATCTCGCAGCCGTCGCTGGCCGAAGCATGGCAACGCTCGCTCGAAGTCCTCCGCCGGCTCTCTCCACTGAGTCCCACTGCAACCCGGTGTCTTGCCGCCCTCGAGCTCTTGAACGAAGAAGTCGTTGCGGATGAGATGCCCAACAGCGCCAATCCGACGGCTGGCCACTCCGACCCGCGTGACGGACATACACACAACGAACAGCCTCCCGTGAATCTTCCTGTTAGCCAACCGCACAGGAGCAGCACAGTGCAGCATGATGCCTGCAACAACACCCTTCGACCCCAAGATGACACCACCACTATAGCTCCGCCAATTTGGAATGGCCATCGGCCTCCACCACAGTCGGAGCTTGCTGTTGCTTTCCCGATGGAACAGCAGCCACATCAGCAGTGCAACGTACAGGGAGACTCATTTGGGAGAATGCTGCAAATGCAGGATTTCACCTGGCTGGATTCCCTCCCTGCTGATCTCCTGGCCGGGGGCTACGAGGACCTACCAGAGCTTTTCCCCGCGGTCTAGTCCAGGGGTCTGGGTGATGAGAAGAGCAATCTCCGAACATGCTTGAAAATAGTCAGAGAGTCGGCTGAAACCGAGTTCTTGTTATTGTGTACCCTAATATATCTGCCGGGACTGAGCTTGTTACCAGCACTGCGCCCCTTGCAATGTGCGAATTGTCTCAGATAGTGCTATATCTCGTCATCTCGTCATCCTGTCTTACCTTGCAACTCCTTTTTGGGTCCCTTGATTTCTGCACTGTCAAGGCTCTTTTGCGAATAAGTGCTTTCGAAGGTATTTCTGATTTCAATTTCAATTATTGGGGTCGTTTTTCGTTCTTGTCATGCGTGATATCTTGCAAACCACGTTATTCATGTGGTCAACAGGTTCCTTGGCTTGCGAAGAAGACAAGTTCAAAATCTAACACCCTCATCATTCCGTAGAACAAAGCCTGCGCTTGTCCTCTACTTCATACAAGATGAAGGGCCGCCATATGAGCGGGACAATAGGATAGTGCTTGTGTTTATTTTCTCTCTTCAAATTTAACCATGATAGTCTTCGGAAACGCCGTGAGGCCATCTGCGAAATCCAAAGACGCGTCGGGGGTGACGAGATCCATCTTTGCAAGAACTTTGTCAGTATAACTGATAGACATAATGAGAATGGGAATGAAAAAAGTGACCAACCTTAAACCGTAGAACCAGAGCGGGAATCAATTTCTTAATCTCTAGTTCCGCAATATGTCGTCCCAGGCAGATTCGTTTTCCTGAGCCGAAGCCCATCGAAGCTCGTTCCATCGCGAGTCTCTTCTCGGGGTCTACGAGCCACCGCTCAGGCCGGAACTCCTCCACGTCCTCGCCGAAGAGTTCACGGTTGTTGTGGATGACTTTGGCCGCGCAGCCAACGGTGGTGCCGGCGGGAATCTGTTTGCCGACGATGACGGCGCCACCTCGAGGCACGATCCGCTCCAGGGGAATTGTGACGAAAGGGTTGCAGCGTAAGGCTTCCTTGAAGACGGCGTCGAGATATTCGAGCCTGTTCACTTCGGCCCATTGCGGCACAGGGGTGGACAGCTTCGCGGCCTCCAGCTCTTGCTTGAGTTTCTCGCAGGCAGCCGGGTATTTCATCAGACAGAACAGGATCGTCGTCATCGTCACCGTTGTGCTGTCAAAGCCTGCCGAGATCGTCGAAGTGGTCATCAGGGAGATATTATCGTGGCCCATCGCTGGGTGCTTCTTGAACGCGTCGACGTACTTTTGGAGAAGGTCTTTCTGGCCCTGCGTCTTCTCCATCGGTGCCGATTCACGGGTAGCCAGCTTTTGGAGCGCCTCCAGCGCCCACGCAGATGATTTCTTCGTGACCCAGTTAAAGAGCGGGTGTTGGTAAAGCAGGTACTCCAAATTCGGAAGCGCCTGCCACTGCACCCAGTGGGCAATCCTTTCTCGACTGGGGTCGACCATTCCCCAAACGTCCCTTCTGTTTTGAAGATGTCCCAGATTCTCACTGAAGGCTAGCTGCGTGAGCATGTCGAGCTGGAAGAACTGCATGGTCTTGAACAGGTCAAACTCTGGCTCCTCAATGATGGTCCGGGCGAGCTCGTTGACGGTGTCATCGACGCTATGCTCATAGTCGAGTAGGGTCTTGGTTGCAAACGCATTCCCGACCCCTCTCTTCAAAAGGGTATTGCCTTCTTCGTCCTGCATGTCGATAACGCTCCCTGCCGACTTGCCCTGAGGGTTGCGCACCCGTAGTGGCGAGTACGAGTCGGCCTACGACGTATTTAGAGATATGCGCCCTGGAAGCGGGCTGCCATGTGATTGACTGACCTTTCGAAATTCTCCATGGTTTGTGTAAATGGTGCTCACGGCGGCGGGATCGCTGACATGAATCGTGTTGGGACCGATTCGCACAAGAGGGCCGTACTGCTCATGTAGTTTGATGAGTGTCGTTGCGATGGTGCCGTAATTCTGAGCATACGCTCTCCAGAGGTCTGTGAAACTGGCCAGAAAAGGCCCTGGGATCGAACTCAGTTTTCGATATCTGAAGTAAAGCTGTAGGGGAACCAGAGATATGATAATAGCAAGCACAATGACCTGGATCGATGAAGCCATCTTGGGTCGCCAGCCTTGCTGAGAATTCTGAACCCTAAGCTATATCACAATCATTTGTTAGACCTTTGGTTGATGACCCTTTATAGTTACTCCAGGTGCACTTGTCGATGCGTCCATTCTTCGGACCCGCCTGACGCTGGCAAGCACGCTCCAGAGTGCTGGGGTGGGGAAAGTCAGCAAGTTCGGGAGCAATCCGAGGATGGACAGTCGATCGCGGAACGGCTGACCAGGGAGCGCCTTATGGCCGCCTGACAATGGCATGCACCGAACTAGCAGAAGATCATTTCCAGCTTCCAAAATTATGAACTTCGGCCCTCCCACTCGTCTCGGTCCGAAAATCACAACCTGTAAGACAATCCGTACAGGAAGACCAATTAGGGCAATATACTTTGGGAGGCTAAGCTTACGGCGACATCTTGAATATCAAGACTGCCCCAGGCACCAATGCTCATTGCGAGACATGCGATGTAGTGCAGGCTTCTGCATAAATCTCGTCACCACTCCGGCATTCACCACACGTTCCATTCCAGCGAACCGAGACGACACAGTTGAATATTTCCGGGAAATCTATCAACGAAAATAGCCAAAGGTACCCACTTGTACCTTAAGGGAGCTATTACATTATGGCCAAACTACCATGAGGGGAGTGTGGAAATAACTTTATCCCTGTTCAGTAGTATTTCTATAAAGGAGGGTAACATAACATCCGATTCCGCTGAGCAAGCCAGGTGGCACAGTACTGATTGGACAAAAGTGTTCCAGGTGTATGGCATATTGTAGGCGTTGCTGATTATACGAGGCAGAGAGAGAAGGTAGTTTGAACAGGGAGCGATCAATAGAAATTCGCGTTGAACCTTTACTTCCTGTGTCCCCAGCTGGGAGTGCAAATCAAGAACATTATGGCTATGGGTAGCTGTTGACTCGCTACTCAGTGAGGAGGTTGTGGTCGGGGCCAATAGTGGCGGTGGTGGCCATGGAGCCCGTTTATGTTACCGAGGTAATGCCAGATACACTGCCTCCTTGCATGGCACGGGGGACGAGACATGGGGACATGATGGCCAATGTGCACCACTTCTGAACGATACCTCATCTACTCAAAGCGATGAACTAGGTACACGCCATTTGTTTTCCGCAAAGGGACTAGACTTCAACTACTCTCCAATTTGGCTTTTCTTGGATGTGGTTATTTCAACGATCGCAGCCTTGCTGCCGAGGGAGCCAAGTTCTTGTCCGAAATAGTTGTGGCTCAGCTCATGCTTGTCGGGACGTCGCAGCCGAGCAACCTCGGATCCAGCGTTGAAAAACATCCATACCATTTTCTACGCTTCCGATTGACAGATCAGAAATAGGACAATATATTGCATATCCTCAGGTGTTTGCTAATACCCTGCAAAGATGACCGCACCTACCGCAGGGGGAGTAGCCTCGCGCCACGACCTCGATGATGCTGCTCTCGGGCTATATTTGCAACGCACGCCTTCCGTACCCCCATTGAAGTTACCAGTTGTTTCGACGAAAATCGGCTATGGGCAAAGCAATCCGACATACTACGTCGATGATGCAGCGTAGGTTGTATACGCAAATATGAGATTTCTTCATAACAGCTGATATGGTACGCCTCAGAGGAGCCCGATTGATTCTCAGAAAGAAGCCCGCCGGCCAAATCATCAGCAAAGTCGCCCATCAAGTTGACCGCGAGTTTCGCGTGTTAAAGGCCTTGGGTACGGTGGAAGGGTTTCCTGTCCCGAAGGTCTACACGCTATGTATGGATGATTCCGTAATCGGCACAGCGTTCTACGTATGCTCGTTCCCTTTTGGCAACAACTCGGGCCCCCTTCGCTAACTACTATGTGCCACGCGGGTAGGTCATGGAGTTTGTGAAAGGCAGAATATTCACAGACTATGGTCTTCCAGAGTTATCTCCTTCAGACAGGCGCAAGGCGTGAGTTGGCTTCTGCATGTGCTTGCCACAGGCTAATCAACCACTCCTTGCTCAGCTGGTTCTCCTTGGTAGAAACACTAGCGTGGCTTCATTCAATTGATCCATTTTCTATCGGGTTAGAAGGATTTGGCAAAACCACAGGATTCTACGCCCGACATTGCAATACCTTTACGAGGATCGAGGCCGAGCAATCTAAGATTGAGGACAGCAATGGAAAGCCACTCGGACGAGCACATGAGCACTATGATGAAATCATCGACTATGTGAGAAAGAATCTACCTGGCGATCGCTTCGCGATTGTGCATGGAGACTACAAGTTTGACAACGTGGTGAGAAACTTCCTCCCAATAAGCTTCGAACACCGAGCTAGCGTTGCTTAACATCAAGTCATTCACAGATACTGCATCCCACCGAGCCACGCGTCATTGCGATCCTCGATTGGGAACTCTCAACTATTGGCCATCCACTGATGGATGCCGTCTTCGTCGTTGCATCGTTCTGGAATGAGGGCTATAAAGCGATTGGTGCTCGTTCTTCCAAACCTCTTTCGCAGGTCAGCGGAGTTCCCAACGCCGATGAGCTAATGAACCGTTATAGTGAAATAGTTGGATTTGACCCGCGGAAGGATGGTGGAGGCAAGGACTGGGAAGTTGCCAAAATCTTCCATCACGTACGTGGTAGTACAATTACACATGGCATTCAGGCAAGGACGATCCGCGGCCAGGCCAGCAGTGAATTCAGCCACTTGTATTTCGAGTATACAAAAACAGGTCTGGACATTGCGCTGAGGATAGCGCGGGAGATGAAGGCAAAGGAAACACCTCCCCCAAAGCTCTAACACGCCGATAAATCCCGGTAGTCCTCTGTAGCCATTTCAAAGGATAGAAATACTTTTATTCCGACTGCCCAGTGACCGATTAGGTGGTTACACCACGATATGGCTTCCACTGAAGAGCCACTACGCCTTCACAGCTATGTGGGAGGGTGATATAGATGCGGTGGACGGCCTTTTCAAAAGGCAGTCTAATGGTACAAGCATTTGTCGGCCATTCGCGGCCATGTCTGGGGCTGGGTGGGTATCGCCAACCCCACAATCTCTTATCTGTCGCGGTTGAACCCCTTCTCAGCCTTGCCTCCGAAAGTGGATTCCTTGACATTTCCAGTAAGATAATCATCAAGCCTGCGACTCGGCAGCGCCTTCAAAGCTCTTCCCAACAATCAGAGGAGCAACATCTCCGCCGTTACATTCTGGATATCATGCTTCATTTCCAAACAGAAGATCAGGGCTCTTGGCGACCATGGCAGGGTTTCCGAGGCCCCGGCTTGTTTCCAAACTGGGAAAACCGTGGCAAACAAGAAATAGTACACTCCCTGCGTGATCTCGCTTCCTCTCCCGTGTTGTTGCTGCTGCTAATGATCATCAGAATGGAAGTCCTGCATGCATACCTCCTCAGTCGGCGCTCCCCCTCGCCTACGCTAAAGCACTTGCAGTTAACCGAGCAGAAGAAGTTGGCAATGTGGAAGCATAACGCTGCCGTTCTGCTCGATCCAGTCCCATTAGTATGAGGTTGAACCTTGCAATATGTGGGATTTGGACTACCGAGTAGGCCTGACAGATGAATGCCTTTCTCAAGACCCGGGGTAGTCTACCCCATTTGGTACAGCCAACTTCGGGTATGCGTGCAATCAGCATGCCCGAGGCTATCAATACAAAGATTCTAGGCTTCGAGACCGACATCAATGTGGTTTCGACCCCGCCTTTTGAGAAATTGATATAGTACAGCTTGGAAGTTCAGGGATCACACCTCTCTTCTATTCCATTTCCCTCTCTGTACGGAGCCTGTTCTCTCCCTCAGGAAACCACTCATCAAAATGCAGAAATACCAGCTACTGTGCATTGTTTTCGTTACCTTTGGCTCCATATTCTACGGCTATGACTCTGGTACGGACACCCAATGTCGCAGAACATCCGTATACTAACTCCATCCAGGCTGTACAACATCAGTCCTAGGATATTCCTCCTTCATCGAGTACTTCAATCTTGATGCCACGACCATCGGAGCTTTCGGATCAGCCTACTATGGAGGTGGAGCTGTTGGTTGCTTCCTCAACTACTATCTGCCTGACAAGTATGGTCGTCTGCGGACGATACAGATGTCCTGCGTCCTTGCTTTGATCGGCTCTGCAATGCAAGCCGGAGCGACAAACTTCCCGGTCTTCTGCGCTGGACGTGTCCTTGGTGGAATAGCAAATGGAATTGTCTTTTCAGTCTGTCCCACTTACGCCTCCGAGATAGCGACTCCTGAGATAAGAGGCCGTGTTGGCTCGCTTTATGCTTTCAACGTCAACTTCGCCTACATGCTCACAGAGTGGATGGGTCTCGGCTTCTATTACATTAAGGGCAATGCCGCGTGGCGCACTCTGCTGGGAATCCAGCTCGTCCCGGCCGTTCTCATGCTGGTCGCCTCCTTCTGGATGCCCTTCTCTCCCCGATGGCTCATCATGAAGGGACGAGAAGACGAAGCATTGGAAGTGCTTAGAAAGCTTCATGCCGGAGTCGAAGGACATGAGGAGGACTTCTATATTAAGGAGTTCCACCAGATCAAGTCACAGTACCAAATCGATCAAGCCAACAAGCTTGGGCTCGTCGCAATCTTCAAGAAGAAATCGTACCGGAAACGCATGTACCTCATCTTGTTATTCGTGGCATTCTGCCAGTTTACAGGCATCATCCCGCTGCAGAACTACCAGGTCACCATCTACACCAAGCTCGGCTTCACCAATGTCTTCAGTTTGGTCCTGACAGGTATCTGGGGTACATTGGGCTGCTTGTCAACGATCACCGCCAGTCAAATTGTTGACCGATTGGGGCGACGACATCTTATGGTACGTGCTTCTCTCGAACCTGATAGTGATCCTATCCTTGCTGACATCACAAACTAGTTTGTGTCCTATAGTTTCATGATCCCTGGTGGGATCCTGCTTGTGGCTCTTTGGGCAAGCTTCGAAGCCACCAACAGCACCAACTATGCGATAGGAAAAGCCGTCATATTTGGCATGTTCTTTTATGGCTTCGGATACGGTGGCTTCATGAACACCTTCTTCCCGGTCTACTGCACCGAAGTCATGCCCACCAACATCCGTGCGACTGGTACTGCCAGCGGCTATGCCCTCTTCAACCTTATCGTCATCATGTTGGTTCAGGTAACTCCCATGGCGATAGAGGCCATCAGCTGGAAGTACTTCATGATCTTCGTCATCTGTGACATTATTTTCATTGTCATCTTCATCATCTTCTATCCTGAGACGAAGAATAAGACACTAGAGGAAATCAGCGCTATTTTCGGTGATGAGGTATGCCAAACAAACCTCAAGAACAGGAACACAGGGCAAGGCTAACGTGTGCTGTTATAGATTGCCGAGACACTCGAAGAGGCTGGTCAGCATGTCGAAGAAGTCAAGCACGAGCACGAGAAAGCTGTCCATCATATCGACGAAGTCCCGGCCAAGCTTGCGTGAAAGACGCTTAGGACTCCAGGCGATTGCTGAGTACATGATATACTACCACCATTGATGGTAAATTTGCGCTGCCTAGTATCTTCTCAGACTGAAGAGTTGTCCATGGGAAACATTTGTTGACAGTGTTGGCGGCAAATCACTCCTATTACTTTAATTTTGCCTCTCACCCCAATATGAACAGAAGCTACTGATGATTTCACACGCCGTGAATTTCAAGCTATCCTTGGCCATATGCTGAAGTGCGATAGAAGCTAAACGAAATCCGACAGTCAATTTAATGCGCCCTTTGTGACATGAGATTCGAATAAGTGCAAGTGCTAGTAAATAATGAGTTCCACAGCGTACAAGGGCCGGCAGATGGACCAAGTGACACGGGCTTGATTGCACGGCATATTCGCCGAACGGCAACTATTTTCTCGGAGATGGTCCAGCCTCGTCGAGAATTTTAAGGGTGCACAGCCTCGGTAGGTCGCGCGACCGAAGTCTATTCTTGAAGCATTATGAGCGCGTTTTGAGCTTACAGGAATGCAGCAAGAAGCATTTTCGTTGGCCTCGTTCGGGAGTGATATATTGCGGCTTCTCGCGCACGGAAATTCGTGAAGAAGTCAGTACTAACAACATCGATTTTCTTCGAAGCAAAGTCGTGGTACAACCCACGGGCTATGCAAATCCCCTATGAAAGTGCCAACTGCTCAGTCTATAGATCGAGCCGCAGGTGGGCTGGATCTGATTCCTCAATATCTAAGGTCTTTTGTGATCTCCACGGGCCATCGACTTCTTCGGGTCCGCCGCGCTCGTGTCCAAGTGTGACAGTATTCCCCTTACTCCTTCTGCAAAACGTACCCGTATTTCAACGCAGAATTGGAACACCGCATTCTGCAGATTGCCCATCACTTCTTTTCGATCGGCCATTGTTCCAGAATTCTTCCATGAGGCCATCATAAACTTCTACCAAAAACTCTCTCAACAGCTTCCAGACGATCAGCCATGACAAGAAATTTGATGGACTATGACGATGAAAGCGGTTAGTACCGCCACCCAGAAAGGTACAAGCGGAACTCACCTGCTGGAAATCGCAACATTGGCGGTGTTTCAACCAGTTCTTGGTGATTTTCAAGAAGATCGTACAGGGACGAGAAGCTTGCTCCATGGAGTGGACTAGGTTGCGTACGTTCAGGACCCCGGTAGGGTTTGTGAAATCGCTATCCCTCCGGCCTGCGTCAAATTCCTCTGGGTAGGATTCATCGTTGATCCTCAACCAGTCGGAGGTTAAAAGGTATGGATTGTCTGCATCCGCGAGCCTGTACCGGTAAATGTTGTATTGAATGTTGATCTCGGTGACTCGCGGGAAATGTGTTGGGATCATGCCCCAGACTGTGTCGAACAGGTCACCGGTAGTTCGACCGGTCAGGCCGCTGATTGCGAGCTCTGTCACTCGATTTCGGAGGTGTTCCCAACCTGGTCCACAGATCTTTGTGAAAGCAAGCCCATAATTGTCCTCATCCCAGACGATCCTCATGCGGCCGTTGAATGCTTGCTCTCTTGCATGTTGTGAATCCTTGCGAACTTTCTTGCACACCAGCGCGAGACCACCGTAGTCGTATCCCCGAACTACCACTTCAGAACCTCCCATTGTTCCATCGTAATAACACGACTCCCAGCGCGACGCCGCCTGCAGAGACATCCGTACTCTTACTCCATGCTTCTCTTCGTAGACATGTTCGTAGATCTTTGCCTGGATTTCTTGTGGGAACTTGAATAAAGGGGAAAGGCCATGTGCACAGGACGAGCTTCGTGGAGCCAAGGCATCGCTCATTTCCGTCCAGTCATCGAGCCAGCTGGGATTCTCATTCGCGACTTCGTTTGATTTATCACTTGGCGCGTCCCATCCTCGACCAGTTCCACACTTATCCACGTTGGCCTTGCCACGAGGTCGTAGCTTGGGGTGGGCAACCCAGCACTGGCTGGTGAAGTGGCCGTACTTTCCGCATTTCGGGTGAGTACATTCGACCCGCCGTCGACCAGGGGGTAAGGCATGGTTTTTTGAGCTGTTGGAAGCCATTTCAACCGTGAGGCCACTACCGAAGCTGGCGGTAAAAGGAGGGTTTGGAGCTTCGAAATATGAATAGTGACAAACGAGCGTGGTTGGCAGCACACCGAGCTTGTCCAAGGTGACTTGATGTGAGCAAGGAGGGAGAACAGATTCAACATAGACGATGTCACTAGCGCAGTCAACAAGGCCGAGAGTCACTCCAACCGTGAAGCAGCGAGTGAAGAGCCGTGCCAAAGTGCTAGTGACATCCCGGGTTGATGTATGTGAAGAGGGTGGACGCCCAGGCACTCCCGTGACAGTCACTTGAGGACCTCAGCATCGACGGGAAAGAAGTGACTTGCTTCCCACAATGTTTTGCATGATCCTACCAGCTTTCAGTGCTCCGTAACACGTATACGTAGCTCGACAGAAACCGGCTGGGCCGTAAGGTTCAACCCAAACGTTGGACCAGTGGATCTTGTAGTTAACTCTCTAATGAAACCTACCAATACATAAGAGTCTTGAATTTGCAGTCGCTGCTCCGTTTGATTTGTGAGCCATGCCCAGGCAATGACTAGTAATCTCGGGTCAGGCCGTTGGAGGACAGCCCCTTCTCAGCAGAGGTCAAAAGCCATCGACCGACAAGAAGGCTTGTTGAAAAGTAAAAGCAGGGTTAGATAGCTACCCCTCCACTTCTTGCACTAGAAGAATGTCGCATGAAGACTGACCAGCAGAGGTATTCAATGTCCTTAGGTATGCAGTTGGTTCTTCGATGCCTAAGTTCCATTCCATCTGCCTAGTTTCGATAGGTAGCAATCCCAAAGGAGAGAGATGGTCGAGTGGAAACCTGATTGAGAAATTCATGTCGGCGTGACACCCCCCGCTCTTAGATTGACCATGCTCTTTGGTAATCTTTTGATCTGTCATTGGTATACTTGCGTCTGTATTCCGGTCAAATTCGTGTTCATGTCTGGGATGGAGGCTGGGGATAGACCGATGGTGTTGATCCAGGAACAGAGTAGTCTAGTATTGATTGATGTGTCAAGAAAACAGAGGCTGAGCTGTGTTGCGTCGATGATGTACATATGGCAGTCTTTGGTTGGAAACTTAGAACCCAAACCACCGCTCCAGTGCCGCCTTGGCCGCGTCCATGTCTGGTTTTGCATTACCATCAACCACCCAAGCAACAATCCCATCAGGTCGGACCAACAAAGCACGAAGTCCACGCGTATCTTGTGCGCCGAGGCCAATATATTCCACCCTTGCTTCGTACTTTCCGTCGACAGTCAACTGCTTGAGGATCGCGTCGTCTTCAAAATCGATGAGAAGTCCCCGGCCTCCTTCCAACTTGGATCCTAGCCTCGAGCCGTCATGCAGCTCGAAATCTGGAGCGCTGCAGCCAACGAGTGGGTGAGCGTGCGCCTCGCCGTCGCCAAGTATATACCGTTGAGACATGCCCGAGAAGCGCCCGATGAAGAAATTGGTTCCGTCAGTAGTGTCAATAAGGTCACGAATGAGGGCCTGGACAGCTTCGCCGTAGGGGTCTGGTTGCAGCACGACGACTTGTGCGCGCGTCCATTGAAGCACACGCACCCCAACAGGGTGACGCTCGCTCTCGTATGAGTCGAGAAGTGCCAGGTCTGCTGGAGCGCCATCGGCTCCGGATTCTCTTCTTATGGTCGCGGCAAGCTTCCAGCCCAAGTTCATAGCGTCACCCAACCCGAGGTTCATGCCCTGGCCCCCAAGAGGCCCGTGAATATGGGCGGCATCACCAGCAAGCAGGACACGGCCCTTGCGATAACTTGTGGCTTGTTTGCACCGGTCGGTAAAAGTTGAGGCGAGGTGTATCTTCGTGATGTTAACATCTGTGATTCCAGATATGCGGCGGAAGACGCTTTGAATGTGCTCCTGGCCCACTTCTGTCGTGCGATCAAAGGCACCGCCGTCAAAATCGGTCAGATAGAGAGTTTCCGGATGCCTTATGATGTATAAGCCGGCGTTTGTAATATGAAAACCCTGCTTCAGTTTCTCAGGGTGATCCCACTCGCACTGGACCACATAGCCCGTGAATTTGGGCTCCGTTCCAACGAAGTCAAATCCTGCCGATTTACGAACCACGCTTCGACCGCCGTCGCATCCCACGAGCCACTTCCCCCGAAAAATCTGGGTTTCTCCAGCTTCCACTGTGAGAGTATCGTCGTCGTCAGACACAATCTTTGTGAAGCCATTGCCTCTTAGTATGGTGACGCCCAGTTGCTCAGCACGTTCCGTAAGTACGGCCTCGACCTGCTCGATAGTCGTGGGACCGGGTACCAAGGCCGGGCCAGGAATACGATATTTCCAGCGATCCATCTCCAACTTGTTGGCGTTAAGCGGGATACCGGCGAAGTGGCCGCCAAATTGGAAGCCCGGGGTTTTCTGGTAAAACGAAGGTCGCTCAGCTGAGCTAAAGAGTTTGTGTAGGAGGCCTCGTCGATAGAAGCTTTCAAGAGAGGGCGTATTCATGCCACGAAACCCCAGAGGCTCGCCTTTCCACGCCGATTCAGCCTTGACATCCCGCTCGAGGACCAACACAGACATACGCGCCAGTCCTAGCTCGCAGGCTAGAAAGAGCCCAATGGGCCCTGCACCAGCGATGATAACGTCGTAAAGCTTGCTCATGCTTGAAGGCGCCCGTGATGCAGGGCCGACTTTTCCGAGGAACTGAGTCTGTGCGAAATATTGAATACATTTCTGGAGATCACCAGTGCGTTTTATAGCTGCCTTGACAATAACACGTGCGCTTTACCTTCGGCCCCGTTGGAGTGGAAGCTGTACAGCCACAGCAAGAGAAAAAGGAGTCCAGCCTCGGGGAGATTTGACGACGTTTCGGGCCACAAGAAGTCCGAGCGTGTTGCATTCGGGGAAACTGGAGAATGGTTTCCCCGAGCTCCATATTTCTACCTGTGCCACCAATCGGAAGAGATCTCGGCTCCCGACCTTCCTAATTCGCTCTATCATGATTCATCGCTTGCGAGCCCTGAATCGGCCACGACTTTTCTTCCCCGTGCAGTGGTTCATCAGAATCGTGGAGAGAGAAGTGGGTGTTGCTAGTCGTCTAGCTAATGGCGATTCCTCTTGCTAGAGCACACATTCACGGCTACTTCCTTTCAGTGGTATCTATATCCAGTGACAATGAATCCCCCAGATCCGTCGCCGAGGACACCGCCCGTAAAGCGGAGCTCGGCGGCCTGCATCCATTGTTCAGACCGGAAAGTCAGGTGTGACAAACAGACTCCGTGCAGTACATGCACCAGACACAATGTGCAATGCATATTTCCCCCGCCGAAGACGAAGCCCCTTAGAACAAAACGAAAATGGGTTCATATCGACGAGTTTGACGAATTAGAGAATCGATACGAAGCATTGCTCCGGGAGAAAGGCATCGACACCACCGACGCCAACCAAATTGACGTCACTGACCCTTTGCAATATGGGCATCCTTCCACAAGCAGTGGCTCGGATGTATCTCGAACCAATGGGCTATTTACAGCATCCGACTTAACTGTTTCGGGGTCACAGAGAACATTCTTCAAGCCCCAGCTGTTACAAGGGCAAGGAGGTACAAAACTGGTGCACAAGTAAGTAACATTTGTTACATTCACGGATGAAGCTAAGGCTCCGAAAGCAGCTTGTGGTCTCGGGTGGCACAGGAGGTATGTGAATGATCGTCCCTTGTAGCCAACGCGAACCTGCTAGCCTTATCCATGTGCCACCACTAACGGTAGAGCCAGATCCACGACGCAGAGGATGCATTTGAAGACGATTCAGCGGCCAGTTCTAGTGATGGCGGGTCACCGAAAGATGACTTTACCTATGTCCTAGGCTGTAACGCACCAGCTACTGCATCCTTGCACCCTCCTTCACAATCCATTGATCGGCTATGGCAAATTTTCATTGAAAACGTCAACCCTCTCACGAAAATCGTGCACGTACCAAGTTTGCAGTTCGCCATAGAGAAAGCAACCAACAATATCGAGCACATCCCAAAAGGATTCGAAGCACTCATGTTTGCCATTTATAGCATCGCCGTCTTGTCCCTTACAGAAGTTGAATGCAAAGAAACATTCGGAGAGACTCGGGCGATACTGCTTTCCTGTTACGTGGCGGCTACGAAGAGGGCTTTGTTTCGTGCTAAGTTCATGAGCAGCACTAGCATTGTGACGCTGCAGGCGCTGGTCCTTCACATTCTTTCTATCCGAGACGACTACGAACCGCGTGCTGTGTGGAGCCTCACAGGGGTTGCGCTGCGCGTTGCAGAAGGTATGGGTATGAGCCTTGATGGCACATTACTCGGTTTGTCACCATTTGAAACCGAAATCCGTCGACGGATCTGGTGGCAGCTTAGGACGCACGACTTTCGTGCAGCAGAGCTAAGTGGCCAGGCCAAATTTCGAGACTTCGAGGTCAATGAGACCACCCCTAAGATGCCTGCGAATGTTGATGACAGCGATCTTTATCCCGCAATGTCGCAAGCAGCAGTTGAGTCAACGAGGCCAACGCAGATGATATGGTGCATGGTGCGGTCGGCGATGGCTACCTTTGCTGCTGGCCAGACGGCCAAAATAGCCAAACTCCGCAAGGTCGCTTTTACATCTGACGAATACCCTGCCATGGATGACTTGGAGCGAAAGGACCATTTCATCAAAGGGGTTGAAGACATGTTGGAGACGAAGTACTTGCGATTTTGTGACCCTTCTCAGCCCCTTCAACTAATGGCGCTGGTTGGTGGTCGGACAGCAACAAACCTTGTCCGGTTCATGGCTCATCATCCGCGCAGATGGGCCTACCAAGACCATGTGTCCGCATCAGAACGGCAATTTGTCTGGGGCATTGCCACTAGACTCCTGGAGCAGTATAATATGATGCAGACAGACCTTCATCTAAGACGCTTCGCCTGGCATGTACCGTACTTCATTCAATGGCACGCTGTCATCCACGTCTTGGACACACTCCGAACAGATCCCCTCCACCTAGAGGCCCAGAGTGCCTGGCGCCTCATTGACACGTTGTTCGAAAACAATCTTGGTGTATTGCTGAGCGTCAACAGGCCGATCGTCGCGGCGGTTGGGAATCTTTGTCTGAAAGCATTCACTGTCCGCGAGGACGTTTTGAAGAAGAAGCAGAGAGTTCCGAGTGAGCCGCCCGAATACATAACTAAGCTACGCAAACAACGAGAAGCCGCGAAAGTAAGGAGGGCAGAAGAGACCCTGGCAAGCCAGACGCGAGACCAACTGAGCAGCCAAAACGGATTGAGGACAGCGGACGCACCCTTTGTGACCCAACCGCAGCAGCATCTGCTATCAAAGCAGCAGGTAAGCGCCTTTCCAGGAAACGCCCGGAGTGAAGACGATGCGTTCTGGCTCAGCGACACTCTCGATGACGGGTCTTCCGCTGATGGAGCTGTGGACATGATGAGCTTGTATACGGATGCAATTTTGGTTCAGGATTATTCACTCGGTACTCCCGGCAACGATGCCATAGACTGGGAACGATGGGATACCTGGTTTGGCCATCTGGATCCTCTGCGTCCAACTATTGCCCCGCAACAAGAGCGACGGATCAGTATCCAGAGCCTGGTATCCAGGTGACGCTTGCTCTACAGCTCTCACTGCGTCTGTTGGAAGCCTACGTTAATTCTCGTTCCGTGCCCAAATGTGAAGACAGGAGCGTCAGGAAGTTTTAGCCACTGGGAAAGTTCACGAAGGAACGGAGAGTGTGAGACCGATCCTCCTACAATTTCGGAACGACGAGGCTGAAATAAGCAGGCTGGGACGATGGCAGACAGCCTACTCAAAGCGCACTTGCCGGGCGGCTGATGGGTCCTAGGTTTGTCTTTTCCTTGACTGCCGGTACGCCGTTCGGCCCCTAGACCCATGTCCTCGACATCGACATTGAATTGGACGGTTTGGAGATCTGCGTCAACCCTTTGAGGATTAAGCACAAAGATTTGCTTACTGGAGAACCCATCTGGAGCGATGGGCTTAGACCCCATCAGGGAGTCTTCACGGTTCCGCACCATGGCTGGCCTGGATCCTCTGGGATTTGCCAACACCAGAGTCTTCCGTATCCCGGTTGGTGCATCTGAAAAAGATGCGGATGGAGTGAAATTCACCAAGAATTGGCCTCTTCAACGGACATCCCTGCGAGGCTCAGCCGGAACCTTCATGCTTCTGATGTCTTCGCCTGACACAGGACATGATACCAGTACAATTACGACATAAACAGCTCCATTACGCTTAGTGTCATTCCATACGACCGCTTTATTCCGTCGATCTTTACCTTACACACCTCCTCGGAGGGCCTTGCGAACCTTGGCATCTCTCAGTCGCACGAGCCAGCCGTGGAGATATGCATTTCGGCCCCTTGACAGCATCGCAGCACGGTGGCCCAATTCATGGGCCTGATCGACGTAGAGCGGACATGATTCAGGACAACGGCGGGTTCCGGCCTGGCGGAGCAAGTCTCCACAATGTGACAGTTGGACACGACTCAGACAGCGGTACATTTGCTCGTCGTGTCCGAAATGGAGCCCCTGCATCAGAAAAGTCGGTGACCGCAGCTATGGAATCGGTCCCCATCATGAATATTGCTCTGGAAAGCCGTGAGGACGCCTCACCCACGTCGAGCACAAAGGAATTGAGCTGCTCGGACAGCACTCTGACGGGGCTGGGATCGAGGATCCGTTCCTGAAATCTGAGCGGGTGAAGATGGTCTCTCATTCCCTTGATCGGCAGTTATGGTACCATGGGAGACTTGTAGCACGTGCAAATGGTTGTAAGGATCAAAGATTGATCTTCCGTACTACTATGATGATTTCCTGAGAAAATCAATGTGTCGGACGAGATTCGGCCATGCCCAGGGTTGCATAGTTGGCATGTCAGTGGAGATTGGGTATTAAATGGACTGTTGGAAAGAAAAAAATCGAATTATGACAAGGCTGGTTGAAGTCCCCAAGGGTGACCATTATCTACCAGATAAACTACCTCCACTTTCATGCTCAGAGGCTCACAACGGCGATCCAGCACGCTCAGCACCGGCAAATGCGTTTGTCAGAGACTTCCAGATCGGCTGGCCTTCATATGTAAGGTCACCAAGTGGTGGACATGTCAGAGGATCGAGTGCTGAGCCCAGGGCGTCCGTGAGGAGTTTCAGGGGCACTGCCAATGCCGAGTAGAGCGGGGACAAAGAGTCTGGTGAGACGGTGTTCACCACCTGGAATGCGAAACAGAGCAGATTGTTGCCTTCCAGCAAGGTCTCTGCATTCAGGATGCCGCCGGACAGATTGCTAATGTCCAATCCTGTGAACGAATTGACCGTGCCGGTGTTGCCTCCGATCGAAGCCAGCTGAGGATACTTGATGAACCAGTCCACGAGGTCCAAGTTGAGCTGCACCAGGCCGTAGTCGACGGGAGCTTTGAACCAGTTGTTGGGGATGCGTTCCCACCCTCGCTTGTACTGGAGCGAACCGTCGGCGTTGTCGACCACGCCCCAGAAAGACTTGAAAATCTCTTTGGCTGGCCCGAGGGTCAGCAATGTCCTCCATCAGCGCATCCTTGTTCACTTACTCATGATCCCTCCTGGATACTCGGTTGAATGGTTTGACAGTAAGCGAAGAGTAAATGCCGCGCCAGCATTACGAGCAATGGCGCCAGTATAAGGTCCGTAGTAGCAATATGGGTTGGTGGCAATGCATTCGTCGAGCATATCGATTGCATGCTGCAGCACATTGTCGGTCGAGATGACATCTGTATCGTCGCCCGCACGGTTATAAAGCCGAAGAAACCGACTCATGTCCATCGTAGAAGCATCACCCGTGACATAAAGGTCATCTCGGGTGAGTGAAGCATCTGCCTCGATCCAGTTGTGCGATCTTCCAATACCCCGTGGTGTACCTAGGAGCCCCAGTAGGTTTCCGAGCAGATTCTGTGCCTGCGGAGACGATGTATCAATAGAGAAGCCTGGGCTCAAGGAAATCGGGTTGCCAGTCCAGACAGTGCCTGCAAAGACTTAGCCGACGTCTCTGTCTGTGGGGGGTTTTGTCGTACCCATCACGGCAAGTATTGTCGATAGACCAATGTCCATTCCATACACTTTTCCACAGTCAATACCCTCATCGTGTAGACAGCTTGTCGAAATATTTACCTTCATTTATGACGCCGATAACATCGGGAAACTAACAACACACCAGTTAGATCTGACAGCCATATTTTGCACTCTAGCATACTTTTGCAACTCCAGAGCGATCGATGTAGCCATGATTGGCTAACGCATTGAGTCCGGGACATGGTCCTCTCTGGGCGCTCGAGCTAGGCGCCTGCCATTGATGCTGGCCATCGACTTGTGGTGCGTTAGTCGCATTCTCACGCGTCCGGCCACTCATCTTACCTTGAATCGGCGTGTCTAACGGGTTAACAAGCAGTCTCTTCTCTCGCTGATGCTGCACTTGGCGAACAATCCCCTCGAATGACCAGTCCTCTGAGACATCAAGACCTCCTGCTCTGGCGAGAAGTGCAACATTGGAAGCCGTAGGGAACGCGGAGGAAAATACAAAACTACCCAGTAGTGCGGCACAAGTTGACAAGAAGGACTTCATCTCCAAAAAGAACGAACGTCAATGCCACTGGACTAGCCAGCGACGTACCAAAAGAGTGACTGAAGTGAGTTGGCAAATGTTTGCTGGTAGAGAAAGAATCACAAAGTCAACCCATTGAACATTGAACGTCGATGACTAGCGGTAGCAGCCATAGGTAGCCCAAAGTCTGCACAATTAATTAGGATGCAGATCAATACAGTCGCCTCATCTCGCGGAGGCGGGCTTTCACCATTAGTATAGCCAGCGAATTTGGAAGTGGGTTAGAGAGACAAGCTTCCTCCCAGGAGCTCTGACTCCAGGCTAGCAGGACAGAAAACAACGGGAGTAGGGCCCATATGAACATGGAGCACTGGATTTGTTATCCATGTTCCTTCTGTGGAATAGGGTACGCGACTGGGGGCCCAAAATGCATGCCACTGTGCCACCACCGTCACTAGCCAGGCCTAACGTCTGCCCAAATCCCATGGCGAATGCATGGATCGACCTCCACACTTTTCAACGGCTCGGGTGGCTGGCCATTCAGAAAGTCATTCTCGGGGATGCAGCTCCTGGGGAGTTCCTCAGGTATCAACATTGACCCCGGCAAATTATGATGTACTTGTAGGCGATAGACTTTCACCTCGAGCATTATATCTGGACAGGAATGTCACTGATTTACCAATTCCCCCAACATAATCTGCGGCCTACCATACCATGGCAACATATGACAAGCTCTTTGTTTTATTCCTTGGATGTGGTCAACTTTAGCCATTACTGGGCGAAGGAAGAACTCCTGGCCCCAGGCACCCATTTTTCATGAGTTCTTCGTTCCGAAGACCAGAATTCCCCGATTGATCCCATAGCTCTTAGTCAATACCATGACTCGTCAGGAGACTGTGGGCCGTGCTTTCTAGTGGGCTTGCGACTCTCGCCTCCTTACTTGTAGGTAGACAGTGTGCTAGTCGACCGAAAGCAGGACGCTTGGCCAGATGGGGGACTCGGTATCTACCTGTCTAGACCCTCCCTGCAAAGCAAATCCTGTCTGGGCTTGGCTGGTTCCAAGTCTCTGGTCGTGATGTGGGAAGTGGGTAAGGAGGCGGCGCGCGAGGCTGGGAATTATCCCGTCGCTCGCGGCTGCAGGCAAAAGACCTAGTCCACGAGTAGCTAAAGTTAACGGGATTGGCAGGGGCTGGAAGTGGGGGTTTCTATTGATTTTCTCGACGAGGTTGATCCTCGAGGGGCCAATTTTTCTGAGCAAGGGAATACCAGGTGCGAAGAATTAAGCGTGTCTTTGGGAGCCCAGTGCTCATCTCGTCTATCTCTGCGTTCTCGTCGAGGAAATCATTAGCACGCTGCATCTTCTTTTGAGCCCCCCGGTATACCCATATGATAGAATTCCATGTCCACGTCACTCTAGTCTTTCTTTTGATTGCATAGCTGCGAGTTCCCCGTTGGTGGATACATCTATTCTGCAGATCTCGAAAACGTCTAACAACGGGGAAGAATCCACGAGGGCGGAGTATATTGCTCTTGCATCCGATCCCGGTCACGCAAATCTTTTACTACTCTGTCCCGACTGTTGATCTTCCCCAGATACTCTCACCACTTGGTATCTGTGCGTTTCCTCTATACTCGAATTTTTCAAGTTTGTGGGCCAGTTCACCTCGTCGTCAGGCCAGTTCTCCACCGCTTCAGCGACGACCATTTCATTGTCCCATGTATCCCTGGCGAGCTCTTGATAGCTCCAAGAACCACGCTGCTAGCACTAGGCTGCTTGCTGGAGACTGGTCAGAGAGTTCGCAATAGTTGAAGACTTCGAGGCGAAAGGGAAGCAACTCCTTTGTGGTTTAGCAGATTTTTCGCCCTTAACGTTGAGCCATATCATGTCGCAGCCGCTGCCATCTTCTCATCGATCTTCTCACAAGTAAGGGATTTTGTTGGACGTGCTTGGAGGAGAAGTTCACGACGATGAGACTGTTTACGACCTTATTGTTTCTCATAACCGCAACATTGCTTGCTCTTGTCGAAGCGGACCTGGAGTCTGCAGCAGCCTTGTACCCAAAATGTGGTGTAAGTGTGTAAACTTCCTCCCCGCCTTCTCATTGCTAACAAATCCAGCTTGACTGTACCCTAGCAGGCATTGCTCAGTCAGACTGCTCTGCAACGGACCAAGCATGTATTTGCACGAACCAGCAGTTGGCAGAAACCATCACAATCTGCGTTGCCATGAACTGTACGATCAAAGAACAATTGAGTAAGCTCGAAAGGCCCAAAAGAGTCCACAAAGTGCACGCACACTGACATTTCCAAAGCAACTAAGAATGTGTCCATGACGGCTTGCGGTGCTCCCATACGTGACAGAAGCAATCTTGTCTCTGGGTTTGGAGCAGGAGGAGGCGCGGTGGCCCTCGTGATCTTCCTGGTACGCATCTTTGCCAAAATTACGGTTCCTGCGGCAAAGATTGGTTACGACGACATCACCATCACTATTGCAATGGTACGACCAGGTACACGTTTGTGGGCTCCAGGACCAAATGCTAACTCTAGTGACAGATTCTCCTTGTAGCATTCTCGGCGTTGTCAGTAGTCCGTAAGTTGCAAAACCCGGATTGCCCATCAAACTCATGCTGACGATTTGCAGTTGCTAGTCACGGCTATGGCAAAGATATCTGGACTGTACCATTTGACGATATTACCCTCATTCTCAAGGTATGCAGACAGTCGAGCAGCAATCCGCGGAGAACAGTCTGACGACGGAAACAGGTATATTTCATCGACGAACTGCTCTATATCGTCATTATTTCTTTGACGAAGGTGGCCATCATCTGCTTTTACCTTCGAGTCTTCCCAGAGAAGAACTTCCGACGGATAGCCTTCGGTACCATGGCCGTGACGCTCCTCTACATGATCGCCTTTCTCGTTGTTTCGGCCTTTCAGTGTCAACCGGTGTCTTTAGCATGGACGCACTGGGATGGCGAGCACGAAGGAAGATGCAACAACGTCAACGCCCAAGGATGGGCTGCAGCAGCCATCAACATTGCTCTGGACGTGGTCATCCTCGTGATGCCGCTGCGGCTTGTGATGAAGCTCAACCTGCACTGGAAGAAAAAGTTACAAATCATGCTCATGCTAAGTGTGGGAGTATTGTATGTTATCCGAACCCGTCACAGCCGCAATCTCTAACTCGTCCCTCTCCCAGTGTCATCGTCGTCAGCGCCCTGCGATTGGACACCCTCTTCCAGTTTGCCACATCCCAAAACCTCACGTGGGACACCACAGCCTTCGGGTACTGGTCCTGCATTGAGATGGACGTCGGGGTCATCTGCGCCTGCATGCCTGCCATGTACTCGTTGTTCAAACACTACTTCCCCAAGATCATTGGCTCGACAGTCCAAGGAAAGAGCAAGGCAAGCGGCCTCTCTGGCAGCAGGAGCGGAGCTCGAACCCCAGGGATACAGTTTGACAGGCGGAAGGATGACAAAGACGGCGGACAGGATTTTGTGCGTTTGGTTGACCTTGAGAGCGTGAAGGAAGACCGTGTTGGCACTGCACCTGGGACTGCATTCTAGAGAAGTTGGCCACCCAAGAATTTCCAAGCAGCGACCACTTTGGGCTACTGTAAAAAGCGCGAGGCTCCCTTCCAAGATAGAGCGGATATCGGCCACGCCACCGGATATGATAGATTTCGACCAATGTATTCTGACATCAAGCAGTCCAATGCCTAACCCTAGGAATGTCGTTCGGCTTTGAGATCAGCCAGTTACAAGAAAAATGGTGTCATGCCAACCGAAACTTCTTGAATTCTGCACTCCTGCCGTCCCGAACTCCATGGTACCCTGTACCACTGAGGTCCCACTAGAGTGGTAAGAGGGGATGTACCAGCCATGTAGGTCCCCGTATGGTGCCCGAGAAGCCCTATTTCGCCAGCATCCTGGAACAACCGACTCTGCCGCTAACCGCTAGTTGCTGCAAGGGATGCCAGGAACCCACAGCGGGATCGGCCAACGGTTGGCAAGCGTGGTGGATCGACGCAGCCACCAGCCTGGGCCCGAGAGTCGGGGGCCCTGCCTTCAGCCGCTAGACATTCAGCCTTGTTGCTCCAAACCTGCTCAATGCGGCCGGGGCGATGCCTGGCCCATTGCGCATTCAGGGAAACCCTGGGTGACCAGTCCTGGGTGACCAGTGACCCATCTCGTCCCTATGTGGACTCCGCAGGGTCTCGTCATGAATCCCTGGTGGCCTGATATGGTTTAGAGAACACCATTTAGCGGTTCCGTCCGTATTGCGAAGTGGCTTGCTGGGCCTATGACCCTTGGGCTTGTTTATCCTCTCGTAAATGGGGACATGGTGCGCTCGAGGTGTGGGTAGCCTCTACCTAGCTTTGTGCACTTGTCCGACTTCGACGTCGAGAGGCTTTCGGTGACCTGGCATTCTCCCATTCGACCAAGTCTCTAAAAGAACTCGGAGAGGAGCCAATTGACGATCCCAATTTCCCACCACCTCACGATGGATGTGATACAACGAGGCAGAAGAGGATGGCTTTCACCAGCTGCTCCTACAAGATATAAACGATATCCATCGCCTCTGGTGCTGGATGCCGTAGCCCAAGCCTTTTCATTCATTTGAGTTTTTGCGTGCTCGTTCCCTGTGGGCTTGACTCTGCTCGCCATGAGGACGATTTTAGCGTTCATAACCGTCCTGGGCACGACTGTGTCGGCTCTGTAAGTACATCGACCCTTAGTAACGTTTTGATAAGGCTAATACCCGGCAGAACAGCGGCCCATAGACATTCCCATAATAGATTTTTCAGACGTGACAATACCACACAGTCCATTCAAGGAGGCAATACCACGGACCCTACTGCGTACGACTATGTGGTGGTCGGGAGCGGCCCAGGAGGTGGTCCACTGGCATCAAGGCTGGCGATAGCAGGATATAAAGTCCTCTTGATTGAAGCTGGCGACGATCAAGGAGACGCAATCTGGCAACAGGTTCCGGCATTGCAGCTCCAGGCCACTGAATACACCCCAATGCGGTGGGATTACTTTGTCAACCACTATCAGGATCTTGCACGCCAAGAAGAGGACTCCAAGATGGTCTGGAAAACGCCGTCCGGAGATGAGTACGTCGGGAACAGCCCACCCGCTGGCTCAACTCCCCTGGGGATCTGGTATCCTCGCACGGGGACCCTGGGAGGCTGCTCGGCACATAACGCGATGATCACCATTTACCCCCATGAGAGCGACTGGAACAATATCGCATCAATCACTGGCGATAGCTCTTGGAGCGCCGGCAACATGCGGAAATACTTTGAGCGCATGGAACGCTGCAGGTATCTCCCCAACAGTGTCGTCGGTCATGGGTTTGACGGCTGGTATGAGACTAGCCTCACGGAGTTGTCATTGGCGGTTGAGGACCAGAAACTGTTGTCGCTCATCATTGCAGCTGGAACAGCAATGGGCAAGGGACTTCTCGGGATGGTTCTCAGCACAGTGGCAGGACTGGGGGAAGTCTTGCTCCGCGACATCAATGCCGACGTTCCCAATCGGGACTCTCAGGAGGGCCTTTACCAAGTCCCAATTGCAGTTACCGAGGTCGACAAGAAACGCAATGGCGCTCGCGATTTCATCCTCGACACTGCAAACGCTGTCAATGCGGACGGATCGCGCAAGTACCATCTTGACGTCAAGCTCAACACACTAGTGTCGAAAGTCCGCTTTGACACGTCTGGACCCAAGCCGAAGGCCATTGGTGTCGACTACCTGGAAGGACAGAGTCTGTACCGCGCCGACCCTCGTGCAGGTACCGCGGCTGGCGGTACCCCAGGTAGCGTCAACGCGAATCGCGAGGTGATCATTTCTGGCGGTGCGTTTAACTCGCCACAATTGCTCAAATTGTCGGGCATTGGGCCTGCGTCTGAGCTTTCCAAATTCGGCATACCCGTTATCGTCGACTTACCAGGTGTCGGGACTAACTTGCAAGACCGGTATGAAGCGACGATTGTGGGAAACAGCAACACCGACTTCGCCATCACCAAGGACTGTACCTTCCTTCGTACCGAGCCTGACCCATGCTTGGAGCAATGGCAAAACCTACCAGGTCCGTCTCTCAAAGGCACATATGCAACGAACGGTATTGCCATTGCCGTGGTCAAGAAGTCGTCCGTTGCAGACGGGGACCCCGACCTCTTGATCTCCGGTGCCCCCGCCTACTTCACGGGCTATCACCCCGGGTATGCCAATGAATCTCTGAAAGATGCTCACCATTGGGCCTGGATCGTGCTGAAGGCACACTCGCGCAACAACGCCGGTACTATCGGCCTGCGCTCTACCGATCCCCGTGACACACCCGTCATCAATTTCAATTATTTCGACACTGGGAACACTGCCAATGATGCTGATGAAAAGGATCTCCAAGCCACCTACGAGGGGATGGAGCTGTCGCGCAAGATGTTCAAAGACTATATCCCGCTGCAGGGCACCTTCCAGGAGGTGTGGCCAGGAAATCAGGTCACCACCGAAGCCCAGATGAAAGACTGGATCAAGAAAGAAGCATGGGGACATCATGCTAGCTGCACGTGCCCTATCGGCGGCGACGATGACGAGATGGCGGTTTTGGATTCGAAATTTCGTGTTCGGGGCGTCGACGGGCTGAGAGTGGTTGATGCAAGTGTCTTCCCCAAGATCCCGGGCTTCTACATCGTGCTGCCCACGTATATGATCAGTGAGAAGGCAGCCGATGCTGTTCTGGAGGATGCTGCTAATGCATGAGATCGAGGGGCTATCATTGGAGTTTGCGCTGCATCGTTGCCCAAAAAAAATTATCTTCATGACCTAGTCTGACGCAGAGAAGGCTTTCTGGATTCTCGGACTTCGAAGCGCTTCATGCGCTTAAGTTGTAATATAGAGTGACGGCCGGAGAGATGATAGCAAAGAGATTGGACACGTCAACGTTAATAGAGACCTAGCAGGTGGGTTTCAACCAAAAACTAGAATGGATATGGTCCATCATGTTGATGCGGGGTGTCTGAGAATGAATAAATCGTTGCAGGAGCTAGTGAGGCTTCATGAGAGTCCGACTTGTATCTAGCACTTAGCTATGGCCCTGTTGCTTCGGTGTACGGAGTAGGAGGAGATATAAACAAGACAAGATCGAAGTTGGAAGTAACGCGGACGGCAGCGGTAAAAGCGGCAAGCAGATTCGTGCGTGAGCATTGGGCCAAGCCACTAAAGCGGCAACTGCGCAGCTCCAGTCCCCAAGTCCGGTAGATCTATTCGCCTGCCTGTCCATCGACGTCGTCTTCACTGCCACATTTGCAAGCTGCCACTACTTCAGAAGCTCCTTGTTCGGCTGCAGCTTCATATCTTCCTCTCGCTCCTCTCTCCCGTCGAAGCCTCGCGTTATTGACTATGGAAGGTGTGTATATTCCTGCGTCTACAACATTCCAAAGCTAAAATGCAACGCAGGTCTGTTGTTCAACGTCAACGGGGGCTATTTGGAGGGTATAGTTCGTGGCTACCGCAATGCGCTGCTAACAAGCACGAATTACGGCAACGTATGTATATCCCTGGAGCAGTTCAGGGACGCATCATTGACAGAATGCAGCTCACGCAGTGCGAAACGATCGAAGACGTCAAGACGCAGCTCGGTCCAGCCTACGGCGAGGCGCTCTCAAATCTTCCCCCAAACCCCTCGACATCGGCCCTAGCAAGCAAAACCACAGAGAAACTCGTCTCCGACTTCAGATATCTCCAAGGGCAGGCGACCGGATCTTTGGCAAAATTCATGGAATACCTGACGTACTCCTACATGATTGACAATGTGGCCCTCCTCATCACTGGGACATTACACGAAAGAGACACCAAAGAATTATTGGAGAGATGCCACCCGCTGGGCTGGTTCGAGACAATGCCAGTGCTTTGCGTGGCAACCAACATCGAGGAACTCTATAACTCAGTCCTTATCGAAACTCCTCTGGCTCCATATTTCAAAGGGAGTTTGAGTCATCAGGATCTGGACGAACTTAATATCGAGATTGTCCGGAACACCTTGTACAAGAACTACCTGGAGGATTTCCACAACTTCGTAAACACAGATCCTGATATGGCCATGACTCCCACGGGAGAAATCATGTCAGAAATCCTCGAATTTGAAGCCGATCGACGAGCTATCAACATCACCATCAACTCCTTCGGAACTGAGCTGACCAAGGAGCAGAGGAAGAAGCTCTATCCCGAATTCGGAAAATTATATCCGGAGGGAATGCTCATGCTCTCGAGGGCAGACGACCTAGAGGGTGTTGGCCTTGCAGTCAGCGGCGTGGGTGACTACAAGCGATTTTTCGATGAGGTCGGTTTCAACCAAAGCAGCGGTGTGGGGGCCGGCAATATGGCTGGAGGTACGGGTGGTGAATCCAAGTCTCTGGAGGACATGTTTTACCAGAAGGAGATGGAGCTCTCCAAGATGGTTTTCACTCGACAGTTTACCCATGCAGTTATATATGCATGGGTCAAGTTACGGGAGCAGGTGAGTTGGAAACCCTTTCAAGACACAAACTGCTAACCCTGTCTTAAGGAAATCCGAAACATCACTTGGATCGCTGAATGCATTGCTCAAAATCAAAAGGAGAGGATAGGGAACTACATCAGTGTGTTCTAACAAGGGTTAGGTTCGGTGTCACGTGGACAGCACGGCGTTCGGTAGAAGGGGGTCTGCCTTCGCGGCCTACCAGCTTGATAGCTCCAGACCTAATGAACAACATCTTCAACAACAGCTCAACACAGATCCTCCCAGCTTGTTGCGACGATAAAACGACCCAAAAACTCTCAGGAGGAAGGTACGTCTACGTTGAGAGCTCCTGGCTACCTTCCGTCCAGATAAGTCAGAGCGTGGCTGCCTGAGGAGAAATTATCAACAGTTCACACCAACTGAAGCGAACGTTCATCCCATGAAGTGATTTCCCGACCATACCCCGTGAAAATCATCGATATCGACAACATCGGCGGTTCTTCCTCTCGTTACTAGCGTCATCGCTACCTTTGCCTGTTACCCAGCTTATCTCGAAGCTCAATTAGACACTCACTTATTCTTTTAATCTCTCTGCATCATTCAAAGTTATCAGAACCATCATGTCGGAGTCGCAGATCGGTACAATAGACCTGAGCAAGGCTCGAAATCCTACGCCGGAACCGATCTCGTCATCGACAACCTTCCTGGACGAGACCGATCCCTCGCACTGTTCTTCCGAATCTGTCCTTTGGGGGTCTCCTCTTAAGCGAATAGATTCAGGATTTTTTGAGGGAATCTGTCAGACAGAAGAGAAAGCAGAGCCGTTGGCTTGTGTCAAGGACGAGAGCAGCTGGAGATCCCGATCCTCAACCCCCAAATCTCACACTGGCTATTGCAAGGTACCAAAACGGTTACGACACGCCATTCAACCAAACTTCTGGGACTCCAACGCTTTCTTTCCGCCGGCCTACGACGGCTATCTCCACCCAGACGTTTCTAATGATCAACGAATTGCCGCACTCTGTTCGCATGCAGCCGGCCCAAGTCAAAATATGGAGGTTGTCAGGTACAGAAGAGCGTTTTCCGCCAGCGGGATCGAGGGGTCGACATTCAAGACATCCCAACTCTATGGTCGTGATGCCCCCGATGTAAAAGCTTGCTTCCGACAATGGGCAGCCGAAAGAAGTGCTATACGTCAACGTGAAGCACGCGCGAAGTCAAAATTGAAGGAAAAGAAAAGTAAGGCGCATGGAGGACTTTTGACTAGCTTGCAAAAACGCATCTATCGCCCGGAGGGATGCCCAGGAATCCTCCATTGTCGAGTCAACAAGCCACCGCGTGTAGACAGGCTGTTATTTGCCAGCTACATGAAAGCATTCTTGGCCTGGGATACCGCCATGTCAAAATCCGTACCAGGCTATGCTGACAACTATCACAAGAGGCATTGGTACATATCTCAATGGGATGAACCAAGTCTGATGTGACGGCTTGTCTGTTACCAGATCAAGAACAAGACATTCGACTTGAAGGAAATGAAAAGGAGTCTTTTGTACATGATGTGAGACCGCCAAGCTTGGTGAAGATCGCTGGTATGTCGCCAGGAGATGTTATTCTCGTGAATATTGATTCGGTCAATGTTGAGTTACATCCGTTGTTTGTAAAGAATCCATGACATCGTCCAACTTGAGCCTGCCGCCTCTTCTATAACTCATCGCTCTCATACGCAGGAGGCTAACAAAAATATAAAAACTGGTGCTGAGGATGATAACGCTCGCTTTCCGTGGGTGTCTTACTTCAAAGCCTCATACACGGCGCCCCCACCATTCTTCCCATCCTTCTTGGCCATCTTGACCATCCTCTTCATCTCCTTCCTCTCCCGCTTATCCTCTTTCTTCTTCTCCTTCCGCGCCCGCTTCTCCTGCTTCCGCTCCTTGTCCTCCTGGGAGAAGTCGCTGCGCTCGCCCTGCAGGAATCTGCCCGGGTAGAAGACGTTCAGGACCAGGAGGGCGAAGAACATGGGCACGCCGTCGAAGACGTACGCAAACCACTCGTGCGTCACAGTCGGGGAGTTGGCGCCCATGCCGAACTCGACGAGGCGGTAGATATTGCGCACGATGATCAGCGCGAGCGTGACGTAGAGCACGCGGAGCAGCGGCGTGGTTAGGTCGAGGTCCGGTGTGCTATCCTCGGGCATTGGGGACGGGGAGCGGGCTGGGTCTGGCGATGGGGCGAGCACGGGTTGGTATTGCGCTTCGGTGTCGGCCAGGTAGAAACCCGACCCTGTCGAGGCGCTTCGCTGCTTCAGGTACTTGACCTTGCGTTGGAAGCCGATGGCCAGGGAGACGAACACGACGAGGAAGAACAGCTGCACGCCCACGCCGCTCGTGTAGACGTTCAGCCCCGTCTTCTGGACCGACGCACTCGCGCCGGGCCCGGTCATGGTGCCGCCGACGGCCTGGATCAGAAACGCCGTGATGTCGAACGCGACGAACATGCGGGTGATGGCGCGGGCGCGGATCTTGAACACGCGGTCCCGGCCCTTGGGCAGGAAGAAGTGGATCATCCGCCCCAGGAGCATGTAGATGTAGGCGTTGATCCAGAGCGGCGCGAGCAGGATCAGGAGCAGCTGCGCCGTGTAGATCCCGCTCGACAGCTGGTTCTCGATCGAGTATATGCGAGCGACGTAGCCGCCCGTTTCCCACAGGGCACCCATGATGAGAACCATGGCAAAGGGTTTGCGGTAGATGATTGCCTGGAGTATATGGGCGCATGTCGTGATGCCGAAGAGGACCGTGAAGAGGATTGCTGCGCTGAAGGAAGGGCAGTAGGACCAGATGTCATTGGGCCCTGTGCCGGCGTGACACACGATTTTGGGCATTGTTGTAGTATGCTTGTGGTGGTAGGGAGGGACTACTTCAGAGAGCTGGCGATGCTTGAGGGGGTATTGGATAGATGCTTTCTGTGTTGTGAGGAGGATGGAGTCCTCTGCAGGGTAAGGTTGGAAGCGTATACCAAGGTTGAAGAGAAAACACAAAGACTTCAATGGGATATTCCATGTTTGATATATCTACACAATATTGTTGGGTGCAGGACTGCTGAAAATAGCTGCCTGGAAATTGACATTGGTACTTGTCTGCAAACGCCATTCAAGGCTGTGTGTTCCAGGGCACGGTTTCAGGCACGCGTAGTTTAACCGTACGAGCATGAATGGGTTTAGCTCATACGAGCTCCCCCACCAGCCACCGGCCAGCTTTGGGGTGCCGTTGATGACAAAGGTGATGGTGATGTGGGCGAAGTTGAAGACGACCGGAGGGGGCTTAGACGCTGGCACCATTTGGAGCATGAATTGCCAGAGGGGCTTGGGGGCCATGTAGAGCGCAAGGCTAGGATCTGTGAGTTGTCATTGGTCAAAAGGGTGCTCGTATTGACTAACCATTCTAGGCTAGCATGGGAGGCCTGGATTGGGCCACTAGGGCCTCAGCTAAGGTCCCCTTCGACGTCGTTCCTGGACATTAGTCCTGCCTCCTGTCCATGTCTCGCTGCCAGTTACGTGGAGGGTCCTCTAAGTCAGCACGGGTACCTCCAGTCTTCTGTGGTTCGACTAGACGCGGCAGGGCTGTGAATGCAGTCCAAGCCTGTTGCCTGCGCGGATGCATTGGGTTCGGTCACCAGCAGGGATTCAATGGTCGGGGCCGCTGATCTCCAGGCAGTAGCCAAACGTGCTGGGCAATTCTTCTGGCTGTGTCCGTCTGTTCAGCTTGGGCTCAATTGACTTCTGCTACCGACTGATCGAATATAATACCTGCGGAACTCGACTTCTGCGCGTTCTCAACGAGCCTTGAGTATACGAGGTTTGGAAATCAAAGAGTCATGATCAGAATTGGTAAAAACAAAGTCCGGACGGGATGCTTTACGTGCAAGTAAGTCCAGCCTAGACATGCCCCATCGCTATCTCTTGCAACATGGCACCTTCCTAATGCGACAAACTCAGGCGCAGAAGAGTCAAGTGCGACGAATCGCGACCCAGCTGCAATCGCTGCATCAAGGCTGGTAAGCCTTGTGAAGGATATGCCAACGATCCGGGGTCCGGTCGAGGGAGCGACCTCGTCAGATTCGTCGTGTACACCCCCCACACTCCAACGCCTCTTTTGTCGGAGCATCCAGACCTCGATTGGTCCGAGCGGCGGGCGCTGAGCTACTTCCAAGATCGGACTGCGTTGGAGCTTGCCGGCGCTTTCCAACCAGACTTCTGGCTAGCGACTATTCTACCACTCGCAAGGCAGGAGAGCTCCATCCGCCATGCGCTCATTGCCCTGAGCAGTATGCACGAGCACTTTGCCGGCGTCGATCATTTCTCGCCTACGCGAGGCGTCGACTTTGCCCTGAACCATTACGGCAAGGCTATGCGAGACGTTGTCAAATTTAACCAGATCCGGTCGGAACAGGCTTTCGATTATGCCCTGGTCACGTGTGCCCTGTTCTCTGCCTTTGAGAGCCTTCAAGGACAGTATCACGAGGCGTGCAACCATGCCGCGTCAGGGATCAAGATCCTTGCCGAGGAGCAGCGAAGGCCGGGCTCCAATGCAAAGCAAACGCTTGTCCCTCGTGAAGACCTCACGCGCTTCTTCATCGCTTTGGGGAGACAAATCATGGAGATTGGCGACCCGAACTTCCCGGGTCCAAGACCAGAGTTGTACCACACAGAGACAGAAATGGCCATGCCGGACCAATTCACCTCCCACGAACACGCCTTGCGGCACATGGAATCCCTACTTGCAGAACTTGTCGAATACGCCGAACGAGCTGACACCATAGCGAATGAAGGTCCCATATCAGACGATGTGGCGCTTGCCCTCCTGACAGAATTCCACGCGATCAAGATCCAATTTGGGAAATGGCAGGCTGCATTCGATAGGTTCTCTTCTGTCGATTCGAACGAATACTCCAAAGAGACACCTGACTCTTCCAGCTCGACATCTTCATCCCCGTCAGCCGATCATTCCAGACCACGGAGTCCCGCTTTTCTGATTCTGAGAGCTTACCAGGCTCTCATGATCGCCTTTCTCGCACGGATTGAAATCAACGACGAAGCAGCATTCAATGATTACGGGCCGCAGTTTTGGATGGCCCTTGAAGCCGTCGAAGAGTTCATCCGATGTACTTCTACCTTTGTCAACCCGGTGGATGGCAGGAAGTCGCCTCGCCCACCGCCATCCGACCAGACGACCACAGCTTCGACCTCGAACGCGAGTTCGGCTTCACGATCCCTCTCACAATCGTCACCATCGCAACAGCCCCTCATTGTGCGACCGACATTCTCCCTCGCCCTCGGAATCGTGCCCACCCTCTTCCTCATCGCATCCCGAACCTTCGACATACCGTTGCGCGAAAAGGCCCTTTCCCTTCTCCGGATGTGCAACCGGCGCGAGGGCCTGTGGGACTCCCGCCTCGCCGCGAGCGTAGTCGATCGTGTCATCGAGTTGAGAGATGAGGCGAGTAAGACGGGCTGTTCCCAACTTCCTACCGATGCAGACATGGACCACGCTACACAGACGACGGCGACAGCACCGAACCCAGAAGTCCAAGGGACAGATAGTCGCTCCCCGGATGTCGGAGGAAGGAGTGCCAACGCCGTGGAATTCAAGCTGTTGGACATCAAGTTCCTCCCGGGGAAGAGGTGCGTGTTTCGATACGCATTCGCTACGAAACACGGCCAGAGGGAAGGAACGCCCATCCCGATGCTGAGCACGGAGGTGCCGACTCACGTTCCCGGCGCAAGCGTTCACTCTCTAAGGGAGTTTTGGGAGGAGCTGCGATGGGAAGAATAGCGTGCCCCAAAAAACACGAGAATGCTTTGTCGAGATAAGACTACGAAAATGATACTCACGCGTGATGTGTGCATGTTCCTTCATGTTTAATCTTGCATTGCGAGGGAGTATATTGGGGATTACACGGGTTTAGTCTTTATTCAGTACGCCTGCAAGCGGAAGATTTGGCCTCTCTCAGAAAATTCTCACGCAGTGCAAATCCCTCAAAGACGGTACCCATCTCTCCCTGTCTTCCAATATTCAGTACCATCTTGGGCAGATTATCCTGTCGGATAGCTAGTTGGACGAAAAAGCCGCAATGAGATATTCCACACTCTTCCGGCCGCGTGCCCTCTGTGCTTCGAAAGAATGCATGATTCCGATCCTGGAAGGACGCCACCCACCTAGTGAAGACCTCTCCAGCACTTGGTTCAAGGCACTTCTGCTGTGTATTTTTGTACGTTGTCTCCGTTTTCCGTTGTTTTTGGGGGGTTTCTGATTTTGTGTTCGCGCGTGCGAGACTCGATCTTCGAATGTTGAAACAGGTAAATGAGATGGCGTTCAAGGCACGTATCGGCGACAATCTAACAGACCATAAGGAGTTGCTCGGAACAGCCGCACGAGTGCCAACAAGCTTGGAGAGCGTACGAGTAACTGGTCTTGCAAAGGATTCTCGCCGTGGTCATTAATCATACTGAAACAGCACGCTGATGCTCTCGCCATAATGCACCCGTCGAATTGCCTGTTGGATGAATCCGATTAGCACAAATCGCCTTTACTTTCTTTCAACCTCAAAGCCAGTCTTGAACTCACCTCGGCAAAGACGTGGCCAACCTCAAGCACTTCGAGCTTGGGGCATCTCCTAACATGATGAGACTGATCCACAGTGTTCGTGACGATAACCTTGTCCAATGCGCTGGCATTAATTCTTTCGATTGCATCTCCACTCAAAACGCCATGAGTCACCAATGCATAGACTTTGCTGGCGCCTTCTTTCTTCAGTAGTTTCGCGGCTCTGGTTATAGTGTTGCTCGTATCGGCCAAGTCGTCGATGAGAATGGCGACTTTGCCAGTGACGTCGCCAACGAGCATCATGGTCGCATTCTGCCGATCCGTGATCTTGGTAGGTCTGCGTTCTTTATGGATCAGAGCGAACTCGATTCCCAAAGAGTCGGCGATTGCGGTTGCTCGTTTGGCGCCTCCAGCGTCGGGACTAACGACCACTCCATTTCTGTAGTCTGGAATGTTTTGCTGGATATACTTCTTCAGAATCGGCCGCCCATAGAGATTGTCAACAGGAATATCAAAGAACCCTTGGTACTGAGGATCGTGGAGATCCATCGTAATAATGTGGTCTGCGCCAGCGCAGGTCAGGAGATCTGCCACAAGAGTACCTGCCTGCGCAACCCATTGCCGGTAGCCCGGGCGAGGTTTGAAGCTCTCCTGCGGGTCCATCTTCGGGGGTGGAGCAAAATCGTAATTGGCAACGCCGTTGGTGGCGGATGCTGAGGAGTCTCCTCGCTTTCGTTGGACTGGAAAGTATTCTGACTTGGTAGATGAATGTGAGCTTGTGTCACGATCACGATAGTGGCTGAAGCGGGCCTGGTAGGTAGGGCTGTTCTCTACATCATCCAGCTGTGATTTTGACGTCGCTTTGTGCAAGGGATGTCCATTCGCAAGGCCCTGGCTCTCGGTCTTGTCTGGATGTGGGGTAGGTGGAATGCTGTCAAATGTGTAGCCGTTTGTATCGGGAACCAGCTTATTGGCCGTATTCGACGCCTTGACTAGCGGCGCACCGCTCTTGTTGTAGGGTATGTCGGACTGTCGAGAATATGGGAAGAGTGGAAGTACAGCGGTGACCTTCTTCGCAGAGGCCGTCTTGCATGCTGAAATGGCAATAAGAAGCTCGACAAAATGGTCGTTCACCTTGCCCCCACCAGACTGTATGATATAGACATCTTTTCCTCGGACTGACTCGCCTATCTCGACTCTGGTCTCGCCAACAGCGAATTTCGAGAAGAGAGCTTGGCCAGGCGCAATACCGAGGATCTCACAGATGGTTTCCGTCAGGGTTGGATGGGATGAACCCCCGAATACGACAATATTTCTGACCATCTTGTCCCGATCGAAAGGGTCCGGCGGTAACTTGGGGTAGGATGTAAGGTGAGGTTGAGGACACTGAACGGCAGGAGAGGGCGATTCAGGAGGTCGAGGACAATCGAGCCGAGAGAATACTTGGAGCGGTCGCTAGACTATGCAGTCTACTGTGGGCCGTGAGGCCAAGGAAGTCAGCCTGGTGGTTGACATGATACAAAGAAAGAGTGAAACCACTGATAGAAAAGTTCGAAATCTAGCAAAGCGCAGTTGGTGGTTTGCTCTCCCCACGAAACTTTTTGTCTCGCCCCACCTTCCGCCTTGGATCCACCGGTATGGCCGAGGTCTAATGTCGTCATGTCATTTGCGTGTATTTCGTAGAGAACAGCAACTGCTCGCTGCAGCTGGCCTGTCTCACAGCAAGGTCCTGACAAGACCTATCTAGTTTGCATTTTGCACTCCATGGATTGATGTGTGGGAGCAATCGCATTTCCCAGCCCGTGTGCCCGTACTTTTTGTAAGCTTATCACTGCCACTCAACGCCGAGTCCCTTTACCACACAGCCACAGACATCCCCCATCAATCTCCCGTGTCAACCTCGAGATCCAACTGGACATTGTTGCTCACACCGTAGTCTTGGAGAGTTAGTTGATCCTTGAATGGTCTTTCGCCCTGCCTCTTGAGTAGGATCTCATGAGGTTGTCTGCCGATCATCGAGGCAACTATAACTTTGAAGTCCTCTGGCATTTTATTAGCACGCGAAGAGAAGCACAAAGAATGGCATCGACTCACTTATTGGATCTGTGGGATAGCATGGGATAGCCTTTTTCGTGCCCAGTCTGTCATTGACGTAAACAATGATCATCGGCTGCGCTGGCACTGCCGGCGCCGGCTTCTTCTCTTTCTTGTCCAGCTTGTCCTTTTTCTTTTCTTCGCGGGGTTCTGGCTCCTCCCGATCTCGTCGCCTGTCGCGATCTCTGTCGTCTCTTCTGGGAGAGCGTCTTCGGGAAGGTGGAGTTCTGGATCTTGAGCGAGGTCGATAATGGTCTCTGTAGCCTCGCTGCAGTCCCGAGTCGCGGTCTCGCCTCGAGTCATCATCGTCTCGACGTTTCTCCTTCCATCTAAAGCCGGTGTCTTTGCGCCGCGGTCGATCCTCACGCCTGTCTCTATCCCGTCGAGGAGACCTGCTTCTTCTGCGGTCTTCGTCCCTGGACGATTCTCGCTCTTTCCTGTCAGTATTGGTGGTTGGAGGTGCGGATGGTGAAGTCTCACGCTGATTGTCGGCCATTTTGGAAGTCTAAGCAGCCTCTGACAGATTTTAAAGAGTCCGTGGGAAACCTCGTTCGAACTGACAGAGCTGCCTGCGCGACAGAGAAGGAAGAGGCCGCCTTGGGGCGTCGTAAAAACCTGCGGCGAGGCGGGTACCGGATAAAATTCGGATAAACCCCTGCAGTGATTCCGAAGCCTAATCTACTCCAGACATACAGCCTCGTCGACTTCAGCCGATTTGCGCATCCTATAATTCCATGTTTCTAACATGCTCGTCTCAAATCTCAGACTATAATTCCCAATAGATGATCCTGGGCTAGCCTGCCGAGAACGGGCCTTCAAGGGAACGGGGCCTTAGGAACATCAACGACCCATCTTCTATTATCGCACCGCCAGATATCACCGCAACCTTCAAGCTGTGAGCGGCTTAGGAGAGGAAGATGGTGCATTGGTTCCTTTACATGAGACGCAGAAGATCCAATTATGGACACGGCGCGAAATCACTCTCATCCTATCTATCAAAACTTAACCCTGGACACAAATCAAGACTCAGTACGTTTATTGACAATATTACCTGGCGCCGCGAATAGTGCCCTTCGGTGCAGGCTGAATGTCGTCCTATTGACGGCGGATGCTCATTATGAAGCCATCTCGTATACTTGGGGCAGTGATGAGGAACTACACGAAATCATCATCAATGAAGACAAGCACTAGTTTTGTGTTCGTCCTAATTTACTAGATCTTCTGGTCAGTAATATTAGAAATGAACAAACCCCGAGAACAGTCTCGGTCGACGCGATATGCCTATATTCCTACCGAACCGCCATAAAGCACCTTAAAAATTGAGGGAGTGTGAGAGTACGGAGTATTATATTTTTTAATCCTTATGTCCGTTCAGTGACGCGTCTCCTTCCGGTACTTCGCTACGTAAAGGTCATTGATAATCAATGGACCAAGCTACAGGGAGTTGCAAAACCAGTTTCCACCTAAATCATATTAAAAAAGATTCTCTGTCTTAGAATGGAGCATTCGCAGAACCGCCATTCGCCAGACGTATTTGAGGTTCTGTTCAGGGCTAGCGAATCATGCTTGGAACTGATACGTGGCGTAACGCCGCATTACATATTTCGTTTTATTTCTGGTGCCTGACAGCCTACCTCGTGATATTAGGAGCGACAGCCGTTTTCTCGATTATTGCGTAAGGCACTCATGGAGCCTTAATCGAACATTTCCTCTCATCTGCGAAACCAGTGAATGAGACTAGTCATGGAAGTCATCGGTGCCGTGGCAAGTATTGGAGGTGTCATTCAACTGGTCCTGCATGGTGTCAAGTTTGTCGAGTTCTTAAAAATATTTGCCGAAAACTGTGGCACAGAGGCGGCGGCCGATTTTGTTCACGGCCTTGTCGCTTACGCTCAGTTACTACATGACGTCCAAGCTCTGTGCGACTGTATCCAGCAGCACAGAAATCCCTGCGTTAGCCAGATCAGAATCGCGACGCTGCGCCTATGCCTCGAAGACTGTGTTCAGGACCTGGAAACCTGGCATGCTATCGTGAAGCGGCTCGAAAGAACTGATCGAAGGGCAAGTAAGGCATTGGCGAAATTCACAGAAGCTAGAAGTCCCCAGAAGAGGTTCCAACTATTTCTGCGTGAGGCTTTGGGCTCTGCCATGGCAGCCAAGAATGCCCATGTGCGCACGGTCATACAAGCACGCTTTGAAAAACATAAAGCCAGCGTTGGAGTGGCGTTGTCGATCCTTGAGGCGTAAGTGGCACAATTTAAGAAACTCTTCAGGACGTTTATTGATTCGTTTTGCCCGTCAGAAACTTACAGCTTGTACAAGTTGACGATAACGACCGGACAAAAGCCGGCATAGACAAGCTTGCTGGCCTCGTAGAAGCACAAGCAAGGAACCATGACCAGAATTATTCGGATGTACGCAGCTCCAACAGCTCCATTATTGCATGGTCCAAATCTCAACACGAAAGACTACAAGAACTTCGGTCCATGCAAAGTTCTCTCTCAGAGAAGATGGACAATTTACTACAAGCCTTATCCACCCATAGCTCTCAGCACTCTTCAAGATCATCGGACAGTGTGGCCGGCCCAGCAGGCGCATTACAGCACATTGACAACAAGAAGCTGGGTGAAAACCCTTCTCCGCCAGGATCGAAGGAGATGACGGATTGCTTAAGCCGTGCTCGATCGAATCTCGTCCTTGAAACTGATAAGCTGGACTCGAGGTCTGAAACGGATGAGTCTGGAGAAGACACAAACCCAAGATCTATAATTGAGCTTCTCGAAGACTTCAATCTGCTGGCAGGCCAGTACTTTGATGGAATCATCGCAGAGTACATATTCGCAGCCGAGCAATGGCGATTTGCGTCTATGCGGCAAAGGTTTATTGGCATTATTGAACGAAGGGAAGACGCCAATCGCATGCTGATGAATGTGAATCTGAAGGTAAATTTGCTGGCACTTGCCACCACCCTTCTATCACTACGTCGCAGAGCGGAAGCAGAATGCTTGCAGTTGAGTCTAGAGGAGGCAGATGGACTCTTAGGCATCACACTTCAACAAATCCGTCACTGGGAGCTGGTTGTGGAGCAGAACCGTGCAAATTCTGCAGTCGAGCGGTTGATACTACCGGATAATGCGCGAAGCACAAAATCCGAGTCACTCACACGCCTGAATGAATGGCTTTTCGAGGTGATGACCTCGATACCATACCTCGCAGACTGGCATCGGTGGATGACCTCTAGCCAGATTCCACAGCAGAAAGAACCAGAGAAAGAACCAACTATACTCAAGAAAGAACCACCCCTACTCAAGAAAGACGACTGGGAACGACTCACGATCAAGACCTGGCTTCTTGATGGTACTAACTGGGATATCCCTGACGACTACGCAGCCTCCTCGTTCACTAACAGCCGGGAATCTGATTTGACTGTTCTAGTTTCTGGCTCTAGCAATGACCATGATATAGGTGAGGCCGATCTTGACAGGTTTGGAGATGATATTGGTCTCTTCAAGCAGCCGGTAGCCAACATTTATCTACTACGAGGCCTCAAAAAGATTGAGGATGTGAACGAACTCACTCTACCATCTCCCGGCGCGGGAAGTGAGGTAATTGAGCGCGCAGAAAAAGCGCTTAGGAAGTATGCTGAGGAGCCGTCGTCGAGATGGCCCAGGGATGAGCTCTACGATCAAAATATGCCGACTCAGGGTTCTGGCTAAACTGATAGATACTCACAACTTGTAGCGGCAATGGACTGTGAGGGTCTGGATCCGCACAGGGAATTGTCTATATATGACATTCCTATGTGCAAACATGTATCCGCCGAGATGTGCTTGGGGTCCCTTTTTCCCTGGCGTATTGCGCACAGAACTGAATTGTAGTATAATCGTCCCAGCTCTTGACAAACCCACTGCGTACAACATCGAACGTGACCTCATCTTCATTAGCTCCCATACAAGGTAGAGAATCGTGCAGATAGGGATGTTGTCAATAAAATCTTTTGACAGACACAGATTACTGCCATTATCGAATTCTAGTAGGAGCATCTTGTGGCAGTTAGTCAGGAGAGTCGTCGAGCATATGGAGACGGGTAAGAACATGAGATCTCGCCCTATGCGCAAGAAATCTGATCACTTGCGAGGAACTCCAGGATCTCCGAGCGAGCCTGCATAAGCTCGGCTTTACGATTTCGTTACATCCAGCGCAGGGTTCGTTGAATGCTAAACCTTTGACAAAGCGAAATTGAACGCAATGAATGCGAGAGAGGTACATAGAGGGAATTAGGCTGAGCGTGGTCAGAATCGAGGTTAACCAGCAGGCAGTCAAGATCTAGGCATCGGCAAGTGAGAGGTGCACAGATGAACAACACGTGCTTGCGCAGGCGGCGCTTACTCGACCGTGGAAGTGCGCCTCAGGTAGTCTTGATGACAGTCCTGACGATCATTGGCTGAATATCGGAAAAATCTTAAATCAATTTGACGAATGATTGTCCTGTCGATACTTTACTCCCTGACAGAGAATTTTCTAAGATATTTCGGACGGAAACCGGTTTTGCAATGTCCTATAATATGCAATACTATTGGTAGCTACAAGAGTCAGTTCGGATACACGGAATGCACTCGAGAATCCGAGGACATAGCATCGTTACTACGGAAGAGCGAGCTCGGGGCGGGTCATCCTGGCACGTTAACCTCAATACATAATCTAGCGATTTAGTATAGCGAGGCCGGACGACGACGAGAAGCGCTATAACTTGCGCAGGAAGTGGTAGAGAGGTTGTAGTAAAGGAGTAAGCTAAGTAGCGAGATTGGCCAAAGTTCTAGTGGTAAAGACAACACCTATATAGTAAAGCGAAGGTTATAATCGGACGTTCCTTACCTATCGCCTTAACAAACTTAAGACCGTGTAATCGATATCCCGGCGTAGTGAAACGCCCTACCTAGTGAAATAGACGGGCGATACTTCGCCTTCCTCTACGTCGTGACCGCTATACGCGGAATCTGACCAAAAAGCGGCACGGAGCCTAATCACGTCGGCGAAGGAGAGAATGGTAGCTTGCTCGCGAAGAGTTGTCAGGATCCCTTTGGCTAGGATTTCCGATGTGTCGTCACCACAAACGGAGCAGTGATATTGTTCCACTTTTGGATCGATATAGACTTTGGAGACGTACTCGTTGTCTAAGGGACGCGCTGCAACGGACAGGATACAGCAGCTCTTGACCATGGCTGCGATACGAAAGTGTTCTTTGCTGGGGGTATCGAGGTCGACGAAACTGTAATATATCGAGGCTGGTGCGGGAGCATATTTATATATGAACAGTCTGTAGGCAACAGCATGCGTCTGGCGCCCTAACTCATTTCCGGTTAATGCGTATTTAGGAGGGGACCCATCTCGTAGCCAGGATCTTGTAGGAAGTTTCGCGCTGACGAACCGCGTCAAATTCTCTACGGGTATCATCACCTACCCGTTTGCTGTTTAACCGATGTCGGAATGCGGTGCAAGTGTGGAGATTAGCAAGGACTGTAGTCTTGAATATGGAATCAAGCTGGGTCAGAGATGGGGATCTGGCGAGGAATGGACGAGGAGTGGTGGACAAAGCAATTTATGAGCGATAGGGTTGGCATATACAATGTCAAAGCTGCCTGCACGTTCCTCTCGCCTTCCATCCTCAGACGTTTCGCCACAGCGCAGCTCAGAGGACGGGTATTGGCATATCAAAATCACCTCGCCTGCCACCACATAGATTCTCGGCCTTTCTTTCCTAAGATCCTCAAGTCTACGAACTCGATAACCACCAATACCTTGTTTCGCGAAAGAGAATCTTCTATCACCCGCTTCTCGTTCTCATAGAGAGGCGTTACGAAGCGCTCTGCGCATCATTTGCAAATCGGAGACACCCAGTACGCGAAAGGCTGCGAAACTCCGCTTAGCTTCCGGTGCCGTGCGTTATATCACCAATTCTTTCATAAAGATCACCTTCCATCAAAACGTCACCACTAGGTCTATGGAATAGATTTTCGCAGCATTACACCTGAGAACACGATTTTCTCGCTGATTTAAGCTGGTGAGTTCCTTCTTGCTCAACTCAAATTGCTTTTGGCCCTGATCAAACAGCACTGTGAGGACTCTCATTTGCCGTTTTGTACCAGTCTCAACAACTAAATTGCTGAGCCTCCACCGACCAGTATTGTCAAACTTTCTAGTATCCTGTTCCTATTAAAGTCGTTGCAGGGAAATTTGCCTCTGGTTTAGTCGGGCCTACCGCTTCGGGCGTGGTCGCGGTCGGGCCCGCTCTTGCTCTGGCTACACCTAAACAGCGCGATCAGTGCGATATGTCTGAAGGCGTCGCGGACGGTAAATGCAGCCCAGGTTGGCTGTTTGGGTGCAATACTGCCCTGCCATCTTGGACCGCTACAGCTCATGGGATTTTTCATTCCAAGAATCTGAAGTTCATGCTGGCTTCAAGCCCCGTGAGTTGCTCAGCGTCCACATTCAATGGACGTTCAGGTATCATTGGGTGGTCGAACCGCGTACCAATCTTGCACAGCGCTTCCAAGATTCCGCCTTTGTTCGAGAACACATACGCTTTCACATATCTGCTGCCAAACCTGATGGAGAATGTGGTCTGTTTGGGTATGTACATTAACTCCGTGGAGCCAATTGTGGCCGCTTCCTCCCCATTTACCACTACTTCCAGGTAGCCATCCACGACATAGAAGCAATGATGCGACTGGTCCCAGGTCATTGCTCTTGATAGTGGGTTGCCTTCGTGGTAAGAAGAGCCTTCAATGGAGCCCACAGCGAAGATACCGTTGGACTCGGCCGTGGTGATCAAGGGACTCACCACCGTGCCTGCAAACGTGTAGCGAGGACCCCTCCCAGCCTGCAGAAAGTACGGGGTATGAGTACCAGGCAGGGAGGAGTCGCTGGCAGGATCCCATGGCTGAGGGCCAAAGTACGGGTGATCCGGCAGTGGAACATAGTCGTACTTGTCTTTTGCTTGTTGAAGGCGCGGGATGAGTACCTCGAAGACATCACGATTGTCTTCATTAGGCCACATCGGTCCTGAGTACGGGTCGCCAATGAACCGGAAGAATTCCTCCCATCCCCCTGGAACGATGAGGCCCATAAATTCGTTATGGTCGCCTAGGATTTGATATTGGTGGACAATGTTCTGCATTACAGCAGAAGATATCAGTCACCTATAAGTCAACCCTAACACCTTTCAGAGCACATACCGGAGGCACACTCGCAAAATCCCCTGGCTCCATTGTCCTACAATAAGGTCCTGCCCAGACATTCATGCGACCCTTTATGCACAAGAAAATGTCGTGTGCTTCACGATGGTAATGAAAACCGATGGGCTTGGCGCCTGAACCTCCGCTACTCACCACAGCAAAGGCTCCCTCGCTTTCTTTGCCGGTCACCAACAATCTCGTGGCCGACTTGGAACATGGAATATAGATTACCTCCCCGCACAAAGGACCAAGCCTGTACGCTGTCCCGGGACGCCCTAGAGGTTCAACAAGTGGTTTCATTTCAATAAAAGTTAATCTTGGAGGACTAGTGGCGACGAGAAGAACCAGCGTGACTAGGTCCAAATACTTAAAGCTAGGTTTCCCGAGGCCATCGAAGGCGAGCCCACATCTCCACTGAGTCGGCCCGCTCGGGATGCCGAGATTGACCAGTCTATTTTGCGGAGAATGGAGTAGCAGAGAACTAACCTAAGCCCGCTCGCCTATTTTAATGGTATGTATCTCCGCACCGAGGTGCGTATAGCTCATTAATCTGAAACGAATAGTATTCCTTTATCCCTTCACTGAAGCTTACCCTGCGCTGTTTATCAGACGACATGGCACTGCTTGCAGCATCACGTTTCGCTCTTGGACAGGTATACCTGGCTGCACTGATACTTTTCTTCGTGCTCTGCGTCATTCAAATCAAGCAATATGTGTCCTTTAGGCGCAAATATCGATTTCCAAATCCAGTTAGAGGTCTGCCTATCATTGGTAACACGCTGCAGATGCCTCCTACTGGGCAAGGACCATACTTGCAGAAACTGGCTGAGAAATATGGAGAAATGTACTTCAACACTCTACAGTTATTACGACATGGCTGACCGAGCCAGGTTCACCATGAAGTTTGGGACGACCTATTGGGTCATTCTGAACTCGCAACGTGTTGCGTCTGAGCTGCTTGAGAAGCGTGCTGCTATATATTCATCTCGGCCAGCTCTGCCCATGGCTCATAGTCTTGCCTCCGGGGGGAAGCGGATCCTCGTCATGCCTTATGGCGACCTTTGGAGGAGAGAAAGAAAGATCATGCACCAGATCCTGACTAACACCAAGAGGCGCATATTCGAACCCTTTCAGGACATTGAGTCTCGAGCCCTTCTCTATGAATATCTGCACGAACCCGATCTGTGGCCTCGGTCTCATCACCGATATGCGAATTCAGTGATTATGAGCGTTGTTTTTGGAAGAAGGACCAGCCTTAAAGACCCATATCTCCTCGAGCTGCTGCATACCTCCGAACAATTCGTTCGATACTTAATGCCCGCCCGGTCCGTTGTTGATGTGTTTCCATTCCTCGCCAAAATCCCCTGGCTCAAGACCTGGCAGCCATGGAGATGGTATGGCGACGAACTCTACAGGCGAACGCGCAAGTAAAGTACTCCCCTCACATTCAACTATGTAGGTACTAATCTAGAACTCCCTCCTCAGTGTCTACAAGAGAGAAATCGACAACCTTCGCCAGCGGCAAAAGCTGGGCATTCAGAAACCTTGCTTTATGACAGAGTTCTTCGATGCCGGGAAAGACATGGAGTTCTCGGATGAGGAGGTTTACTTCATCTCGGGGACATTGATGGAAGCAGGCTCTGACACGACTAGAGTTTCTCTGCATGAGATCCTCGCGGGAGCGGCGCTATACCCTGACTGGATTGAACGAGCGCGCATGGAGATCGACAAGGTGTGTGGCGCCAACGCCGAGCGACTGCCCACAGCTCAAGATATTGCTCAATTTCCTATAGTCAGAGCGGCAGTCAAAGAAAGCATACGTTGGAAGCAAGTTGCTCTCTTGGAGGTGCAATATACATAACAGGCTAACCGGCACAATAGGCCTGCTATAGCGGAGACAGGTATTCCACACGCTTTAACGAGAGACGACGAGTTTGAGGGGTATCATTTCCCTGCTGGGACTGTGTTCACCTGGAACCACTGGGGGATATCAAACGCTGCCTCTGAATACGAGCAACCAGAGCGCTTCTGGCCGGAACGATTCATTAACGATGAGCTCGATATGGCTTTAAAGGGTCATCTAGGCCTTGGCGCTGGTACGTCTGGGGATGATCCTCGTCTTTATTCGTAGTAGTGTATAATTAATCAAACAATACAGGTCGGCGAGCATGTGTCGGATACTCAGTCGGCGTAGACAACCTCGCAATCGCCATCGCCAGATTGGTATACTGTTTCGACTTTGAGCAAGATCCGTCTGCACCCATTGATGTCTCAAAACCATTCTTTCAGGACGAGGACGGTTACCCCTTCAAGCTCATCATCAAGCCGAGGAGTGAAGCGCATCGAGACCTTGTGGAAAGAGAATGTAGTGCAGCAGCGGTTATTCAGTGAAGAGAGCTATTCATGATTTTGGGCGATGCACGAGTACATACAGAATGAAGTGCTTGGTGTTTGACATCTTCCCAGTCTCTACCGATATTGACATCATTCGTTGTGCGAAGTCCCAAATCTGTACCTTATCGATATACTTACAACTTAAACTATTGATGCCATTTAGGATCCAAGGTGCGTAGAATAGATAAATCTTGGGAGTTCATGCCCCTCCACTCATTATCGATCCGTACCATCAGGATCCTATTTCGTGTCCTATGTCTCGTTCCCCCCTAAGTTTTCTCGGTCTCTGACATTGCGCCTTTGCTGTGTGAGAGACTGCTTGCAAGCTCCTAGCATGTCGGGTTGAATGCAAATCAATATGCACTAGTGTTTTCGGCACCTTCGAGACTGGCTTGATTCGAAGCCATTTCTCAACCGACCGCCTCTGAGTTTGCCTGCGTTGCCATTGGTCAATCCAACAGGCGTAGACCGACGCCGCAAACAGGTCTTGGCCGACCAATCCGGCGAGAATTACCGCTCGGCGGCTTTCCACCCCCCCACTCCATTTAGAGAGAATCGGGATGCCGAACTGTGTGGATCTTGGGTCCCGAGCATTTCTTGGTCATGGTGTCTCGGCGGTCGACTCGGTTAGCGCTGCCCTGCTTGCAGCCACACGATTTTTGAACATCCTGCGATGTGCATAGTACCGAAAATGTGCAATATTGATCAACATTTCATTGTAAAACTGCGGAATGGGTTTCCGTTCTAAAGAAGGGGTTTACCCGCCAACGGGGAGCCGTTCAATGCAGTACCCCGATATGCTCCAGATTCCCCCCCCCCCCCCCCCAACCAAACGGAACTCATGATACGTAGGCAGTGCCGACATTCTTGGTTGTCCCCTACGTGGAACTCTGTCCTTGATCTTAAAGTCGGAAGTCTCCAAACATTCAGATGTATTTCGCTGACCTCAAACGTGAACGGCACTTTAACAGGACATCTCTAGGCCAAGATTCCATCGCACGCCGCAAATTATGGCTAGAAACGACCGCCTTATTGGACCTTTCAGGAAAAGTGTTCATCCGCAGGAGGTTCTTGGCTCCCAGCGCAGTGTTCGAGGGTTCGTTTTCTGACACTTACGTAGGTCCTGCCCCCGATGAACGCTGCTCCTGACCTCAAACATGAAACGTTTGAGCTAGATGGAGGCAGAGTGATCTTTGAGAAAGACGTCGCCATCACGATGAGGGATGGCGTGAAGCTCTACGCCGATATTTACCGTCCTGCGGCCAGCCTAGCAGAGCGGACTCCGTCGTTGGTGTTCTGGTCGCCCTTTGGGAAACACGGAGCCGTCCCTAGAGCATTATTTAAAAACATGGGCGTCGACTTCGACAAGTTGAGTCCATATACCTTCTTCGAATTGCCTGACCCGTTTCTCTGGTGCAGCCAGTACCACTACTCATTTGTTCGTGTGGATCCTCGCGGGACGTGGTGGTCGGAAGGTACGAAAGCGACCTTTTTCTCGCCTCAAGAAGGACGAGACGGGTATGATGTTGTCGAGTGGGCAGCTCAGCAGTCATGGTAAGCCTCCCGGACGCAGACACGACCAGATCTGGGCTGACTAGACATTTATCACAGGTCCACTGGTAACATTGGCTGGGGCGCAGTTTCCTACTATGCGATGTCAATATATCAGACGGCTGTCTTGAAGCCTCCACACCTCAAAGCGCTGCTGTTGTGGGAAGCCATGTCGGACATTTACCGCGAGGTCAATTGTGTGGGTGGGATACCTTCTGTGCCTTTTCAACATTTATGGATGAACTTGACCGGACAAGGTCTTGGGATGAGCGAGGACCACGCCGCTGTGTCAATCGATCATCCCCTTTTCGATGAGTTCTGGCAATCCAAAGTGGTGGACTGGACGAAAATCGACATTCCCGCACTGTCAATCACTGGTTGGTCATCTCTGGCGGTCCATTTACGTGGCACCATCGAGGCGTGGAAGGCCCTCTCGTCGAAGAATAAGTGGTTGTTGGTTCACGTGAGTACGCAGACGTTTCCTAATGAAAGTGACTTACGACTTTCAGGCTGGCCGGGAATGGAGTGAGTACTATAAGCCTACCGGCATCGAGAAGCAGAAAGAGTTCTGGGACCACTTTTTGAAAGGGAAGGAGAACTCCGTGGGCGGGTGGCCGACAGTGCAGCTTGATGTACGTACTTCAGCGGATGTGTCAATCCGGAAAGACTGGAGCAACTTCCCTCCGCCCTCGAAATTGACCAGATTCTACGTGGCAAGTGACCGAAAGCTTGCGACGGAGCTACATGGAGGTGAGGCGACCTATGCGGCCTTTCGAGCTCACCAGCCAGACTCACTGCTCACGTTCGATTATACCTTTGACAAGGAGACCGAAATTACTGGTCACAGTGCCTTGACCCTCCATGTGCAGTGTATGGAGTTCCCGGACACCGACCTTTTCGTGGCACTTCAGAAGCTGGATAGAGATGGCAAAGAGGTCAAGTTCTGGAACTCCAGCCAGTTCGTCGAAGCGCCAGCGTCGCTGGGCTGGTTACGTCTGTCCCACCGAGAACTGGACCAAGGGCGTAGCACTCCAGACCGGCCTTATCATTGCCATCAGAAGAGACAGTGGGTGCGGCCGTGTGACATTGTTGAGTCGCAAATAGAGCTTTGGCCAAGCAGTACCATATGGCAGGCTGGGGAGACCCTGCGTGTCGCCATCAACGGGCGTGGGTTCCTGAACGCGGAGAACAAAACCCAAGTACGAACACCAGTCCATGGATGGGGCGAGGTCCGAGTATGGTTCGGCGGTAAATATGCAAGCGGCCTTTTGGCGCCAATCGTACCATGAGATAGCTGCCCTCGCCTCATGATGAATCTCGTCGGCGCCGAATGCTTACTTGGTTAAATCGAAGAGGAAATGCAAATTATCGCCAAGTACCGCGAGTAGGGATATGGTCCGCATGAATTGAAATAATTCCGGCCAACAATAACTAAGGGCCTCTCTTGGGCAATTGAGGGTTAAGATCTAGCCCACGAGGTAGCTCTGTCTCAGGATTTGAGAAGTTCCTTAATAATTTGCCCTTCCGAGAGTGCCGCCGATCGCTCCCTCACTACTCTGCTGATACATGAAACTCCAAATCACCCCAGATGCACCGTACGTTCCCGTGGAGTGTGACACGGGGATGGGGATGCCCAGATCAGCTAACTTGGTTACTTCTCGCCTCCGCAAAGTGCTAACCAATATTGTTCTTTCAGCTGGCGGTATCGTTCCGTTGACCGCTAAACTTCCGACTTCACTCTCGTGAGAGTTTTCACGCTTTTATCAACCCTATCAACTACAGAAAAACTCATTAGTCGCGGAGGGCGTCAGCAACGCAGCCTCAAACGTTTCGGCTTCCCGTCGAATTTTTGTCCGCTGGTTCTGCCTGTTTGCGCCTGTTGACGCTGCTTCGGCCGATCCGTTCTCTGGGAATTCCGGGCGTGTCTATGGATCGTTGCCAGGAGTCACAGCCATCGTTAATGGCAGACTCAGACACTAGCATCGTTTTCCAGCATGGTATGGTCTACCATGTCACTATTCCCTTCTCTTCCTGACTGCTTCAGCACCTAAAGACTCCAGCAATCTGTTCATGTGCCTGGTGTGCTCGCAAGAGTTCCACAATTTGTACGTCTCCCTCTTCTGAGATCCCCCGCGGAGCTGGCCCAATCCTTGGGTCCAATTGACGTCCAACTGATGTGCTACCAACCAAGGGTGTCTCTGGGGCGGCATGCAGCAGTTCATACACTTCCGACTCCGCCCGCAAAGCGGCAACAAATCCGCTCTGTTCGATCATACCCACGCGCTTCTCAAGCTTGTCATGCATGCGCTACGGCTAAGACGAAATGTGATAATGGCGTCCGATGCAAGCGTTGTACACGGAAGAATATCCCTTGCGTGCGCAGACATCCCATTACTGAGGCCAGTGCCTTGAGCGACGCCGAACCCCCAACTGTCGCTGCGCAGAACCCATCAAGCACAGGCTCTTTTGCTATGGACCCCAACAACTTCATCAATCATCCTCAAGTGCTTGGGGAGCTGGACATACCGGCTTCTGCACGAATGTATACAGGTACCCGATTACCCTGACCTTTTTGTTGGCATGTCTCTGAGAGACGTCAAGATCCCATGCTTCTCGATACCCCAAGATTTTACGGTCTTCCATCTGTCAATCTTGCCAATGGTGAAAACGAGCCAGGCCAGTCCGGGCTGGACTTTGATTTCAACTTCGACAGCGCATACAACCTTTTCGACTTCGGCGGTGATCACGACCTTGGCCTGAGTGAACAGGATCACAACTTCTTGACGTCACTTCCGTTGCAGCCTCAGGACGAACCAGACGAGGCGTCTCCCGCAACAAGTCTCATAGCAGGACCAGATCAACCGAGCTCGCAAGCCGTGTACGAAGCTTTCAAGCAGTCTATCGGTCGATGGGAGCCTGACAGGCGGCATTACAGGACCACGGAAGAACGTGACTTATCACTAGACCGCACAGCTACTTCAAAAATGGATTGCCTCGGGGACTGGGACCCGGAAATCATTTCTCAAAATCTAACACCTAGCATCCGGGACCAAATTCTGAAAACTCTCATCAGAACATGCAACCAGGATAATGTGATTGATGTGATATCATCTTTCCCAGCCGTTGAGGTGTTGGATAGGCTGCTCAAGTCGTATCTGACGAGACAAGCCACTACGGCAGACTCATGGATACATGTTCCTACCTTCAACGTCGGTGAGGTTCGCTTAGAACTACTCGTTGCCTGTCTGGCAGCCGCCGCTACAATGTCTTCGAGCCGATCTGTTCAGAAATTTGGTTTGGCACTACAAGAATTCCTGGTCTTATATCTCTGGCTGGTGGTAAGTCCAGAACCTCTGTCGTGAAGGAAACTAGCAACTGTGGACTAACAAGCGTAGTCTGAAAAAGCAAATACATTGACTCGAGATATACATTACTTGCAAGCATTTGCTATACAGCTAGAGATCGGCCTGTGGTCCGGTGTCCGAAGGAAGATGGAAATGTCCGAGAGTTTCAGTGGTATCTTGAGCAATGTACGCGAACCATTCCACTGCATCTCACAATGCTAACTAAATGCGCTCAGCCGCTGCGAGCTGCAGGCAATTTCCGGTTTTCAAACTATCCGCAACCAACGGTGCAAGTTGGAGATGAGGGCGAGATTCTGGAAACAAAGTGGAAACAATGGGTTCAAAAGGAGTCTTTCAAAAAGTGTGTCAGACCCTGACAGATCACGTTCAAAAGCTAATCAATCTTATGTAGACTTGTTTATCACATGCACCTCTACTGCTCTCGGATGTCGCTGGTTACCTTTGGTACATCAACCATATCTTACGCAGAACTGTCGGTCCCGGTGCCCTATTCTAAAGAATTGTGGGTAGCCAGATCAGCCGCCGACTGGAAAAGGGTCTACTTACAGGCTGGTGGAAATAATGAGCCTCGACCACAAAGCTTCATTAATCTACTTGCAGACCCTATTGCTCTTGTTTCTCTATCCGATCTCTACGACCGCTATCACATCAAGCTCTGTTTGCTGCATGCAATTTCAGATATGATTAGCAGACACAGACAGGACCGGAGTATTTTCGCCCCGATAGAGAAAAGCGGCACACGAGTGAGTTCCTTTTCCGACGAAGTTCAACATCAACGAATTCTGCACATTTTGAAGCACATCAGACTGAGCTATGAGGATCTCGAAGCTCAACAAACGATCGAGCTGGACTTGCTATTCCACCTATTTTCCATGCACCTTTTTGCCCCATTTGACCAGATGGAACTGGCCGCCGGCAAGGAAGGGCCGAGCGAAGCTCGAAGAGCCGACCCGGTGCTGCAACAGTGGATCCAGACCGGAGACGCCAGACAGGCAGTTTGGCATGGGAGCCAGGTGTTGCGGGCGACACGAATGCTTGCACCCGAGCAATTCAAACATTACTATGTTGTCGCCGCCTACCATAGTGGCCTGTGTTTGTGGATATACGGCATGTTGTCCCAGCAGAGCAAGTCTCAAAATATGCAGAATATTACACCGGGTCCAGAGTCGTCCTCAGAAGATGTGATACTGGACCAGGAGGAAAGCATCAAAACTCAGCGATGGATTAGTCACAACCGCGGAAGGCCCGCCATCTCAAGTCAGTCCGGGGGGCCGGATGGAAACTACGCCACCAAGAGTGTTCCCATTCACTCATCGCAGCTTCTGATTACCACGTTACTGCAGGGGGTTCTGTCTCGGTTTGCCTGGAAGAATTCCTTGTTCGTGGAGAATATTTGCCAGCTCATGGAGGCTCTGCGGAATATGTCGCAGAGGGCTGGTGAACGTCGTTGACACATTGACGCATGCAAAGATCCTTGGAGGGAAATGTACAAACTGCTACCTCAGATGTTATTTGTAGCATTTGTTTTATGACGATCTGGATATAGTGACAAATAAGGCATTTTCCTAAGTTAATTGACCTCTAGTTACAAAGTCCCCTTCTGCCGCCTGATGCCTCATTGACTTCTCATACGATATTCTCTATCATAATCCGCACATTCCAACAATATTTCGAGGACCACACCGCCATTGGAGTCATTGCTATTTTACTCACCAACCTCACGGTCCTCGGCCCAGTGAGCAATACGCCTGATGAAGGGCCAATTCCAAGACATGCGCCTCCAGCGACTGCCAAAGAAAAAGAATGGAATAAATCCGAGGAGGATAGCAGCTTCAATACCGCCCATGGCGCCAAAAGCACCAAGATATCCGTCCTTCTTAACCCAAGGGTTGGTGTAGAAGCCTAAGAGGAAACCGAAGCACGCTGTAGAATCATTGTCAGAATCGCAATTCCATGGGAAAGACGACGGATACCCATACCTTTGAACGTTGACTGCGTAACGATGACCTCACCGGACACAGGACGGTACGAGTCCAAGATGTACACCAAAGACACATTCATCGATTGCACGACAGTGAATCCGACTGTGAACAGGGCGTGAGCGTTGCACCGACAAAAGATTAATTGTTGAACTTACTCAACCCTATGCCTACGACTGGGCACATCCAATGTAGGTTCAGGCCGAATCCAAGGCCGTACAAAATACCACCCAGTGGGCCAGTGATGACACTCACAGCAAGAGCGGGCAGGCGCATTTCGGGGATTCGCACGCCACCGTTCCTCTGCGTGAATCTATCTGCGACCCAGTCGGAGAAATGGCCTGCGAAGAAGATGGCAATAAGCGAGCCGATCGCCATCGCGACAAAGGTTAGGCCGGCCTGCCACGCAGTGAAGCCGTAAATGGTCTGGAACGCGGCTGAGAAGTTGGATGATAAGACGACGATCATACCAACCGTGACAGAGTTGATCAGCGTGGCCCAGAGAACGCCGGGCAGTGCGAGCAGAGCCACAGGTCGGAACATGAGTAGCCAGATACTCTCGCCGGTGTAGGTCTTGGGGACGAATGAAAGACGCTGGAAGTAGGGGGTCCGCCTGCGGAGCTCTGCCGGGGCAATTGCTGACACGTGTTCGAATGACGTTTCCCCCTTCTGCGAGATAGCCTCGATGTCGACGTTACCCAGGGCGTTCCCTGTAGACTCCGAATCTACGGTGACAGGAACAGGGTCGAGAATGGCAGTGTTCCGGTTGTAGGCGGTCTCGGGAATGGTGAATACCATGACTAGCAGACAAAATGCGGATAGGGCGGTGAGGATCCAGAAGATGACACGCCAACTCTGGGTCCTTATCACGAGCCCGAAGATAACAACACCGATGCTGCTACCGAGCGCGAGGGCGCAGTTGTAGATGCTGTTTGCCGGGAGGTC